ATAAATATACTCCGAACCGGTCTTTGGAGCGTTGCTTGTTTCTCACCGATCTACTTTGTTGTACTAAGCCGGCGTTAAGAATCATAATCACAATATCGTGTCTTTTCTCACAGGTGACAGCAAAGACGCCACGCGAGGAAAAGCGCAGTTGTTATTGCTTAAGATAATGGAGAAAGGATGCATGACTCCTCAGCAACTTTTGGACAGACTGCGACCAGCCTTCAACCACAAGAACGCCAAATTACGGGAAGAGGCATTGATTCTCTTAACGACGACGTTAAACGAGTAAGTGACGAATACGTAATTTGTCAAGCGTGAACTTTATCGATAAATCATTTTCAGACACGGAGCCGACGAGATGATGCTGTCCGGAGTAATTCCAAGCATCGTAAAACTGTTATCGGACCCATCCGAAAAAGTACGAGAAACGGCTTTAAACACGTTGGCGGATATCTACAGACACGTCGGGGAAAGATTACGCGTCGATTTGCAGAGAAAGCACAACGTACCGCACGCGAAGTAAGTGAAAAAGCGAAATCGTATGTTGGCGAGTAGCCCGTATAAATTAAGCGAGATAACAGCTTTTTTCGATCGCCTTGTTGCTAACGGTTGTGACATGAAGTACCACACGTTGACAATAACCAACACTTAGTCACAGAATAATACTAACTTAGTCACACAAGAATACTAACAGCTTGGTAATTTCTCGAATCTTTTTATAATCCTACGTTGTCTCCTGTTGCAGGTTGTTGTTGTTGATAGAGAAATTCGATCAGATGAAAGCTGCAGGTGATCTGTTACCCCTGGCAATGTCCTCGGACGGTGAGTATCCATGGAATTTCATTCTCTGCGGGTATTCGTTAAATTAAGTCAGGAGAGATACGTAAAAAGTGTCTCGTGTATCACCTTCATTATGTTATTCAACTTACGAGTTGTATCGTGCTGCCATCCCGCAGCCACGAATGCTATCGCATAGCGAATACATTCGCATTCGAGAAGAGCCTATCGTCTCTCCTCTTTTGCCTCTCTCTCGGTCCGTTCACGTTACCGGTAACGCGCAATGAATATTTAGCAAGGACCGCTTGTTCTGCAACGTGATAAGAATATTTACTCGGAGCAGCACGATAAAACACGGCCAATTTGAATTTAATTATATCGCGGTGGCACGTTTTCGGCTCAATTTCTGATCGTTCGTATCAGATCGTAGATTTCTTTTTTCGCGAGTAACTGCTGCTCGTTTCTCGAGATTGATTTCCCTTACGAGTTTGGATGTAAGAGAAGAAACAATCGAGACAGCAGATTTATGGTCAACGATGTAATTGGCAAAAGAAACCTTTCTGTAAAGACCGTAACGCGTTATTAAGTTATAAATGAGCGAAATAAACGATTTAGCTTGAAGAACACAAGAAGAAAACCTCGGCCAGAAAGTCGAGGTGTCATTTCCGAGAGAACACAGTGCTCGCTAATTCGCGTTATCTATTCTATGATATTACATAATACTACTATACATCGATAGCTACGGTGTACTATGCAATATCGACGGTGTATTGTTTCAAAAGGCTGTCTGTAATTCATACCAGACTAAAGCCGTCCTGCTTCAAACGAGCGGCCTTGTAACGATGTAATACTACTGTCAGGGTATTCGAATTTCGATTGCAAATATTACGTGTCGGCAACATAATATAACCGAATACTTAACATATTCCAAATCTAACAAGAAAAAGCTGCAACTCTACGCCGGTGGAAGAAGTCCAAGTAAACCGAGATTTTCCGATGACTCACCTACATTCCATTGTATAATCAATCTTTGAACGTTACAAAAAAAAGGATGCCGATATCTCTTATATAATGATCAGAGAACAAGACGATTTTCATGATCCTTTATTTTGTTGTAGACAATCCAGCCTTTGGAAATTTCTGCGATTACTTTCTTAGCAAAACCAAGTATTTTCTCGTTAGACAACGTTTCGGAACTAGTAATTCGTTTTGCAGGTATGATCATTTTCGTATTGTTTAAAAAGTGTCGTCTGAAGTGAAAGTATATTCGCAACGATACCTAATGTCTTAGTATGCGAAAAATCCGGTAGTCCATGAAAAAAAATAATACGGCTCGATGGCCGCAACCTTTTCTATTCCGCGTATCAAATTAGCAAGCGACGAGACGTCCGTGTTGAAGACAAGAATATATTTCTTCTCCAGCTGGTCACGATTAGGTCATACATGGGCTTGGCAAGAGAATTACGGTTCTTCGCTTGATTTCAGATATATTAATAGAACACCAAATTGCCATGAAGAATTAATCCGCATCCTTCCTATGTTTCTCTCTACTGTAAGCTTATTTTGATAAGTGCCAAGGTTTCCGAGCTTTCTGTTGACCTTGATAGTTTCTACCTTTATGCAAGCTTTCTATTTTTGTAGAAAATTAGTAGTCTGTCCGTGTCTCAGCACCTTTCCACGTTGCAAAATAGTTTTTAGCTCTTCTCATTTTTCTCCGATCTACGGAATTTACATTCAACCTATTCAAGTTAGCGACGCGAGTTTCTTTGTACCGTGTCATGTGACATGAAAAGGTTAAACGCTGCACATAGGAAAAATTTGCATAAGTCTCGTTTTCGCCGTCTCTCTCTCGTTTCCCTGTGACCTGGCATAGAGATTGTGTGTTAGGTTGAATCGCAATTATACTGCGATTTCTCTGCCGTGCAAAGTCGTTGCACGATACTAGGACAATAGACTTTTTTCCATCTCCGAGTGTCAGATCGATTTTATCGACGAACAGTTACCTCCGAAGAATGACAGATATTTCAACGACGGTTTCTCGATAAACGATTATTACTACCCGTATCGTTCGACTGGTCGATCGAAATTAGCACCCACACCGCTCGAAGTCGGCTTCTTATTGCGCGACCTTACCCTGAGGACAGAGAGACGCGTGTATACACGTGCAGGAGAAGTGAAAGGTAGGGTGGTAACGCAGATTTATCTTCAGCGTGCACTGCCGTGTGTGCACGATCAGATATTAAAGCGTGGAATAGCTCACGGATGCCCTTTTTATCCGACCGACTCTCGCTGACATTCTCCACGTTGCGACCGTTTCGCGTTTTAGTATCGACAGAAAAGCTAGGCAACATTGAAAGTAAAAGTACACGTGCGTACACGCTTTCTGATAGGTGTGCGAATCTTTCAGAGCATTGTTCAATGAAAAATTGACAAATTAATAGGGTAATTATTGCCTTCATCTGTGACTTACTGCAACGATAACAGTAAGGGTGATAAAGACTTTTCTTCTTGTGTAAGAATAATCTTGTAACGCACGAACGAATGATTCATTTTTTCGACCTCGAGTACCCCAAATAATAAGATTTTCACCTCCTTATTTTCTATTTCCCTGAGTGATAACTTGTACCTTTCCAAATTACAAACTTTCTTCTTTTGTAAGCGGAGTAGTTTGGAACCCTTCCAAATTGAAGTTTGTAGTTTCGCAAGCTTTCCACTTCAGTAGTTGAAGTTACAAGCGTCTTATAAATTTCTACCTTCCGACCAATTGTCAGATGTAAGATACCTCGTATATAAATTAGGAAAAATGAATTTTTTTTTTTCTGGAATCAGCTTTCTTCGATGGGAAATCGGAAGCGACGTATCTCCTTGATCGTTAAGAACAATAAATAACGTTACTTTCACCGATGAACGACAGTCGCTGCGTACGATATCTAAAGAAATCACCGTGACTGCATCTCGTTTTCTATCCATAATTTATTCCGCGCTCGATCCATACTGAATTTCTAAGAAGCTCCGGAGCTTCGTTGAAAGAAAAGACACGACCTACACGCTTCGCGTTAATTATGGAGCTGTAATTACCGGTATGGATATAAATCCGTAACTCCCGGGGAAAAACGAGCGGATCGAATTGTACACAAAAGAGAAAAAGTTCTTTTGACCTAGAAAATTATCTGGCGCACCGTAAGACACCCTGTAAGCTTCGGTGTCGCGTGTTTACAACGTATAAATCAATGTAAGTACGCAAACCGGGTAATTTAAAAGGTTGTCTCTTCCAAACGCAAAATGAAGATTGAGCAGACGTTAATTGCATCTTTGACGTACAATTTGGAACATGCAATTACGGTGTCGCGTACTCACGGTCCAGTTTTATTTCTTTATCGAAAACATTATCGTTAGTGGGAAGCATTCTTGTTTCTTATCTTGTCCGTAAAAGTCTTGACGTTATTGCACGTATCGTATTTCGATTAAACATTGTAATTACAACGATTCACTTTACTTCGTATCCCGTGGCTGACATCGAATTTAATCATATTCTGACGTGCACACGTACTCTGATCGCGTTAATTATGCATCGACTGAATCTTTCCTTGCAGCAGGTGGTGACGATCGAGCTATCTTTTATGCAGAAATCTCCGCGTTTATCTCTCTTTTCTTTTCGTAATATGTGTTACGGGCGTGTCTTGTTCTTCTCGTTTCGGACGATATTAATCTTCGTTACTCTCTCCTCGTTTCGACGCTCTCCACCCGCGGGAGAAGAAACAAAACCGCCACAAATTGAATGAAACAACCATTAATCCATTATTCTCGTTTTGCACCTGAACGACAATTTGTCGACGCTTTCGCAACCGGGTCAATTCTTTTTTCGTTCTCCCATTGAAACGCATTCAATTACGTCGTTCATTTCGTGTTTAAACAATGCGATCTTAATTTATCAAGACTGGGGGTCGATAAATTAACCGCTTCATTAATATTGATTTCATTCATATTTCAAATTGTACCGCGTTAGTCCGTACCCCTCATGGCGGGAAATTTAAAATACCTTCCCAATTTTGAACAAAAGAAGAAGGGATCAATTTCTGCCTAATCTGTAGCACGTAATCCGTATTTTAACGCGTGTGTGTCCCTCGGTTTGGTCCCCCATGAGGGGCACAGATAGGGGAAGGTGTTCGTCCCCCTCTTTCCCCCTATCGGTCTTAACTCGGGAGTCACGCGGTAAGCAGCAGCGCTTACCGGGAGTTCGTAAACGAGTCGCCATTTAGCAACGTGAGAGACGCTTGTCTCTTTGAAGCTAGACGTTTTAATCGTCGGATTGAACGTATCCAGAATCGTGACGGACTACTCGGTGATCTTGATCGTGTTTCTTTTTTTTCTGTGTCACGGGCCGAACACGATCGGGAGTGACGCGTTCTAAACGATACGTGTTGCTACTGCCGTTCACGGACAATGGGCAAGGACGATCGTTTCAGTTTCTTGCGTCGCGTTTGTTTACCTGATCAACAGACAGACAAATGCCGCGGTTGCATCGAAATACGTCGAAGTTACCACCATACCTCGTCCACGTATCCGCTTCGATGATTAGTTCGCTTCTGGAAGCGTGCTGTTGCATTAGTTGCATCGTTCGAACGTTCGATGGATAACGGCGCGAACGGTTCGCGTAAAGTTATCGCAAGTGTTTTTGCAGTATTCCGATATATTTAAAGGAAGTTCTTGTATTTATTAAGAGACAGAAGCAAGAATTTAACGTGAAGAATTTAAAAAAAGAGTAGGAAGCTATTGTGTCTTGCAAAACGGTCATCGTGACTGACGTTTCTCGGTATCGAGGAAAGAACGCGAGGTGATTTGTTCCGGCTTTAAACGCAGCCGTGTAAATCCGTTGCATCGATTTGTTTCAACCGAGAGGAACGCGCGAATTGGCGGCAAAAAGATAACTGAATCGAAGCGTCGCATTATTACGGGAAACGAATACGACATTCAATTTTATCAACGGCAGTTCTGTCAGAAAAATTATACCGCGATCGATCGAGTTTCGTATTTTAAACTCGACGAAAACACGATGATCGCTTCTTTGAATTATTAATGTACTTTCTCGGCACGCATAAAGAACGAACAATTTCACTTTCGTACGAATTCGACGATTTTTCTCGCCGAACGTGAATTTGTATCGCGTGAAAGGTAATTCTTTGCAGCAGATAAACCGAAGATCCTGTACACGTTATTCATTATCAACGATAATAAAATACACATAGATGCTCGTGCTTGTACACGTGTGTACCGATGGATTACGCGTTCTTGCCACAGACCGTGTTTATGACGCAATGATCCTTGTACGCGCAATTCATATTTTTCAAATGCCGATTGTTTCATTGTATCTTGCGGAAAAAGTTCTTACGTGAAACGGAAACACGCTGATCAGCGTTGGGGGGTGAATCTTAACCAACCTAACGTAACGAGGATGCGACGCGTGCTATCTGTAACGTGAGAAAATAACTCTCTCGTGTCTCATTGCCGCCGTTATTACGAACAATATCACGAATGCAAATCTAGGTTCCTCGTCTTAGCGCGTTGAACTCCCGTTTGGTTCCGTAGGATTAGATTTATAGTGGGAGAGTTAATGTGTTTCCTTAATTATCGTTTCCCTCGCTTTGCAATCTTGCGTAACGGACAATGATTAAGCAGTGAATGAAAAATTGGCGGTAATAATTATGAAGTACAACTTAGACGTCACTAACGTCTTTATGGTTCTTTAATTGTCACCTCGCGTTACCTATTGTACGTCGAACGAACGTTTCTCTTCAGTTTTCTTTGTTTGGCAATAAAGAAAAACTGTTAGAAAAGGACGAAACAGGTTTCACATGTATGTTTACTCTCTGTTTGTATCATTTTAATTAGAAGGCAATTCATTCCTAAGAATGCAAGAACGATGAAGACTTTCAGTGATGTATGATGTTATCTTGAACAGTGTTATCTGCTTTGGGCTTGAGAATCGTGTTATTCAGTGATTTTGCCTTGTGAAGCAACATTTTGTATACAATGAATGATGCTGGGGTGCTATTACCTAGCAGTCATCGCTGCTTACATAGAGGATTAAAAAAATATCCTAGTATTGATCAGAAATTATGGGATTCAAGTAGTAGGTGGATCCTTCAATGGGATAATATTGTGAAGCACCCAGGTGCTAGGGCAAGAGGATGCTGTTGTGATATTCATAAACCACCATGGTTGTATCCAGGCTTAGGTACTTAATTTGGAAAAGATAAACCTTTGAATAAAATATGTTACGATTCAATTTGGTAGAATGTACTAAATGAATACATTAATTCTTTAGCAAAATATATGTCCTTTTAGAATATGTATAAGATAACATTAAACTTTTTTTTATTTTTTCAGTTGGAAAAGGTGCAGATGAGACAGATAGAGCTGTAAGTTTTGCATAACAGTATATTTTAAATATTGCCTACATCTTTGAATTTAAATTAATACTGATTGAATATTTTAGATTAAGTCTGCTCCTGTGAAAAGGTCATGTGCTACTGTAAAAAGAGCACAATTTGGTCCTGCAAAAGCTCCATCTTCTGCTTTAGGTATAAGTGAGTTTTGAATAAATTTAATATTTGTAATTTTGGTATAAGTCAATAACACCCAAGTATATTATACAAATTATTATTTTTTAATTTTGAGCATGATAGATAGCAAATTAAATGAAACAGGTGTATTCAGAAATAATGTTTAATACATAGTTTTATAATTTTTTTTAGAAATAGACTGTTATCATATTTGTAAACCTTATTTATTAGAGTATTTTAAAAATACACTTGTTCAGAAACTTGTAGAGAGATTAGAACCAAAATCAATATTATATAAACATACTTCAAGATTTTTATTTAATTTTTATAATTTTTAACAATCTATTTAATTAATCTTTTGTTAATAAATTTTTGATCACTTTGTCTGTTATGTTGTAAGCTCTCTATGTGCTATAATTAAGTGTTTTATATCTAAAATAAGTGTTCTATTACACATAAGTGTTGGGTATCTCAAGATTAACAGCGTGGAAGCACATGTTCCTCCTGCAACCAGTGCACAGGTGTGAAGCGTGCTAATAACTCTTGCTTTCTCCTTGCTGTGGCTCAACATTTTACTTAATATTAATAATGTTTTCCCAATTTGTAACACTAAAATGTCGATAAACTGTTGACGTTTTGGTGACAAGAATGCTAATTATTCGCTTGCATGACAGCTCAGCCTGGTAATACACCTTCCACGGTTCCAAGGGCATCCACCGTCAAAAGAAACGTGTCGGTAAAATCGACGTCAGGTATCTAAAACTCCATTGGCATTTACTATATTTGTATTATATCATGATGGTTCGTACGTTAAGCGATGCGCTTTTTAGTTAAGAAGACTTTTATTTTGGTATTATTTTTTCCTTATCTTTTCTTATAGAGATCCATCATGATATCGATACAAAAAACAAGAAACTTTGAAATTGTATCAAATTAATATTCACCTTGTACCGTTCATATCTCGATTCAAGACCCTTGCATAATTTTGCTTTGTCTATGTTTATTTGCACTTAACACAAACGTGAAATTCTATAGAATGCTTATATGTCTGTAATCTTCAATTGCACTGCTTTTGTTATGTCACCTTCATTCCATAATACTGCAAGGTAAAGAATGTTTTATATCGAAAGGTATCGTATAAGAAACGATGTTTTAATCACTTATACAAGCAACTAATTTGAAGACAAGTACTTAAATGTTTTAAATATATCGAACTATTGTGTAAGCAATACAGATGACATTATCTCATGATAGGTAGTATTCAAGGCATATTAATTTACATTGATATAAATGTATAATTTAATTAATATATTTAGGTCAGGCTGGAGCAGTCGACGAGGAAACTTTTCATACAGCGTTCGAAGATGTTCCACCTGTAAACTTATTTTCGGCTAAAGATTTGGAAGAACAAATGAAAGCTATCAAAGACAATGTTGGCGATGACAAGAAAGATTGGAAACAAAGGACAGAAAACGTATGTGTTTGGGAACGTACAACGCATTTCAATTTAAGTTGGCAATACGTGTAATAAATTTAAATTATCTTACAGATGAAAAAATTAAGAGCTATTGTTAAAGCAGGCGGTACAAACTATGAGAACTTTCTAGAGCATTTAAAAAGTATGCAGAGAGCATTTGAAGTAGCTTGTACCGACCTTAGATCGCAAGTTGTAAGAGAAGCGTGTATTACTTTAGCATTTCTTAGTCAGGAACTAAAAAACAAATTCGCTAGTTTCGGAGAGGCAGTTCTACTCACACTGATGAACCTCATACAAAATAGTGCCAAGGTAAAAGTTGTGATGAACTGGTGTTAATCCAGGTGAACAGGAAACATAATAATACGCGAATACTTACATCTATAATATTTCACATTCAGGTCGTGGCAACAGCTGGAGCTGTAGCTGTGAGGTTTATTCTTCAAAATACACATTGCAGTCGGTTCGTGCCAATTATCACATCATGTTTAAGTAACAAAAGTAAAGACATACGTCGAGCATCGTGCGAGTATCTGAATTTAATTTTACAAACGTGGCCTACTCAAATATTGCAGAAGCACGTAACGATATTACAGGACACGATTAAAAAGGGTATAGCAGACTCGGATTCGGAAGCAAGAGCCTTTGCTAGAAAGTACGTGTCTTTGGTATTTTTAATAAATACATATTTTATCCTTGGAAAAAAGTAGTAGTTAAGCATTGTATATTTGAAACATTTTCAGGTCATATTGGGCATATAAAGATCATTTTCCAGAACAAGCAGAAGCATTACTCAACAGTCTTGATACTGCATATAAACGCTCGTTGATGTCTCTTAGCAACAGTGGTAGTATTAGCAGTTTAAATGTAGTCACAAGATCGGCGAGTGTCAGCCCCAGAACATCCAGACCAGTAATGAGCGCCACAGGTACATCCTACTTTTATGTAATTATAACAATTTCGAATAAACGCCAGTCTAGCAGAAGCATAAATAATAGAAGAATTCCGTATAAAATATTTGTCACTCTTTTTTCATGCTGCTTTGTGACTCTCCTTTACATTAAACGTATGAAGGTAGTACGGAAAATTTGCATCAAACTTCGGGTCAACCACATGGCCCTCTCAGACGTACTCCGTCCTTACCACGGTCTTATCGTCAGTCTGGTATTCCGGTTCTGCAAAGACCCACTGATAATCATTGTAATTCATACATTGTTGTTTGATGCTTTAAGAAAAATCACCGCGATGTAGATCATGCACTAGTATATTTTATATATACGATGACGTCTTCGATAACTTCAATACTAACTTTCAAAACTTTTCTACAGATCGTGGAACTCCAGGTGTCAGGTCTACTAGCGCGATAGACCTGCAAGCCGCACAAAGAGCTAAGGCTAGAATGATGTACGCGAATATGAGCAGACAAAAAGCGTCTCTTCGTAAGTGGCAATCAAGTAAATTTTTATCGCGGTTGTTATTACCAGTTCTAACAAATGATATGTGTCGTTTTTTCATTTAGCGCGTCCCAGTAAATCGCCAGATACCACCGCTGTTGCTAGCCCAGAAAGAACAGCCAGAACAAGAACAAGAGTGTCCGGAGTGTCGCAATCTCAGCGTAAGTGAAGCAAACATAAGTAATTCTTGGACTTTCTTTAAGGAAACATGACATGTTAGAAAAGATTTAATTTCGTTTTCGTGTTATATACCACAGCTAGCAGTAGATCAGGATCACCGTCGTCAAGGTTAAGTTACGCAACGTACAATCGCGAAGGAGAATCGTTAATCGCAAGACCTAGACGGTTATCTGGGCATGGAATCAGAAGTACTGGTAACAGTCGTGAACCCAGCCCGCAAAGATTCGGAATGGACAGAAGTTTTGCAAGCAAAATACGGTATGACACTTGCCTTGACATTTCACTTAGATTTCAGTTCTTGATTAAAAACATGGTACTTTTTGATATCTAGCGGAAGGAGTTTGCACATGTCTCCAACGGATAGGCCGCAGTCTAGACCGGTTATGGCGCAAAAGATGTTACAACAATCGCGCGAAGCAGAGTCGGCGTTAGCGGATGCGCTCACTTTTGAAAGTATTGATAACTATACAAGAACACCAAGAGGAAAGGGTGATCACAGCGACGACAGTGAAACCAGTAGTATATGTTCAGAACGAAGCATGGACAGCTTTAGACGACCAAACGATGTAAGCAAATAGGATATTGCAAACTTTTTATAAGAAAGCAGAGCAGTAATATGTAATTTTGCTACAAGATCAGTAGAAGAGTAAAGTAATAAAATAATATTTTATAACACATTCATGATCCAGTAATATTCTTATTCGTTTTTCGAGTTTAACTCGTTTTGCATTTACATTTAATTCGTAATAAGAAATTTTTTAGGTGCAATTGATTATAAGCGTAATCGAGCATAAAATGAAATTACGAAAGAAACACTAGTTTCATTGTACATCTTACAAGTATCATTAGCGTTACATACATACAGTTCGATACAATTGCTATACCATTGTGCTTTTTTATTATATATTCACTTGGTTTAGTATTGCTTTTTCTTTTTTAGTTTAATGAAAATAAGTGCCTGCAATAGTATATTTATTTAAGGATTTTCTATTGTTGTGCTATTTAAACATGCTTTAAACATCCATGTTAACGTGTCAAATTCATCGAAATCGTGCTACACGCTCGTGTGTAAACATAGTATGAGAAAGAAACCTCAGAGCAGTGTTTTTCCCTGTTACATTCATTCGTCTGTATTCGTAAAATGACTTTACGTTTGAATTTAAATGAGGAGTAGAGTTAGATAGAGGGCTTAAGAAAACAGTGCTTTAAGCATTTTAAGACAATGTAGATAACGCATGTGTGGTTTTATCTTTTGATTTTTGTTGCGGCGTATTTGTTTGGTTTGGACTAACGCGATGCGCCGTTCTGTTCTCCATATCTGTCCATCGTCCATCTACCCATTAGTCGTTCTCATGGAGTGGATCTCAACAAAGATTGTACCGTGATATATGGGATCAGTCTATCCCAAAGGTTTGTTAAATTTAATATTGATTTCCATGTAATGCATACAAATGTGTCTAATACTTTATACTATACTCTTCTGCCAGAAATGAAAAAAAGGAATGCAATACAAATTTATTTCCTTTGATGTATTTACAAGATATTTTTTGTGCCCTTGATATCCATATTGTTATGAAAAATTGCTTTCTACTTTGCAGGATATTAAGGAAATTATAGAAAATTGTGCACATAAACATTGGGGAGATAGAAAGGAGGGTTTGGTAGGATTGCAACATTTTCTATCAAATGGAAATACGCTTACAGCTACGGAATTGCGTAAAGTGACGGATATTTTTACAAAAATGTTTATGGATTCTCATACTAAGGTCTTTAGTTTATTTTTGGATACATTGAATGAATTGGTAGCTACTCATAGCGAAGATCTCGGTGATTGGCTTTATGTGCTGTGTGCAAGACTCTTGAATAAATTAGGTACTGATCTGCTCGCATCGATACAAGCAAAAATTCATAAAACGCTTGATGTTGTCAGGTAAAAGCAAACACGTGAATGTCCAAGTATATGCGAATTGATGTCTATGTTCTGTCGAGCTATCCTTTGAATCTACATTCTTCTTACAGAGAATGTTTCCCTGGAGAGCAACTTCTACCCGCTGTTATGAGGTTTTTGACGGATCCAACGCAAACACCAAATTCTCGCGTAAAAATAGCCACGCTTACGTTTATCACTCAAATCGCGGAAACAGCAGAACCTTCTGCGTTGACTAATTCAGCAGGTACAGCGTTGGCAAGGTTACTTGATTGGTCAAATGACGTTAAAAGTCAGGATGTTAGGAGACATGCTCAAAACGCTGTCATATCATTGTATAATTTAAATCCTCCAAAAGTGACCATGATATTAGCTGAATTACCAAAGTTTTATCAAGTAAGACTATAGATTCAATATTAATTTACAAAGAAAATTGATCTTATGTCGAATGATGTTAACTTGATTATCGTAGGAAGCGGCATTGCCACTAGTACAGAATCATTTAAGAAAGTCGTCTGGGTCTAGCAATCCAGCGTCGCCAGGCACGCCGCCTCCCAGAGCACAGAGTTCACCAGCCCGTACGAAGGCTAAAGGTGATATCGATAATGCGGATGAAAATTTAGAAGAAGTTTACAAGTAAGTTTCCTGATATATCATTAGTGCAAAGAAGCCTTTAATTTTATCATTCTTAGTCATTTCAATTTTGAAGTACTTCTTACAGATCGTTAAGGCGCACGACAGCAGAGATTCAGAATTATGGATTTGAACGTTTAGAAAGAGCAACCACTAGTAAAGATAGCGGCATTAGTAATATGGCTGACGTAGAAGAGAAAATGGAAGGGTTAACGTTGTGTAATTCGGTAATTAAATGGATGATATAATTCTTGTTTATACGATGTGTACTGTTTTAGAATGCGATAATACGTGCTATGTTTCATCGTTATCAGGGTCGATCTTCCTCGGTGTCTTCGCCTACTCAGAGAGGACGATCTGTTACGAATATTACGGTAAATGGTTCGAGCGATACAATCGCAGGTGATCTTATTCTTCCTCAAGAAAATAATGGTTATAAAACACATGGTACGATTACCCTCATACACGCATAACAGAAAAATGTTGTTTATAAAATGATTTAACTTCTTCGTTTTAGGATCATCGCCTGATTCAATAAAGAGACCAGAAATTTTAGACAATATGATTAAAACGTTACAGTCAAAAATGACGCAAACCGAAGAAAAAGTAACAGCTCTGCAAGAGTTTCAATTATATGTTCGAGAAGGAGATGGCTTATATATCAAACAAAATTTTAAGTAACTATCGTATTATTCAGTAGCCATTAAGTGATAATATTTTTAACAATATTTTTAATTACACGTATTTACTTCTTAGAAAACTGCTCAAAACATTATTAGATAGTTTGACCAACGATAGCAAGAAAATGCAAGTAGAAGTTCTTCAAACGTTAATCGACATGCTAAAGTGTCCAGAACTTGTAGACAGTTTTTCTGTTTATCCTGAACTACTCGTTCTGAAAGTAATTAACGCGTACAAGTTGGACGATCAAAAGCAGGATTCTTCTTCCAGTAGTAGTAACTCGAGGTCTCCAGTAAGTGATGCAAATTTTGTAAGTACACGATTAGTGTGTAATTAGGGGATAATACTTTCCTGTGAATAGGTTCTTTGGATGGCAGAAAAGTGCGCCGCAACGATAGCTATGGTTCTAAAACCAGAACAAGTAATTCATCTGGTATCGACTATAATAACCACGGAACCATATCCATTGAATATGGGGGCAATAAAAATGCTTCACAAAGTTGTAGAACATTGGGGTCGCGATGCTATAGAACCTCATTTATCGAAAGTAATGCCTGGACTCATAAAGGTAAGCACAAAACAGTTTCTATAGATGCTTGCACTTGGCTGCATAGGATGTTAATAATTTTGTTTAATTAGGCTTACGACGATACTGAGAGTGCAGTACGTAAAAGTGCCGTTTTCTGCATGGTAGCGATACACTTAGCAGTCGGCGAAGAGGTATTGAAACCGCACCTCATTTGTTTGTACACCAGCAAACTGAAGCTTCTGAATATTTATATACAACGCGCGCAACAGACAAACAGTCAGCCAGCGAGTCCACGTAGCAATAGCAAAAATTAACTAACATCAAATTCCGCGACGCTTAGGATCGCGATACTTAAAAGATTTGCTCGTCTGGGTGCACGGCATGAACGAATGCTGGTTAGCTTCCTCAGTAAGTCCAATCCGTGACGACTATCAAGCAGTAAATTATAAAAGTTGAACGTTTCAATACTGAGATAGACTGATCTGTATGATTTCACGACAAGTTGTATGTATGTATGTGTGTGCGTGTGCGTGTGTGTACGGTACGTACGCGCAGTACGTGCTTGCGGTACGTGCGTGCGTGTTGCAGAATGCGAGAGAGAACGAAAGACATGAACTCCTGACAGTGATGTTGCACGGAAACAGGTAGTGTGGAAAGTTACTTATGCATAATATGTTTTGTTTGCCAAAAATTTATACCTGTTACTGAATAAGAGTTCCACACATTTTTTAGCGCCGATTAATCAAATTGCTTTAGATATAAGACTCTTTCCATTCGAGGTTCGTGTATTTTTTATCGATACGTTACAGTGTAATGTTAAGTTGCAACAGTGTATCTTGTGAAAAAAAAAGTTAAGAAAAAAAGAAAAAGGAAATATTTCATTCTTCCGTTTATCATATAAAGCTCGCGAAAACCAGTGTCGTGCCTCTCTTGTCCGTTTTGTGATTTTATATATTTTCAATTTTGTTCGCTACTCGTTAAGATATATATTGTACATATTTAGGTATTTCAGTGTATTGTTACGAATCTGTTAGTTGATCACAATGCTTCTCTAAAGGAATGTGATTCTCAATAAATAAATAGTTAATACACTTGGCGAAAGTTCGAGAAGATGGGTGCGACATCACTGCCGAGAGAATCATACCTTATAAGCATAAATAATGTACGTAATGCCGATCGTATATCGGCGTCAAACAGAGAAACATTGTACGAAGTACGTTATACGCTTGTTCATCGATTCGTAAACATTGATGATAGCGTTGCACGTGGCAGTAGGTTGCTATGCACATTACAGTGAATAAGTAAACGAAAGAAGTTCTAATAGAGAGATATCCGATGTGACGACGAGCGGTATGCCTAGTATATCTGCTCTGTACTACGATCAGTGAGAATGATAATAAATTTCACGGAGAAATACTTTCTTTCGCATTTCAGCATTAATCGAGAGACTGGCGCGAGTATCGCGTATTTGTTCGCAGCGTGTTGTACCATAAACGTGATTACCACGAGGACTTTTACATGCACGTAGACAGAAATCGAGAACGAAACTGTTAATTTATTTGTTCAAAATCCATGTGCTAGTCAGATTTCCAAGGACGCACAATATAAACCGGAAGTTGCAGACGCAATGGTCGGCACTTTTCAGACAACACAGGAGTTAATTACTTGGAGAAAAGAAGGGAAGAAAGAGGGAGAGAGTCTGCGAGAGAATGCGAGAGAGCGAATGAGGAGAGATTTAATACGACAAAAATCAGCAGAAGTTAGACTAGAAATGAGATTAACTTGGAACTAATGTTAATATTTAAACTATTCGTCACGTTGCCAATAATTAAACGAACGCTAAATCAAAGCTAAGGTAACAAGTTTAGTAAACATATTCTGTGCCATTGTCGTTTCTGTTTTATTATATAGCGATACAATTATATATAAATATATAGATATCATCCTTCGTCTTTTCTTATTAGTAAATCGAGATAGCAAGATAATTTCACGATGAAATTGAAAATGAATCGTCAAAGTGTTACAAGAAGTTAACATCACCGTACTATTCTATCAAGATGAACATCATACATAAATGAAGAAATTTTCTGAAATTGACAAAAGCAGACATCTTACTTGACTCAATACGTTTAAGAAGTGTTGGTAACGCGTTATAATTAGTGGCCAAACAGTGCCAAAATGATATTGGATGACGTACGAGGGGAAAAAGCAATCGAATGCGGACGTTTAAGCGTCGAGCTGTTTCTTTTACTTGGTGCCTTTGGCGTCGTCAGGACGAGATATGCGTGGGTATCGTCTTTCATCGTCTTGTAAAAAATAAAATGCTGTCGTTGAAGCGATCTGTAGTCTGCAAGTAGCTAGAGAAGCTCAGTTCGTCGATATTGTGTAAACGAGATTCTACAAAACGTTTTCTCATTCGTTGTTAAGATGCAATTCGATCAGATATCGTCTACCTTCTTCGTGTTCATTTTGCTACTTTGTCGTAGAACATGAGAGAACAAGCGTGTTTCTTCGTGGAACGATACGTGTTATGGTGTGTATCGTCGACATCGATTTTTAGAAACGTGTACGTACCGTCTATTTTTTCATAATACGATTAACCACAAGACGAATCGTTTTCACCAGTTGCTGTTTGATTACAGGCAGGGATGAATAGTTTCGTCAATATTTTACAATATTTCTTTGATGGATTTATTGAGAGTGAGAGAGAGAAAGAGAAATAAATACATAAGTAGAGGTATGCGATTACTAGTTTGTGTCCAGTATATGGTCTTTATGTTACGTTTATCGGTATGATATTATTCGTAATCCATTCGTCGTTGTCTCTTATTTATAAAAACGATTTAGGGTTTGACCTGGTGTGTGCGGATCGTGTATATATATATATAATATTATCGAATAATATAGAACCTAATGTAATATTAATTACGGAATAGGTAGCTCACCGTCACTGCCTGCAGCGTTTTGGTCATGCTGGAAGAATAAGCAGAAAAGAGAGAAAAAAAGAATACGCAGACCCTTGGCAATGCTGAGACTCTGCTTGATGTCGCGACCGTCTCTAAGAACAAAGGAAATGCTTGTTTTGTTAAGTTTTTGAGCATTATCATCGATTAACAGGATTTATATTATTATATTTACTCTAACGCGTGTACGATAATAAAACGACGTAGGTAATGAAATATATTGCAGCATATTATCGAGACACTTGCCACTTTTGCATTGCGACACGATGCTTCTCAGGCTACATGATTTTGATCCAATACGTAAGATCGTTTATTTATCGTTTAGGGAAGCGAAGATGAACATATGTACATGTGAGTTGTTATAATTCGGAAAGGATCATCGTGAGAATTTCTACATCAGTGTCCGTGCCACATCGTGTGTTAACTTCAGTGTATGTTAACGCTTTTTAGCTACCGAAGATCTGTCAACGCTTTGAAACGTTATTAAACAGTATCTTTATTTGTAATCAGTTTTGTATATTATTTTGATATTGCTTTATTTCTATTAGTTTAGTCAAATTATTTATAATTAGAGAAGCTGGTTTCCCTAACATAAGTAACAGGTTTCTGTAGCGGTCAAAGTGTTGATGGGATTTTTAATATCAGTATTTATTAACTGATAAGCTTATTAATTTTATTGTTAAAGCTTTGTTACTAAATTGGAATATTAACAAAGGAAATAGGATATTATGGTGATAAATTTTACAATGTTTATTTTTTATTCAACTAATTTTTATTATGCGTAAGTAATGCATTAAGGAATTGCATTTTCATTGTTATAAAGAGCACGGACATGTCTGTCGTGAGAAATAGTTGCGATGTAAAAAGGAAAGAAGATACGCCTTTTATGGAATCTTGGCGTCGACGATGGACTAATGTACGTAAACAAAATTACAATCTTTTTTATTTTCATAGTTGGTCAAAGGAAGGTCGAGTGTTATTATATTTGCACGATAACTATTACATATATCGTGATGTATCTTTGTATCGTGTCAATTTGAACACGACCAAATGGAATAGAATAACTTTTTGCACCGCAGACATGGCTATTAATTCTGTTATGGTTCATTTCGGTATTATTCACGCACAGATGTACTTTTATTCCTTGGATATACCCTGATCTTGATTTCTTTTTTCGTTGTTTTTGTTTTTCATTTTTTATTTCGACTTCTCACGAAAAGGAAATCATCGTGGAAAATTGTAAAGGAAAATGATTGTTTTGATCGCCGATATATTTAATATGCTAATCTTATTAGTATTAGAGGATATATTTTATATGCGAACGATGAATAGTCGATTAATTGCTTCATAATGTGTCAATAAATGGAATTTGAAAATATGTACTTTAGCTCCTCGTGTTAAACGTGTGTTGTAACGTCTAATCTTCTATAATGATCCCCTTATTAAACAAGATTAGAATTGACAGAATTAATATGCGATACTGCAATAAGAAAAGAGCGCAATTATTTCATTGCTACATTTTGTTCGGCAGCTTATACCCACGTACATATACATTTATAAAGCTCATGTAATTCATTATCATAATTTATTTTCGTTTGTTGGTTGATACAGTCGCGTTGAAATAAAAATTATTGTATATTTCGAAACTACTTTGACTTGAATCCTACTCGAACCGCCATTAATCGATTGTCGTATCGAATTGTGCATGTCATGAAAATTATTTTTAATTTTAATTTTCGCTTATGAATTGTTTTAAAGAATTGTTTCATTACATTGACATATATTGAAATATGATGTGCAAATTAAATAAATTATATTTAAGTTTATAGAAGTCGAGATGAACTATCGAAAAGTGCGATATTTTGACGACCAATGAGCGTGCAGTAATCCAGTTCCCGCGTAATTTTCTGACAGTTACTTCCTGTTCGTGAATTGTGGCGGTAGTTTTTTCAAGTGCCAGCAAAAATTAATGAATATTTGTGAATTAGTGAACAAGTAATTACAAAATATGCATAACTACGACAATTTAAATATGGAAACTGGAATTTTCATATACCTTCTGCTTTGGAATGACCTGTCACCTGTTGAATGTCAACCTAAGTCCACCTGTCATCGTCGCATTATCGAATCGGCAAGTGAAAATAACATATTTTATTTAATAATATAGTTTGTAGTGTAAATGATCCGTTTTTTTGTGGTTTCCAAAAATATAATTTTATTAGAAACATTTTATGAAATTTTACAATAGTACGTATACGCATACAGACGTAGATATATATTTATGTACACATACATGTATGTTTACGAAATACAAGCAAGTTGTATAGCACGATACAAAGTATATTTTATAATATAAACTCTACTCTGCTCGCATATTCACGCACACTCATATTATAAAATATCATCAAGCAGTCGACAAAAACGAAAGGCACTTGTCGAACCAATAATCTCGATGCATATTATATGTACGTTTTTAACGACTTCGAAAAAAATGAAACGCGGTGCACGATATACATACATATACATATGCTCTCTCCTACCGAATAATTAATCTTAAGCTTATTTCTTTTCGGTTACTACAACGATCATCGAGAATTTGGTTATGTTTGTATGGCTAATATTTTCGATTTTACGGACAAGCTGACTTTCGATAATAATCGGTTCGTTTAATTCTGTTTTGATTCCTATCCGCCCTAAACTTTACGATACAAATGGACGTTCAATCTGGTCCATCGATTATAAATTATCACATTTCATTTGAAGTACTTTCAACTAGTCAGCGGTAAAAGATCCGCGACCCCTTGGTTAACGAATTCGTTAAAACTATTTTGTGCGTTCAGTGACTGTAACAGTACGTAAAAATGTACAAGAACACGAATCGGTATAAACAGATATTGTACAAAACATTGTAATATTTTAATTGAACGTGATAAAAAGATCGTAACGTTTAAGTACCCGGTTAAGTATGGGCGCCATTGAAGAAAAAGCTAGTCCGTAATTTAAACGAATCGATCAATAGATGGCGTTCGGTAACACGTTAGCGCCTGCAGTTTATTGTCTGTATTCGTTCGAATAATAACAGTATATTTACCGAGAAAAACTGCGAAATCCTTAGATTTTTACGAAGTTTTACCTATTGATAAATTATATTAAGTATTACATAGTTCGAGACGTAGATACGTCTAAGAATGACTTAACATTTTTTTTATTAATTGTATGATTATGATACAAGCAATGAAAAATTTAATACGCTACAACAATAAATATCTCCTGAATTATCGACCATCTACGTCCAAAGCCACGTTCAACGTAAAAGTTCATTGAAATCTGAAGACAACGAGAAGTTTTTCTCGTAAATATTCTGTTCACTCTTTCGTCTCGTTTTGCTTTGAAAATATTAAATCACAGTAAAGTTAAGTTGGTTTCCAAAAGGAATGCTCTGCCTGCTCGAGAACGGCAAATCTTTTACAGATGTTCTGAAATGATCAGCGACTTAAGACAAACGCGATAAATAAAGATTTGTGTTCCCGAACGAAGAATCTTTATCGTCTTCTACAACCATCCGTTTCTACGGAAGGCGTATTAGATCAACGTATAATACTGTTTTATGTCTAGCGTGTAGAATCATTTGCTATATTTTTTGGTAGAAACTTGCTTCCTTTCTTTACCCTAACGTCACGTTAATAAGCGCATACTGTGCGTACTATCGATTTCTTTCCTCTCACGCATACTCACACGCACTCTCGCGCACACACATGCAAATTCGTACGCGCAACATTTTTTTTCCGAGGCTGTTTACCGAAGTAAAGTAACGGCCACAGAAATTCCCTAACCCGTTTTTCTACTCTTCGAACAATAAACGGTGCTTCGTATTATTAGATTCTAGTTGCATAAACTTTACGAGTGTTAATGTTAGGCCTCGTTAAGTCACCTGTTAATTTCAAACATTTGATTTTAACGCCGAAGAATATAACAAAGAAAAGAATTAGACTTGCCCTCAGGCTATCGATTTTTATAGGTTCTCCACTTCAGCTGAAATACGAAACTATAGATCTTTCGTAACATCACTTTAACAGCGTATAAAAAACTACGCACGTTTCGCGGTTTAATGGGTAACATTTAACTAACGACATTATCTGCGTGTCATGCATTGAATGGAACGTAATACGTACAGTTCGTAGCATTCTCGGCTTAGGAACTCTTTTGTTTGTCGCGATCCCAGCCGTACAGAAGAGAAAAAAGTTTTATACTTTCTGCACGAGTCTTGGATTCAGAGGCTCCGTGGCGGACGATTTCTCGGTTCGCTGCCTTCTTCTCGCCGCCCGCCGTTTCGCGGTCTTTGATTCGGCGCCGACTGCCAGGAAATGGTTCTGGAAGTACTCCTCGATCTCCGACAGCTTCTTGCCGTGGGTTTCTGGAAGCAGCAGCCATACGAAGACGACCGCCCCTATCGACACTGCGGCGAAGAACCACTGCACCGCGTAGGATCCTATGAGTAAAAAATTCGTGATAATTTCTGGAGTAAACGGAGAACTATATTTTCAAGTTGTAAAGATTTGCAACTTGCGCAGGTATTTTTTATATTTTTATATTTTTACCTCCAAGGAAACTTTGTAAACTTCTATAACTTTGCAGGGCGGAAAACATCAACAAGTTCGCGATGGAGTAGCTGATGGAATGAGCGATGCCCCGAATGTCCGTGGGGAACAGTTCGGCGGTCATGGTCCAAGGAATGGTTAGCATACCGACCATAGACGTGCAGACGTACAGCAACAGACAGGCAACTGGAACCTGATGAAAAAATAGAACGTTAAGTTTCTATATCTTCTGTTATTTTCTAATTCGAATGCATACCCAGTATCCGGAGCGATCGCCTGACTTAATTTGGTACGTGAAGTAACCGGAAACGGTCATACAAAGCGCCATACCCAGCGAGGAAATTATGCACAGTGCTCGCCTTTTGTATCTTCTCAGCAACCACGTGTTGACCATCGAACACAGAAACCGAGTTACACCGACTAGAATCGAGGCTATGTATTCGTCTACTCCCGAGCCAACTTCCTGTTACACAATAAGAACGATCGTTATAATTATCGTATAACTTTCAACAAATTAAAAGCGAAAAATGTCTTACTTGGAACCAGGTAACAGCGTAGAACAACGTGATGTAGATGCCAGAGAACTGTTGGAAGAAGAAGAGCAAGAAGAGTATCGTTATAGGCTTCCATCCTGTAGGCTTCAAGAATCCCCTCAACTTTGTAGAGATACCGCCGTGCTTGCTTTTCCTCTGCTCGCTTAATTTGATCTCGTTCTCTTTCACGATCGTTAGGTACTGTGCTTCGGCCGCCGACACTTTCCCTTGCTTCGTTTCGCACTTGTACAGCCTGCAAACGAACGTTGCAACGTTAGACGCTTTCCTTTCTCGTAACTTTGGTTCTGGAAGTACTCCTCGATCTCCGACAGCTTCTTGCCGTGGGTTTCTGGAAGCAGCAGCCATACGAAGACGACCGCCCCTATCGACACTGCGGCGAAGAACCACTGCACCGCGTAGGATCCTATGAGTAAAAAATTCGTGATAATTTCTGGAGTAAACGGAGAACTATATTTTCAAGTTGTAAAGATTTGCAACTTGCGCAGGTATTTTTTATATTTTTATATTTTTACCTCCAAGGAAACTTTGTAAACTTCTATAACTTTGCAGGGCGGAAAACATCAACAAGTTCGCGATGGAGTAGCTGATGGAATGAGCGATGCCCCGAATGTCCGTGGGGAACAGTTCGGCGGTCATGGTCCAAGGAATGGTTAGCATACCGACCATAGACGTGCAGACGTACAGCAACAGACAGGCAACTGGAACCTGATGAAAAAATAGAACGTTAAGTTTCTATATCTTCTGTTATTTTCTAATTCGAATGCATACCCAGTATCCGGAGCGATCGCCTGACTTAATTTGGTACGTGAAGTAACCGGAAACGGTCATACAAAGCGCCATACCCAGCGAGGAAATTATGCACAGTGCTCGCCTTTTGTATCTTCTCAGCAACCACGTGTTGACCATCGAACACAGAAACCGAGTTACACCGACTAGAATCGAGGCTATGTATTCGTCTACTCCCGAGCCAACTTCCTGTTACACAATAAGAACGATCGTTATAATTATCGTATAACTTTCAACAAATTAAAAGCGAAAAATGTCTTACTTGGAACCAGGTAACAGCGTAGAACAACGTGATGTAGATGCCAGAGAACTGTTGGAAGAAGAAGAGCAAGAAGAGTATCGTTATAGGCTTCCATCCTGTAGGCTTCAAGAATCCCCTCAACTTTGTAGAGATACCGCCGTGCTTGCTTTTCCTCTGCTCGCTTAATTTGATCTCGTTCTCTTTCACGATCGTTAGGTACTGTGCTTCGGCCGCCGACACTTTCCCTTGCTTCGTTTCGCACTTGTACAGCCTGCAAACGAACGTTGCAACGTTAGACGCTTTCCTTTCTCGTAACTTCGGTGAAATCTTTGTTTTCTACTTTTTTGCGGCTCGCAAAAAATTTTCTTTCAAATTCGATGAACTAATTTCGCGTTAATCGCGTCGCTGTACTTAGAAGTTTTCGTAACCAGAGATTTTCTCTTTGCTTTTTCGATAATTTCTTACCATTCCAAGGATTTCTTCGCTTCTTCCAATCGTCCCTTCGAAACGAGCCACACGGGCGATTCAGGAACGAACAGTTGCACCAGAACGATTGGCACAACCGCGTAAATGATACTGAGCCAGGCAACCACTCTCCAATGAATGTACGCTCCCTTTAAGTACGAGAGTACCATGCCAAAGGAGGCTAAAGTTGGGCCAAAAGATATCATCGATCCTCTGAGTTCCGGTCTTGCAACTTCGGTGATATAGACGATCGCTGGCGAGGTAGCTAGAGCCGTTGCTAGACCAGCTAGCAGACGACCGGTTAAAAGCATGGGGATATTCGTTGAAAGTGCTATGAGTATCCAGCCAGCGATGAAAGGTATAGAGCCTATTTGGAGGGTTCTCAATCTTCCGACGATCTCCATCAGAAAACCACCGAGCACAGCACCCACGGGAGGAGAAATTACCACAACGCTAGCTAGAAAAATTCGTTCATTCTTATTGTAGCTTTCTCCAGTTTGGAATCCGCGTGATTCGACTTGTGGAAAATACCGTCTCTGTTTAATCTAATTATTAAATTAGCGTAATTAGATTGTTATCTGAATGAGACATTCCTTTCTTGTTATTTTTTCGTTAATAGCGATAACGTTAAGTGTTTGTAAAATGACACAGAAATTCAAGTATGTGTTTGCTCAGATAGCTGATTGCTTAGGGAATTGTCATCTTTAATGACTTTATTGTACAGATGCCTAATCAAATATTTAGATATTTACGTGCAGGTGTAGATACTTGTTCAATATCTGGTGTTCAGGATACTTAGATAGCTGAGTAGGTTCATAGTTAAAAGATTTGTCACTACTCACCGATCCAGGAAGTTTGTTCTTTAGTAGCGTGTAGTTCCGCATCCTCGGCTTCAAGGTGAGGAATGAGAATCGCTGAATACGCCATGGCTAGACCGACAGAGATGTGGAAAGACGCGGCGATGATACAGGACGCGATCTGATCAAAAAATTGTACTTAGAAAAACTCATCGCATTTCTCACTGTAGAAGAACAATCTTGTACCTCGGGTAAAGCGTTTTTGATCTTGGTGGGTTCCGTGAAACCTTTGTTGAGGCTTCTGCTCGACACGATCGCATCTTTGAAGCATTCTCTTTCATTCTCCTCGATGTTCTTCGAGGCCTCGCGCTCGACACTGAAAAGTAGAATGCGTATGACTTTATTGCTCTTCGATCGAAGAATCAGGTGGTCAAACAGGTGATAAACTACGAGTAAAAGTCTCGACCCGTAGTTTACATAGCTTATAAATATTTATGAAAATGGACAGACTTCACTGCTTCCTTGTCAATTTCAAGGCTAACGGAGGAGACAGTTCGTAACACAGTAACATGTGCGACGATTCATGATAAAGCGTTTTCCTGTCTACCACACGTTCCATGTCACGTTAATGTAACGTTTTAACCCTTTGCGGACGATAGGCGACTCTCAGTCGCCACGGCTTTTCGTGCGGCAGGACGAGTGGCGAGTGACAGTCGACAGTCGGTGTATGTTTATGTTCCCTCTATCTCCAATCGACTGGGTCGCACTATTGCTTCTTAAAGAGGTTGCTGAACTGCTTAGGTTCTTATATAGGATGTGTAAAATGATACGTCGTAACAGAGATAAAATAATGAAGGGCCTTCCAAATTGTGTAGCCTTAACAACAGTATATAGGAAACAGTAATTCTTACGGGAACAAAGAAGGACTGTAAAGTTTGTTCAACCCGTAACAAACCAGGTGGTAGACATGAGACGACGTATTATTGTGATACGTGCCCAGATAAACCACGGATGCATCTTGGTGAATGCTATACAGCGTATCACACAAAACGACATTATAGACCGTAATTCTTGTAAAGATAGATAAGCTCTTGTAAAGATAGTTAGTTTCTTGTATAGATAAACATGTAAATATAGATAAACAATCCAAATATAACGTTTTTAAAAGGTAATTTATATGTAAGATCATTTTATTGCATCATGTAAGTCACGCAACGCATTTGCGAAAATCGCTTCGTCCTACTACCTTACCCGGCCGAAAAAGTCGTCGTCCGCAAAGGGTTAATATCTTGCGGGAGATCACTGCCATAAGTGTTTCGATTACGTTTTTATGTCCTTAGTTTCGATAGAAATAACATGTTTATTATTTAAGAAGGAAAATTTATAGTAAAGTAAGCAAGGAATAATTATTCCAACCGTTATCGTGAAACTAAGTTAAAAACTGTAACGATCCACTTATCGATTCTTATCGTAACATTGCTTAAGTAAACAAAATATTTATTTTACGTCGAAAAGATAAAATTAATTTTCTCAGTAAATTAACCTCTAATTGTATGCGTTCATACGAGTTGCATCGAAACTTCGGATATTTAGAATCGAGACGAAATTTCAGCGGTATCAATGTTATCGGTACAAGCTTTAATTTAAGAAATAAACGATCCGCTTATCAATCGTCATTACGAGCCACGCGACACGCGATCATTTCTACCGTGACAATGAACGAGCAATAATTAATATCGTATCGATTAACCGGTTGATTCACGATTCAGTGCGGTTCGAACAGTACCAGCCGTGTCAAAAGTATAATTTTCCGATTGTCTTTCGTAACGGTGACATCACGCGAATCAGAACTTATTGAGCACGCGCGATGTTTATGTCTATGTCGGTAATTGCGAGTAGATTTATAACAGTTGTCGATTTATTGCGACAACTCGATATAAGTGAAATCGACCGATGACCGGGAACAGCGGAACGATAAGTTCGTAGGCGACAGACGCGTTTTAATGAGACACTGCGAGAATTAAAGCGATAGATGTATATTTCTCAAGCAAGGTTAACGACATCCAGATGATCCTCGTTTAACGAACACGCTCCTATTTGAACAGCGTTTCTCAGCTGTTAAGAGGCTTAATTCCGCTTAATACGGTGGCGAGAAATTAATTCCAATTAATTGGAGGATTTTCGTTGATCAGCTCCAGACATTGTAACACATGAAAGTTTCCAATAAGTTACACGTGACACAGTTGCGCAACTTCGCTTCATTTATTCGGAGATTTAAGCGAAGTAACGATTAAAGAATTAGCGAAAGGATTTTTACGTTCACCCTTTCACCTTCGTCGTTTTCTCTTCGTTAGCTCTGACGTATTATGAAATACCTTTAAATTACGTACTGCGCGTATATGCTGAGGGAATCGTGCATATGCAGATGCGAGATTAATTACTGTGTTTGATCTTGTCCGACTATCCTTTAGCAAATAACTCTTGCGGGAGATCACTGCCATAAGTGTTTCGATTACGTTTTTATGTCCTTAGTTTCGATAGAAATAACATGTTTATTATTTAAGAAGGAAAATTTATAGTAAAGTAAGCAAGGAATAATTATTCCAACCGTTATCGTGAAACTAAGTTAAAAACTGTAACGATCCACTTATCGATTCTTATCGTAACATTGCTTAAGTAAACAAAATATTTATTTTACGTCGAAAAGATAAAATTAATTTTCTCAGTAAATTAACCTCTAATTGTATGCGTTCATACGAGTTGCATCGAAACTTCGGATATTTAGAATCGAGACGAAATTTCAGCGGTATCAATGTTATCGGTACAAGCTTTAATTTAAGAAATAAACGATCCGCTTATCAATCGTCATTACGAGCCACGCGACACGCGATCATTTCTACCGTGACAATGAACGAGCAATAATTAATATCGTATCGATTAACCGGTTGATTCACGATTCAGTGCGGTTCGAACAGTACCAGCCGTGTCAAAAGTATAATTTTCCGATTGTCTTTCGTAACGGTGACATCACGCGAATCAGAACTTATTGAGCACGCGCGATGTTTATGTCTATGTCGGTAATTGCGAGTAGATTTATAACAGTTGTCGATTTATTGCGACAACTCGATATAAGTGAAATCGACCGATGACCGGGAACAGCGGAACGATAAGTTCGTAGGCGACAGACGCGTTTTAATGAGACACTGCGAGAATTAAAGCGATAGATGTATATTTCTCAAGCAAGGTTAACGACATCCAGATGATCCTCGTTTAACGAACACGCTCCTATTTGAACAGCGTTTCTCAGCTGTTAAGAGGCTTAATTCCGCTTAATACGGTGGCGAGAAATTAATTCCAATTAATTGGAGGATTTTCGTTGATCAGCTCCAGACATTGTAACACATGAAAGTTTCCAATAAGTTACACGTGACACAGTTGCGCAACTTCGCTTCATTTATTCGGAGATTTAAGCGAAGTAACGATTAAAGAATTAGCGAAAGGATTTTTACGTTCACCCTTTCACCTTCGTCGTTTTCTCTTCGTTAGCTCTGACGTATTATGAAATACCTTTAAATTACGTACTGCGCGTATATGCTGAGGGAATCGTGCATATGCAGATGCGAGATTAATTACTGTGTTTGATCTTGTCCGACTATCCTTTAGCAAATAACATCCACTTATCATAATCGCCACAATTCACTGCATCGAAGTTCATCACGCGCCTCGTGACACTTGGGGAAAAAAGCGGTGCCCGCTCGTTTAATAGAATTAAACATTTTCTAAAATTAGACGCGCGAATTTAGATGTATGTGCGTATGTATATTTAGCGCTGGCATCTTTGGTCTTAGAACAGCGAGCGGCAAGTTTGGATGAATTTGACGGGCAACGTTTCGATATCGAATTTAATGTTCTCTTTGTTTGCAACTTGATGAAGTTGAGTTTTTGTTCTTTTATCAACGATCAGTTCTTAGATATGTAAATTTCCGTTTCCAATAAGTCGACTGTAACCGACGAGGTAAATACAAACCGCCGTAATGTCTCTACATTTTGAGACACGTAAGACGATCTTCGTAATCTCGAGTTTGTTTACCTTAAATTAGAATGTCTCGCGACGTTGCAAGCAATAAAATCAGAGTTTCATGGAATACTCGATATGATTAAGTAGGTGTAAATTTATCTGAGATAACAGGTCATTGAATTTTTGCATTTATTGCAGTACAAATATTTGAGTAGATCTATATCTGTAAATGAATATTTAGACTATTTCAATATTTCCATACTTGGTACACCTTCAAGTACACTGTATCGTTTGTGATACGTCGTATCATCCCTCGTAAGACGACTTTGAAAATAGACTTAACGAACGTTTCATCGGAAGTCTAATTAGAAGAAAAAGGCGATGAAAGTGTACACTCTGTTCGATTCATTAGCGAGCGCTATCATCAGCGTATAATCAGACTTTTAAACATTAGTTGGTATTTATAAATTTTCTCGATATGCTCTCATCGAATTAAATAGAAAAGAATTTTCAAAACACTCTTATGTTTCGTAAACGTATGATGTGGTCGTTTAAATGTTGTAAAATTGCACTTGTAACATCCCCGTTACTCTTCTTCAATTTACAATTAAACTCGTTAATAAAACGTAGAAACACGGTCGAAGGTCGCTTTCCAAAATTTGCGTACATTAATTCGTGACCGCATACTATCGAAAACAAAATTCGAGGACGATCAGCGAATCACAATAACTTCGAGGTCGTCTTCCACTATGTTGAAATAGAAAATCGTTTTACAGTTTGCAAAGCTTTGAGAACCTCTTTTCGTGAAACAATAGCACAACCGGTCGGTAGCGGTGACGCAAGGAGGATTAAAAAAAGAAACAAGCACTAAACTAGTTACGTGTCCAACTAATAAATATCACTTTTATCGTTCGACAACTCCAGTAATCCTCAACTTTATTGGATCCAACGTTTTAAACTTTGAATGAGACTTTTATGTGCAGCCATTTTATATCCGAATAAGAAAGCTCGTTTTTCAATGAACAGGTAACAAAGAATTTTTACCCTCGTAAAGAGGTCACGTTGGGAAGGATGGTAAGGAGAAAGCTGGCTTTATATCTGCAGGATCCTTCGATGTCCCGTGGAAAACATTCAGCCCAGCAAAAAGCGGACAAAGAGAAGATCTCTGGGAACGTTTCGAAAACCTGTTCAGTTTGATGGATCGTATTTGTGCCATGCAGGTAACCCATCGATTTTTCTAATAATAATCATGCCTTTCAATAATTATTCTTACAGGGAAATTGTCACTCCGTGCTGAGAGGATGAAATTAACGGACGGTCACTTAAGCGAATTAATCACAAAAAAAGTTGGAGCTACGTAATCAAAAAGCCCATCATTTTCAATCGTCTAATCCCGTACGCTTAATTGGTTCTTACGTATACGCATTATATTCTTAAATAATACTGACCTCAGTGAATAAGGATCCATGGTCGCTCTTTGTGCTTCTCACTGTAGCTACTGTGTGAATGAACTTTCAACTTGCTTTTCTCCCTTTCTTCGCTTGACGTCAGTCAATTTTCGACCTCTCCTAGAAAGAACCCTCGTCAACTCAGACTGAAATTATTGCACTTCGTCACCATCTTACAGTCTGAAACGAGAAAAACACGCAGACGTAATCTTACGTCCATCAACTTCTTATACGAATCTCTAATCGAATCATTTTTTCAGGAAAAAATGGAGAAACGAGTCGCTGCGGATTTCATAGAATAGAGTAGGGTGCAAACAGGTATTTTTGGGAAGCAAAGACGCACGAATGCAATGTAATATGGTCGCAGAAGAAGCGACAGTGATAAAATGCCATCAGAAAGAGGACGTAGCTTGCATAACACGAATACCAGTGTACACGGTAATCACGAGCATGCGTTTCGAAGGAGACTTGGAATACCATACTTAATGATACGGTAATTTTGCAATTGAAACACCGTTCAGGACACTACTTTCTATGTCGGACGTAAGACGGATTTTTCTCCTGCCTTTCATAACATGCATTTTCGTTCTAACCATATACATGTTTTCCATCGCTAAGCTTTTTGTATGATAATCTACGGTTAGAAAACATTCCAGGCGAGAAAAGGTAGCAGGTTGCTGTAACGTAATGAAATTGAAATTGCCACAGAGTTGCAATTTTTCCTCGAGCGAATTTCGAAAGTCGATAAAATGTCAGAGGATGAATCTTTGCGGACTTGTTGTTTAGAAACCGATCGCGTTTTTCTCGTTACTCGCCCGCCATAATGTCTGCAACAAACGTCAACGCTCGTTTCGTTTCGCTGTAATGAATCACGATCGATAAGGACTTTGCGCGATGAATTGCATAAACGATTCACGCGCTGCACTTAATCACGCGGTCCGCAATTAAGGGCAGTACTCGATTCGATATTATTTGCACCGATATTCGTTATCTTAAGGAACGTCGTGATTTGATTGAAACTTTGTTAGATCGTTTAATGGTGAAACGATGTCTGATATTTACACAGCTTGACTAATTACTACCGATTAACCGATATCGAATTAAATAATATATATATCGAGGAAATGGATCACTTTTATGAGCGTTATCGTCTACGATCCGGTATTTAAAATATCGATCAAGCGGTATAAGATAATCCGAGTATTCCAGACGGTTGCGTCAGAACTTATCGATACTCTTTGCTCTAAAATTTAACACACTGTTATAATAATTTCAGTAATTATTACGTCAAGTCACTCTAGGATTTTTCAACATTTCGAGAGCCACTTAAGGCGTCTAGGAAAATAACCGTAACAGAGATCGCCCGAGATAAGTTGCAACCCGGAAATCGATATTTAGTTCGAATGCAAAGCGACCGTATGGTGGTCAGAGGTCGGATAGCAAAATCAACTTTGCGTAAGGTAAAGTCTTGCTAGCAGACCACAGGTGCGGCTTAGCTAAAATTACGTCATTTACGCGATTAAATCATCCGTTAGCAACGAGATATAACAGTGGAACTCTCGTGTCACTGTTAGATGTCGTGTAACATTATCTGGGAAAGGTTTCGCGATAAAAATGCTGCGTATCGACTCAGCTTGAAGAGCTGAAAATTTACTGCTTCAAGTTAGGTCAAACTTTATGGTAGTTTAATTAAAAGTAGATGACGAAGTTTTTAAGCCTTGCACGATGCAAGTGGATCTTTGAGTAAAATTAGAGTCTCAAATTTTTGACCCTGGAGCCAGGTCAGTTATGACCTAGACCCATGCGTTCATGGTCTAGTCACTTCGATCAAAATTAGACGTCGAAATTTTGAACCCTCGAAATGGGTCAGCTATAACTGAAGCTTATGACGCTTTCCTATAACTATACGCTGCCGGTGTTAATTCGATACTAATTGAACGAAGCGTATAACGACTGTATCACTACTTATTGCATAAAATCTACACGTGTAGAAGTTATTCGAACGATAACAAAAAAATCTTGTAGCGTTTTTGTTCCACGTCTAGATCTTCCTTTGTAATAGCTTCTTCCGCAAGTCATTATACAAAATGGCACTATTCTTCATCGCAAAATGAAAACCACATCGACCGCAATGCTGAGTCGCTGTTTAGAGCTGATATTAAAATTACTTGTTATTACATATTCGATAGTGCCAATATAACTCTCGATTCATCAAGACTCCATTGTAAACTCTTAGTTACAGTGTTATATATTGCCTTGAAATTCCTCGTTTGACATGGATGTTCCCAGTGCTTATAAAGCACTTTCGACATCTAAATAAAATTAAAAGACCGTTCCACACTTTCTGTGTCTTTAAGTCGCAATTGACCATATCGCTTTAAGTAGGCGCAAACGAGAATTATAAATGTAAATATTAGAAAATTTGCGGCAAATGTATTCAAGAACTGAAATAATCCTTTAACTTAAACAAAAAGTCACTATACACAATGTCAAGTTCTGTATTTCATTTTCAAATTGTACGACAGAATTCTGCTGTAAAAACCGTTACGTTTCGTTGTTTCTATTTCTCGGTTTAAAGTCTGATTTCAAAAACAATATTTGTATCGTGACGTATTCGTTTACAATGGATTTTTGGAATTCGACTTTTAAATTTTAGTCTTGCACAAACGACAGAATTATCTGATTTAACCAGCTTTTTAAACTCTGTGCAAATTCGAGTAATTTTCAATGTTATTTCGAGCAACCTCGAAAGGAGCGTCAAAATAAGCTTCACAGCCATGGACAATCTATTTCCGATAGTTCATCGCACATATCCAGCCTACAAAATATTGAAGCGAATCTGGTTGAGCCTTCTAGACAGACTGTTCTCGAACCGTAGCTCTTCGCCGTTTAAAATTTATCGGGACTCTGCAATTCGATTTATCCTCAATGCATCTCGAAAACAAGCTCCGTTTTTCCTCATAGCGTAAACCGAACGATCTCGTAAGTTTAGTCGGTAAATCGATTCGAAACACTGGCTCGAAGCCGGTAATATTTGGTAAATACGATTAACGCGAATAGATGTACGAGTAAGGACAATCGCTCACCTTCAAGATTTCGAATTTTAGTTCCAGGCGTTGGGACTTTCTGCAAATTGAATGTAAGAGAAGACGAACGAAACGCCTGATCTCTCCCTTTTCTTTCCTTTTCCTCTGTTCTCGTCACGCAAGAGCAGCAGGAACCTCCGTCCGACTCCAAACGGCTCGCGACGTGTAATGCGCGATGGCCGGTACGCGACTAAAACCTTTCGAGAGAACGCTGCCGGCTGCCTCCCAACGCTCGCTCGATCCTCTCTTCGACGCCTGTTTTCCGTGCCGGTATGTCGCCAACTATACCAATTTAACCCTTTTCGGTCGACCCGCAAACTATACTCGCCAAAAACATTTTGATTAGGTTGTTCGATACGGAGTACACGATCTCGAGAAACTATCATTACACTTCGATCGGAATGACTGTGCACGCCTATTACGGATGTGGTCAATTTTTTCCTCGAATGAAAAATTATATTCGACGGACATTTCGATCAGATCGTATCGAGAAATCAATCTGGATGGCACAGAAAGTTTGACGCGATTTTATGAAGGAAATTGTTATCAATTTCATATTTGAAGCTCGATAACAATTACAAACCATTTATTTTCATTTTTGAGACATGACACTTGCAAAAACGTTTTTATTAAATGTCGATCTGGTTAGAAGAATAGATTCCATGATAAAAATGAGGAAACTGATCGGATATTCTTTTGCAGATTTTTATTGGAAACGAGGACTACGTCTCTAAGAAAGCAAGAGCTCCGAACGATGACCTTTTCATTCGAGAGATCAATTATCAGGTTCGTGAGCCGAAACGAAGGAGGAAGTTATTATCGTATTTCTGACAAAGTGATATTTTGAATACCACAGACTGATTACAGATTACTTTTTCTTCAGGGAATTTGCTACGATTGTTCTTTTATCGAATTGCCGACGAATTCTCTCAGACTAAAAGCTTCGAGACGTGGTTGGATATCGATTGCCATGGAACGAATGGGATACTTTTGCTCGATGTATTTTTAGGGCTCGTACACGTATCAGATCCAATTACCATTAAGGTCGAAATTTTTCCTTAATTCCGAGGTAAGAGATATCAATACTTCGAGAATAGCAACAAATATAGAAAAATTTTCGGCTTATCAGATAGTACTAGATAATTCTGTTATAAAACTCCGCTTGTATACAAACTAATAAAACGTTAATCATGATGACAATTTATAACGCTAGTTTATCCTTGCGAACAATATTCTTTGAGTGATCGATAGTCATGGTAACGCTGGATTTCGGTGGAGTTACACAACATGTTAACGATGTTGCACAAAATATTTTTTCAATGATAATGATAGTTTACGCTCAAGCATTTGTGTAACAAAAAATGGGTGATGAAATTTATTTCCATTTATACATTATTGATTACATTAGAAATTCTGATGGAAGTTGATCGAAAAACCATTTGTATTATATGAATAAAAATTGACATGTGTACATAATTTTGTACAAACGTATACGTTTCGCAGATGTGAATTTAGTCGAGTCTCAAGGGTTAATTGATTAGAGTCTTTGAATTTTCGAAGAAGCTTTGTAACTTTATACGTATAGAAGCCATATCTATGAATCGTCAGAAATTTGATTTTGAAAAAATTGATAATACGATAAAGCTCGATTTACAAGTCGATAACGACGTGTGAGGCATGTAAGAGTTCACGTGAACGATAGCGCGTATTACGAAAACGGCGATCGGGGTGGAAGCGTGTGAATCACGTGGACAACCATGAGTACCGTTCATATGGTGTACCGTGTGCGTCAGTTTTGCATAGGAAGTCTTTACGAAACGTCGAGTAGAAAGGGGCGATGCAACAACGAAGAGATATGCAAGGAAAGGCTCACGGTGTTTAACCCATTTCTTCAGGGTCGTCACCTTTCATGGAATCAGTAGGCGTATCTTCGTAATATTCAGCGATAATAAACTATCGCGATTAGGATCTAATCAGCGTGTCTAATCGTCTCGATCGCGATAACCGAGACACATTTCTTTTCGTTTTTAATCGACGAGAAAATATAGTCGTCTACGGTGAGATAATACCTAGTCTTATGAAAGATAAAAAGTGCAGGAGGATTATCGTGTCGCAAGGTCTGTACAGATGCTATAAAATAAGACTTTCGATATAAACATTATACGATGTTGTCAACTGGTACAGATAACGAGACAGTTTGAAAGATTCCACACGAGTTTTATCGTATGATTTACATTCGAACGTTCGAATAAACTGGTTGTCTCGCTATCTTCGCACTAATTAGTATTAGTCTTCTGTGTGAAATTTACTAACGATCAGCTGATCAGCGGACACGTTTGAAATTGATTCAACAGGACCGGATTGAAATACGTTCTGGAACGTTTGATTCTTCTGGTTTGCGAAGAAAATGTTTATAAAATTTACTGTAACACGATGCGAGTGAACAATTTCAATCGGTACGATCGATACACTGATTGAATGGGTATCATGTATCGATTGAATGCTCGAGTATGAGCAATGATCGAGATTATTCGACTCCTATGATTGTACTTTGATCCGCAGACGAGCATCTTCGATAAAAATTCGTTTAATGAGTAAATAATATTAAGCAGTTGTATAAATAATACTGAAAGAGTAATTAACTTTTATTGCGAATTATAATAAGATTTTTGTATAAATCAAATAACTAAGAAAACAGTAACAGATTGAAAGCTTGACTGAAATGTATAATTTTAATTATCTTTATTAATTAAAGTTTTCTATGTCTGTGATTACACACGTCCGTTTCCACTGCGATACTGAGCAAATAGGATTAAAAATTGGGATACAGCATTGTCAATATTAGTAAACGAAAATCAGACGAAATTTCGTTTCCTCTGTTTGCTGGAATTAATTGTTATTATGCTGCGTATCACTGGTTTTCGTTTTGTGAAGAACGTGATCACGAGGATACACGAGTGTTTGTAATTTAGAATCATTTCTCGGGTTCAATTACTCACTTGACCTACCATTGTCAACGTTAAACATACGTTTAGATTACATAGTTTCGCGAAAGCTCCACGCAAACTTCTTCTGTTTGCTGTTTGTACACAACGTCAAAAAAATAAACTTCTTTTTTTTTAAATTAGCTTACAATATGAAACTTTTTCAAAACGAATTTAAAACAAGGAATTTTAAATGTAATTTGATAAACGAAAACATATTAAATATTTCTGTGTATTCAATTCTATATTTTCAACAATGATGGAAACAGATGCACGTTATCGTTCGATTGTTTGTTGCTTAAAATTTCGCGGCTCAGTGTGGTAAGCGCAGTCGGTAAGATCGTACTGCGAGGAACAACTTGGCAGTACGTAACTCTTCCGTTCGATAGAATTCGGGAGTAAAAATGGCAGTGTTCAGTAGATTATTATTCGGAAATAATCAAAAATTGTTACAAACTAATGGATTACTGACAAAACTGCTGAATAAGAATAGTCCATTACTTAATAAACAAACAGGTAGAAACAATTGTGCCAGTTTCATGGATAATAGAGTTATCTGAAAACCGACAGTGTTTTGTTACGCAACGTTCGAAAACAACGAATTTAAGTAATTTTTGTCTATTCGTCTTGCTCGTTTCGTTTCGTATCGATGATAAGATATGCGAAATAATGTTATTCAATATAGAGATTACTGATCATTTGTAAGACCTATAATTCATTTCCCAAATAGAGGTTATAGTTTGGAAATTAATTCATGCAGTTTGAAAAGAAATGACAATATGTCAGTATAAATATTAGAATTGATAATTACATGTCGTACATTGAATACAGGTCTAATAAGTAGCTGTTAGCTAATGTAATTTCTTCCTCTGCAGGAAGTCTAAGATGCATGTCAGAGCATCGAACAATACCTATACATGCAAGTCGCTGGCAATGGCATAAAACCAAGGATTGGATACACTTCTACTTTTTCGTGGGTGCTATACCTGTTGCTCTGATTATTTTCTATGCAAACGTGTTTATAGGCCCTGCAACACTAGAAGAAATACCAGAAGATTATGTTCCACAACGATGGGAATATTTTCGAGTAAGGATATGGTTAAAAAATGTTTCATAGTGCAAAGTATATAAAAATTAATTGCATCTTCATATATGTTGTTATAGTCTCCAATTACAAGATTCCTTGCAAGATACGTGTTTCCAAACCCACAGCAAGAATACGAGAAGCTTCTTGCCTATTTGGAAATTACCGATGCAAAAAGGAGATTGCGATTGCTACATAATCAATTTATCGATAATATCAAGGATCATCAGGATTATCCAGCATATTCTTATCATAGAGCTATGAAATTTACGTACATCAAAGAATATAGGAAAATGATGGATGAGGGAACAGTATAATTCATTTGAATCTGTTACAGTTGATTTATATACATAGTGCACCCAAATATTGTACAAAGTAAGCATTACAATTAATAGCTGTCAAATAGAAACTATAATAAAAACTATTTGTAGTTGATTCTATGGCAGTCAACTGCTTTTTCATACGAATTTCTTCAATAGACAATATGTTTCAAGGATCACAAGGGAATTGTACTTCTTGTGCATAGGTGTCTTCTCTTGAAGAGCAGATATTATTGCAAAAGGAAATGTTGGAAAATAAACGAAGTAACGTTTGCCAATGGGATACCAAATTTTGACTTTTTAATTATCCCTTCAGACTGGTACATTGGGATTTATGCTAATGCCAGTCATTATGTCCCAGCCTTCTTCCCGCTTGCATGATTGCATCCATATGAAACGTATATACGTAAAAATATAAATAATATATCGCCTACAACCATTACGCCATTCACCCTACAGGATAACGACCAGAAGAACCATAAGATATCGGACTCACCGATTATTGATTCGTACTACTCGCAACGTAATTCAGCAGATTGATGCTCAATTGATTCGCTGCTTCTACATGTAATTTTTCATTCATTTTTAAGTTAACTTTTTGCTCTTTTAAGGCAAATTATTAATTGGAAGGGAAGTAAAAAATTTTGATTTTTCAGTTTAGAATTTTCAAGAAGCGCTTTAAATTTCAATTCCTGCCACCATGAGCGCTGCAATACAATGTCAATCCCAGTTGATAGAACAGAATGCGACACGAAAATGGTAAGTAGCATCTACAGCCCCAAGAGTATGAAACAAAACAATTAGCTAATTGGTTTAATCTATTGTGTACTTTGTCCATGTTGATGCAAAGAATCGCAGCAATTTTCTTTCCGTTTCAACAAGGAAATTAAAACGTAATTCTTTCAATTCATTATGTCGGTCTTACACGTTAGTTCGATCAGTAATTCTACCATTAATGAAATAAATTGGCAAATCAACCGGAAAAAAATGAACGATGCACAATTAAATTCAGTTTGAGTCGAAGTAAAAGATTTATACAATGTAAGAATTTTTCAATAAGATGTTTACTTAAAAGATTACGTTACGACTAATCAGTTTCTGCAGAAACAATTCATCGCCATTAAAAACATTAGACTTTTGTTTCGATAAATTTTATCAATCTCAGTTGACAAGATTTCCACGAACTAGATTATAGTTTAATTACAAAATGCTTTCACCAGTTCTTGCATAAGACACAAGACATATTGTTATACAATCGATAATAGCCTGTCAATGAAGTACAAAAACAAAATGTTGCGCACGAGTCGTTTATGTTGTTAACAAGATAAGTAAGAAGTAGACGAAGGCGTTTTCTTTTTGCGTGAGACGCTGGAAAGCAGAAGAAACTGTCACGATCGAATCGTGTACGATTATTATTATTATTATTATTTTTATTATTATTGATGGACATACATCTGCGGTAACGCAACTCATAGTTAGTGGTCATTGCCAAGGTTGCCTCGAGCATCTTGCATAATGCTCTACAGCGTTTTCCGCGGCAAACTTACGGAAGATTTGCGCGAGTACACGCTATTTCTGCGCTTCCTCTTTAGAAGTCTCTTGAATCACTTCCTCCCGGAGAATCGATCTTCGATCGTTGTTTGTCTCTTGTTGTTTTTCCTTTTTCTCCTCTTCATCGTGTCGATTACCCGTATACTCGTTATTATGTAATTCAGGTATTCGTTTCTCAGACCCGACCTGCACAATCCGACTGATTCTGAAAAAATCTTGGCACAATTATCGATCGTATTGTGGAATGAATAATCTTGTATTCTTTACTCAATTAAGAATTACAAGATTCTTAATTAGCCTCGATCCTTTTTGTAATTATAACAGGCTTAATTTTTATGAAAATTCCACTAATGATAATAGTGTTCAATTATGAAACAAAAGGTGATTATAGATAGTTAATGAAGTCTTATTTTTTTATCAAATCTTTGTAAATAACAAAATTTTTTATTGACAGGAGTTTGCCATGCAGCGTGAGGCGCCTGTACAAGATTAAAACCTCTCCGTTGAGAAAGATCACAGTGAAGTATAGTTGTAAACGATGCTAATGATTTTATGAAACAGCGCAACCGCTCGAGCGAAAGTTTTATTCCACTCAACAGATTTAGAAAGTTTCTGCTGACAATTGGTTTGGCAGTTTCGATCGCGAGCGCGAAAGTAATCGATCGACGATAAATCATAGAGTGGTTGTTAGTGGATGTAAATCAATCGTGATCGATTTCCGCCTTAATCTGAGAACAAAGTTAATCACGACGTAATATTCAGTCCCAGGGATTTGAGACTCGACAGTGATGTAATAATTATGCAATTACAAAAATTGATTCTTACGTTTAATGATCGTATTGCGATTTGACGAAACGTTCATTAAATATTCGTAGCTTTCAATATTATAATTTTCTCTAAAATCCTTTTAAAATTTGTTCACTCTTTTTTTTAAAGCTTTTATTCACTGCTCGGATAAAAATTAACTTGTTTTCAAACGGCGTACAAGTTGTTCGAGGAACACGGAAATTAGAAACGATTGAAAAAATGAAAAAATCTAAAAAACCATTACGTACGATTACATGTTATATTGTAATGTTATCATAGTTGCTTCTATCATAGGTGCATCACTGTGTTGCATAATGACATCAAATGAAATCTAATACATTGTTCATATTTTCAGAATTTTCTAGTATTTTTCCATTATTATTTCTTCTTTTTTAATTTAATTAGCCCCTTCAAAATCGATGCTTATCTCAGTAATCATCGCTTTAAAAGTATCGCGTAACGTTTCCCCACGGAATCACCGATGCTTTTTTAAATCAAAGCTTATTCCACGCTTCCTGTTTTCTGCATGTTAATCTTCAGTTCAACCAGAATAACGCCGAAACACGACAAAGGAATCGAAACTTCCTCGTTACATTCAACGTAACATTCTTCATTCTCGAATTTCAATCTCCGTTTATAATGCCGGTATTTCGAATCGTTGAGGGATATTAACTCGCGAATCAAAGTGACATCCACGACAACTCCGTTGCCAATTATCCCTCCCTTCCTGCGTCCCTCGAAACTTCTTGGTTAAAGAGATACAGACTGATTACCCGAGTGTTTCGTTGAAATGAAAAGGTAATTGCACCGCACGATCTTTTATTAACGCCAGTTTTGCGGTTTCTATTTCGAAAAACTTCCTTAGCTTCAACCTTTGTTATGGGAGGAAACTAGGAAATAAGGAGGGTATATGTTTATTTGAAGGACTCAAGTTTAGTGGAATTTGGGGAAAAAAATTAAGGAGAATGTAGTTTAAGGTGAGTGTCCCGCGGCGGCCATCTTGGTTGCCTAGATCAGCGTCTGTCTCACCTTCGAAAATTCGACTTTACTCTGTACAGAGTATTTATTACTATCTGAAACGACCACAGAACCTTGTAGGGAAGTCTATTGATGAGTGCTGTACTCGTAGAAACATCATTTTCGCAATATTCAAGCGTTAAAGTCGAATTTACGAAAATTTGTCTCTCTCACACCAATGTGCGAAGGCGATACGACTTTAACGCTTGAACATTGCGAAAATGATGTTTCTACGAGTACAGCACTCATCAATAGTCTTCCCTACAAGGTTCTCTGGTCGCTTCAGATAGCAATAAATACTCTGTACAGAATAAAGTCGAATTTTCGAAGGTGCATTAGTGACGGACGCTGCTCTAGACAACCAAGATGGCCGCCGTGGGACACTCACCTAGGGTAAGTTTGTGCAACCCCTATTGTTTTCTATCGAAAGAGTTTTCTACCACTGATTAATGTTACAAAAAACCGTCGGTCATTAATCGCCTGAAAATTTACACCGATTAAAATTTCATCGTGATTCCATTTGGAGCAATCAAAGATGCAGATTAATTGTCTCGATTTCACTGGAGTTACGACAATTGCTCAGCGATGTATTGTTTGAATAGTTTCGTATTACATCAGTCTTACGTGATATCGTTTTGCAGGCAAGAAAGGCGTCGAACAATTTATCCGCGACTAAGTGGTTCGCCTTCTGGATCATTCGTTCTAATAAATAATTTTCCGCTGGACGTTATCGCGAGGAACGATGAATAGGTCATGATCGGTGCATAAAAAAGTACGGATAGTAAGATAATCACCCGGAGGATTCACTAAAACGGTTATTATGCAACGACTCGCGAGTGTTTAGCATAATTGAACGTGTTGTATAGTCAGAGAAACGTAACAGAGTGACGTTATGAACGTGATTGAGATCGAGTTAATTATTCCAGTACGTAATAGCTTCTTATGTACAATACTCTGGAGTTATCGTTACTTTTTTGTTACTTTATATCTCTTTCACGAAAATACTCGTTCTAGACAAACAAATTTTGACACCGGCAAAGAAGGTTGAACGAAAACATTTTTTTTTTTCAATCTTTTTCATCTGTTTGCACGGCTCGATTATATACCATTACGTTAATTATAATTACTCGATTACGTGGATGCACGTCGGCACGTACGTCGTTCGAGTATCCAGAAACTGGTTCCAAAGCGATTAAAATGCGTCGTGCAAAATGGAATACGAACGATATTCTGGCGCATTACTAATCGTTTTCGAAATGTACAAGGAGATCGAAAGAAAAAAGATATAAGGTCAACGTAATCGGAAACGGAAGGGCAATTTTGATTTGCATAAAAAACATTCGTCATGAGGATAGCTTCCTGAGTCCTTGTACGTGTTTCCTGGTCCAAGTCCGACTTTCGTTCATTCACATCGTGGTCGATCAATGGCAAGGTCACGAAGGAGAAAGACAGGTTCCCGAAGAAAAAGATTAATACAGCCTCCGCTAGATACTCTCACCTACTAACCTTACGTAAGGTCGTTTCCATGATTTTGGAGACTGGAATCAATATTCTTGTCAACACGTTTTGATTTATTCGACGCTGCTAATTCTAACGTTTATCTATGCTAATGTTACGTAAAGCGTGTAATAATTAGGATCGCTAACTTTGTGCAGATCAAAGATACTCGTCTCGTTAAAGTAAATTGCATTTGCACGCAAGGCTGTAATGGGTATTTATTTATTTAAATTTGCGGAATTATTAATTTACATTTCAATTCTTTTGATTTACAGCTGATAGATCTACAAAGGATTTTCCGCTATATAAATTGCATACAAAGCAGGGATTTCTGGTGCAAAAAAGAGGATATCTAATAACAGCGTAAAAAGTAAATCGATTAATCATCCGTGGCAAAAGTATGAATCGATTGTGCTGATCAGATTAGATCGATAACGTCCGTTAGGAAAAAAATCCCGTTGAACGCGTGCCGATCGTACGCAGACTGTTTTAAAATTCATACATCGGAAAGTCCTAGTCGGAGAAAAAGCAGAACGATGACAAAAGAATCGACCGAATAACTGGATAATCGTTGGCTATAAGAAAAGTATGTCGAAGAAAGAAAAACAGACAAAAAAGAGAGCGATCGAGAGAAAGAAATAAAAAATACGATGATCAACGATTCAACGATGAACACGATTTATTGCTGGCGTCGTTAGAAGGGTACCTTGAAAAAGTTCGTTGTAAAAATAACGCATACCAGAAATAATCTTTGTAACAATGGAAAATTCTCATTTTATATTTTATTTAGATCCGCACAAGATTCTCGATAATTTAGAAGTGAACAATTTCAGGTAAATCGATACTCGATAATTAAAGTATCAGATTTACAGGGAAAACCAAGAAACAGATATCTAACGTAAAAAGATCGAAACAAAGGATGTACAGATAACGCGTAATCAAAAGATTAGATTAGAGTCATATCATAGTAATAATTGTACTAATTGCTAAATCGAGAACACTTTTTCAATTGACATTGCATCCGGTCAACCGATTAGTAACCATCTTCCTAACTTCGTCTTCGAATCGACTCGTAACACGATTGCAACATTTCGTCACGCAGCTGCATTCAGAATTTACATTATTCAAGGGCCATGTTCCCTCGGGTGTAGCTTCACGCAAGTTGACGACGGTGTTTTGATATCGTTTACAAGTCGACTCGAAAAGATATATGCTGCGTGGGTTGGCCGTGAAATAACAGTCGAAGAATCAAAAATAAACCTACTTTTGCGAATAAAGAAACGAGTCTACCGAGGTTTTCGTTCCTTTACGACGCGAAGATGCATCCGCAAATTGCGAGATTTTTAGGTCAAGTAGAGAACGAAGGTCCCGGTGATCGCGTAACAATTGTGATTCGGAGAAATAGCGATCGTAAAGGGATAATCGATGAATACTTACAGTTGATGTTTTGGATGCTTCATAAAAATATTATCTACGGACACGCTCTTTACTGATCTTGAAGTTACACTCTTTGAAAGTTTGCCGAAGACTTCGATGATTTAACAATTATTCCCCTGCAAGTAGTATTAGACGAGTGATCAGACACATGGTCACTTAACGGTGTTTATGGTTCTTTTTACACACGATGCAAATCACAGACAATGCTCGAAGAAAATTTCCTCGATCCTGATTTAGGCCATCGATTTAATTTAAAGGCATTTCTCAATAAATCGTCTTTCGACATCCAGCACCGGTCGCGACCTACCTGTTGTTATTAACTTCACTTTTTACCGCGAGCGAGTGTTACAATCACTATGGAGGTCGTACCTTTTGTCGTGAATAGGTAATGTAATAGTACCTTTTACCGGTAAACGTGCGAACAGATCGTAAGCACGAACAGAAGCAGTTTAGCGAACAAGCTCCGAACGTAACGTTCCATTAGTGAATTATCAGAACTCTGTTAGACTGTTTCGTTAGACTCGTTCCGAAATCCGTTAGGAAAAGATTTTTCACACAGTTCCAAGGTGGGTAGTCATCGAGGTGGATAGAAAAATGTTTCCCGGAAAATTTTAGCAACCGCAGATTCTAACGCGATGACAATCTCTTAAAAGTTATAACTTCTCAGAAAGATAGTTGATCGCGGACCTAGGTGCAAAAAATAAGCCTATTGTTTTGTCAGTCGTTGAAAGTTGAAGATTACGAATTACCAGGAAAAACCGATCTTTCGTGAAAGGTTAAACGGCGCAACGAACGGTTTCGAGACTCGGTTACTTGCGCAAAGTTCTGCCCTTAATTCCTTGCATTCGATATTCAAATTATTCGGGTTATCGTGAGTGACTAATAGCAGGGTTACTTGAACTTGAAGATTAATAGTTGAACTTGAAGATCAGTGTTTGAACTTGAAGATTATTATTTGAGCTTGAAGTTTAGTATTTAAACTTGAAGATTATTATTTGAATTTGAAGATTAATATTTGAACTTGAAGATCATTATTTGAGCTTGAAGTTTAGTATTTGAACTTGAAGACTAGTATTTGAACTTCAAGATCAGTATTTGAACTTGAAGATTATTATTTAAGCTTGAAGATTAGTATTTAGACTTGAAGACTAGTATTTGAACCATCAAGATCAGTATTTGAACTTGAAGATTAATAGTTAAACCTGAAGATCAGTATATGCACTTGAATATTATTATTTGAATTTGAAGATTAATATTTGAACTTGAAGATCATTATTTGAGCTTAAAAATTAGTATTCAAACTTGAAGACTAGTATTTAAATTGCATGGTCACAGCGATATAAAACTGCGAAGTTTGCTAATTGAAAATTCCGGCGGTCTCCCCTGTTAATTACCAAAAATCAGTATCGTATCGGCCGTCACTCGTACATAATTGTATCGTCTAATTATAGATCGATCGAAGGATCGATGACTATAAGAGTCGAGGGAAGTTTGTCAAGTATCGACGAGGGAAACTGGGAGACCTCGAGACGGCCCTGGAAGGGCGCTTCGCTTGGCGAAGCGTCATTTTGAGAGAGGCGCGTTCACGCGACTATAAATGCGAACGCGCGGGCGAAAATCATCTCAGTGCCGAGTGCGAAAAAAGCCACGTCGGAGCTGGTGCGTGTTCGAGCCGTCGGTGTGACCGGGAAACACGTGTACACGTAACAATCGTCGTCGCGATTTTAATGCGGAAGAATAAACTTCCTGGCGGGGACACTGTCGCGTTCAAAATAACTTGATTCCACTTGCAACGTTACTTACGAACTCATCGGTGATCCACGTATACCTTACCGGCTAGCGGATTTACAGATAGTTCCGCGGTAAAGTCCAGACGCGGAACATCCTTGCAGAGTGAATGCTAAGTGATACTTCTCTTACCGTGAAAATACTTTTATTCGGTTGGAAATGGCTCGAATGCGCGATGAGGACTTTGTAATTTAAGGACGAAGGATTGTTAAGGGATTAAGGTAGGCTTTTTGAAGACGATATTTGTGTCTCTCGTAAATGTGTTCCTTGCAATCGGTGACTTTCAGCAAATCGAGTTTTGCGAAGCCAAGTGGTAAAAATAGCAGTTTGTAAACATGCTCGAAAACAAAATTGCATCTCGAATTAGAATACAGTATATCTCAACCTTCTTTCGAACGTCGATCGATTCTGACTTGTTATGCTATTTCGTAATCGAAGAAGTAGCGTAAGATTGAAATTGCGTAAGATAGTGAATTTGAAATTAAAAAACGAATCTTTAATATCATCGATACACTGCAAAACGTGGTGTATTATCGCGTGTCTGACTAATCGTGGTTATTTCTACTGTGGCGTCAGCGTAACCCTTCCTCCGTGGATCGTCTGCTCGCAAAATATTTGCAAAGAACAACCGTTTACAATTAATGATCAGGTTGCAGTCGTCGTGCGATTAAAAATTAAATACGTGCCAATGAATTAAATGCGTGCCAAGCCTCGAGACAACTTCGCGATATTACAAAGTGTCTGCTTTTAAAACCTATTAGTATTATATTGTAATTTCTAAGAATATCGGGACTGTGGTATATTTAAAAAGAAAACAGAGATCCACTATATTCTCAGATAGCTCTGTGTATTTTATGAATAATCAAGAATGATATCAGTTATTTGGACAGTGGTTCGATTGTCGTCCAATCAGTAAGCAGAAGTGGCCGATATCCGATTGCACGAAAACGTTCAAATATTGCAAGATTTAGGAAAAACAAAAGGTGGTTTGTTCTTGAAACGTAACTCGTCCGAGACACCTTTTTCAACTCGTATAAAGGATGATACCGACGCTCGCTTTTCATTGCGCGAATCGAATTCGTTATTCGAAGGCGTATCGGTTTTACGTGCAACAAATCAGCGTTCTAGGCTTCGAAACGTCAGCGATCTTTGTAATTGCAGCTTTGCACGACACCGCTCGCAAAACGTGTTTTATGCAACATCTTCGGTGTGTCACGTTGCCTACGTTTTTGTGTTTCGGAATATTGTAAAAACAGTGACTCGAATTGAAGGAAGCTAAAGGTAATAGAATCGTAATTCTGTGATCAGTTCGATTACTATAATGCGATTACGAGTTTTCTCAAGATTGTCGGAATTTACGCGTTAGTATTTAGAATATATTTCAGCGTAATTACTCTGCGACTGAACAGATTAATTATGAACGTAATAATTATAAGAATTTACATTTGAAACATAAAGACAATTAATACCGTGATTGCTATGGGAACATCCAACGTTTTGCACTTTATTTTTCCAACAATTCGATCGTTAACGTCAATTTGTTTTATGCAATGTTTATTACGCAACTTATATTTTTACGGAGCGCAGTAAACCTCGGGAATAACTTCGAGAGGGTTAGAAAAGAAAATTGCACCGAAATGACGGAAAGTTTTAACGATCGTTCGCGATCGAATCTGTTACATGGACGGTGAATCAACCCTGGATTAATCGCCGCACATAATGACCAAGTAAATTCGCTAATAGAGAAATTGCGACTCACGTGCGAATTGTACGGGAAGCGTGACTGTGACGTGGTAGAAAATCACGCACGTCTCGTGACTCACGAGACACGAGATCAGTGTGTTCCTCCCGTGTTTCAGACCGTGCAGGGTTAAATGGTTAATGGTTCAACTATTATTCAATTCGTCAGGCATTGTCGAAAAGTGTTTGTAAAAGTCGCTTAACTTCGCCCCGAATTTTTTAGCCCTCGTGCTACCTTATCGGTTTTCAAATTATAATTCTAATATAAATTCCATATCTAACCAAACATGGATTCATTCAAAATTTGATGGAAACTCTGTTGCGTACGATTCCTTCCAAAATTGCTAATAACTCGTTCTTTTTATTTCAATAAAATCGTAAGTCGTTTGTATATTTTTTCAGTTGCGGACACCGATAGTCGGACAAGATGATTACCCGAGTAAAATTATGGTGGAAGCTGCTTTACTCCGGTCAGCAGAAAGGTGTAAGACAATTAATTATACTCGTTACTTATCAAGAGCTATCGACAGTAAGGCGACGCCTACAATTGTCGATTCATAAGATATGACACATAGTTTGTATTTAAGAAAAATTTTGCATGTTGACGCAGCTGTAGACGTGTTTGTCAGAAATTCATAATGCGTTGTAACATGAATTGCTTCGGCATATCTTGTTTAACAGTGTTTCATACAAACTGACAATTCTTCCGAGCAATTCTTCTGAACGTTAATAATTCTTTTCTGAAAGCTATCGACGAGGAATGTAGATCTTGAACGCGAAGATAACGAAATCGAGCTCGATAGTTAGGGAAGAAAAAAACGAAAAACTGGCATCCACGTGTGTACGCAACGTAATAACAATGCACTTGAACGATTGCAATCTGTCCGGTAATTATTGCGATTCGACGTATCTGTCGAGAACATCTCTCCAGGCTTCTGTTGAAAACGAGGCCAGCGAAGGGAGAGCAAATAAACGTCGCCGGTCCCGTCCTTCCTTCCGCTCAACGGGGATTTTCGAGATTCTTCAACGACGCGAATCACTTTCCGCACGATCGTGACACTTTTTAGATCGATGTTCGCTCCGAGCGAACTCGAACCTTCGCGCCGACCTCCAAAGAAACTAGTTTCCTTTCGTCTCCGCGCGTTATGAGACAGTTTCGAAGCGTACGCTTTCTGAAGGAAATTCATTGTTATCTATCGAGAATCTTATGCTAATTGTTTATCTATGCCTCATGTTACGTGAAGTCGAAGGTCAAGGAATTAACGTGGCGGTAATTAAAAAGATTCCTGCAGAAGATCAGAGTTATTAGTGTTTATGAATTGAAAGAATTATTATTCGAAAGAATTTGGCAGTTTCCAAAAGAATATCTTACTATACTACATGTTACGTGAAGTCGAAGGTCAAGGAATTAACGTGGCGGTAATTAAAAATATTCCTACAGAAGATCAAAGTCGATAGTGTTTATGATTCGAAAGAATTTGGCGTTATCTCTTAAAGTTTCCAAAAGAGTATCGTTACGTGAACGCTTTGATTATTTCAACTCACGTTCGCGGAACTTACCACCGATTTCCGACCACGTATCGCGTCACGAGAGACGTAAATCCTAATTGGTTCATCGGGTTGACGACATCGCCGAAATCTCTCACGCTTTTTCGTACGTGCTCGTTTCAATGAATTTCCTTTACAGATATTCGCAGGACTGGCAGCTCATTCCGGCCAGATATCCGTGGGACTTGGCCAAGGGTTCAGCGCGATTCTGATCCCGAAACTGTTGGAGAGCGAATTCGCGGACGTATCGGAGACCTCGTGGATCGCATCTTTGGGAGTGATCTCCAATCCCCTAGGAGCGGTGATCGCTGGACTCTGCGCCGAATGGTTCGGTCGACGATCCGCTATCGCGCTCGCCAGCTTACCGCATGCCGCTGGTTGGCTGCTGATAGCTTTGTCGAAGAACGTGCCCATGTTATACATAGGCAGATTCATCGGTGGAATTGGCATGGGTATGGCTAACGGCCTTTACCTTTACGTCAGCGAGGTAAGCGATCTACTTCCGTTTTCGGATCGCTTTCATACATGGTCACGAGTTGAGTCTCGAGGGGACACTTAGAACGCTTACAGAAATTATTGTGGGTCACTAAAACTTTTGAACAGGCAGATACATTTTGTGTTGTACGAACAGAAACACTTTGACCCTTCGTACATTGATGCTACTACTTATAAAGATATTTGTAAGACTCCCAAAGTCCTAACTGTACTTGAATGATGCAGTAGCTAGCTTCCTTTGTTTAAATACTTACTCCTAAATTTCTACGTTATTAATAAAGAATCTGTATTTTAGGCTGCTACTTATAAAGATATTTGTAAGAGACTCCCAAAGTCCTAACTGTACTTGAATGATGCAGTAGCTAGCTTCCTTTGTTTAAATACTTACTCCTAAATTTCTACGTTATTAATAAAGAATCTGTATTTTAGGCTGCTACTTATAAAGATATTTGTAAGAGACTCCCAAAGTCCTAACTGTACTTGAATGATGCAGTAGCTAGCTTCCTTTGTTTAAATACTTACTCCTAAATTTCTACGTTATTAATAAAGAATCTGTATTTTAGGCTGCTACTTATAAAGATATTTGTAAGAGACTCCCAAAGTCCTAACTGTACTTGAATGATGCAGTAGCTAGCTTCCTTTTGTTTAAATACTTACTCCTAAATCTCTACGTTATTTATAAAGAATCTCTATTTCAGGCTGCTACTTAGAAAAATACTTGTAAGAACCTCCCAAAGTTCTAACTGTACTTAAATGATGCAGTAGCTAGCTTCCTTTTGTTTAAATACTTACTCCTAAATCTCTACGTTATTTATAAAGAATCTCTATTTCAGGCTGCTACTTAGAAAGATACTTGTAAGAGACTCCCAAAGTCCTAACTGTACTTGAATGATGCAGTAGTTAGCTTCCTTTGTTTAAATACATACTCTTAAATTTCTACGTTATTAGTAAAGAATCTCTATTTTAGGCTGCTACTTAGAAAGATACTTGTAAGAGACTCCCAAAGTCCTAACTGTACTTGTATGATACAGTAGCTAGCTTCCTTTGTTTGAATACTTACTCCTAAATTTCTACGTTATTAATAAAGAATCTCTATTTCAGGCTGCTACTTAGAAAAATACTTGTAAGAACCTCCCAAAGTCCTAACTGTACTTGAATGATGCAGTAGCTAGCTTCCTTTGTTTTAAATACTTACTCTTAAATTTCTACGTTATTAGTAAAGAATCTCTATTTCAGACTGCTACTTAGAAAGATACTTGTAAGAACCTTCCAAAGTCCTAACTGTACTTGTATGATACAGTAGCTAGCTTCCTTTGTTTGAATACTTACTCCTAAATTTCTACGTTATTAATAAAGGATCTATAATAATGAAGTATCTATTTCAGGCAGCAGCGCCAAACCAGCGAGCCTGGCTAGGAAGTTGCGGTCCCGTGTTAGTTTCCCTGGGTGTCCTAATGATCTACACGTTAGGAGCTCTGACCACATGGCAGAGAGCCGCCGCGATCAGCATCGGGCCAGCGATTCTCTCCTTGGCACTAACACGGTAATTGCCACTCAAAACACGTCTGTAAGTTGCTCGTTCGACGTAAACTTTGAATTTTCTGTTTGGACAGCATGATTCCGGAAAGCCCTGGCTGGCTGATCGCTCGAGGACGAAAGGAGGAAGCGAAAGAGTCTCTGTTGTGGTTACGAGGACCAGGCTTAACTACCGACAAGGAGTACGAAGAATTATGCGAAACGAACACGAAGAGAGAGGAGAAGAAAGAGAGTCTGTTGAAAGCCCTTCACATGCCCAGCGTTTGGAAGCCTTTCCTCGTTCTACTCGCGTTCTTCACTCTGCAACAAATGTCTGGGATCTACATAATCTTGTTCTACGCCGTGAATGTTCTCAAGGATATCGGCATCGACTTGAACGAATACTCGGCGAGCGTCGGAGTCGGTGTGATCAGGTTGTTCGCATCGATCGCCGGTGCTGGGCTCGCGAACAGCTTCGGCAGAAAAGCGCTGGCCTTCGTCAGTGGCCTAGGAATGACGATCTCTGCTGTAGGCGTTGCTTTGGCCTTCAGGTTAGAGTTATTCCCTTTCGATTGAAACGTTTGATCGAAACACCAAGTTCAGAATAATTATTGTAAACCGTTCGATATGTAACCGTTCATTTTCTGGTCACAAGCCTTACACGGTTCTAGTTAGCGTTAGGTTGTTAAACGACTGTTTGCGTACCTTCATTGACTTTAAACTATTTTTAACTCGAATGTACAATTTTATTTATTTGCAGGTTTCAACTGCCGTCCATCGTATCTTTAGCTTGTATAGGAGGACACGTAGGATCGTCCATGATAGGATACCTCACGTTACCCTGGGTGATGACTTCCGAATTGTATCCGCTGAGGTTTAGAGGACCCTTAGGAGGCATCACCACGAGCATGGTACAACTGTTATCGTTCGCCACGATCAAGATGTACCCTGACCTGCGTGCGTTAGTCGGTATCGAATGGGTGATGTGGATATTCTGCGGGGCTAGTCTTCTGGGAGCTATATTCGCCTTGACCATTTTACCCGAAACCAGAGGCAGAAGTCTCGACCAGATAGAGAACGGATTTTGCAGTAAGCGAAAGTCGGATGCTTCGATTCAGACCTTGCCGAGTATCTTCATGCAACCGAAAAACATTACGCTACAGAAGTTCGCGTCCATCTCGGAAGAAAAGTACCCTAATATGGTAGCAAACGTATACGCGTACGATAATCTTTGTTTAGAATTATCGCCCGAAGATGGAGTGAAAACTAAAAGTGAACCTGTGAACGAACCTGAGAGACGCGACGTTGGTCATGTTATCTCTATTGAACGAGTGTCTTTCTAATAAGACGCAAATTGTATGCCTTCAGAGCTTTAACACGGTTAAAATAACCGACAGATGTTTTATTAGAAATAGACATGTGTTCTAAGAATGTTTTTGACGTCTGCATTGTGATATTTTACTATTGACAGTTCGATATATTTATCGTGTAAGCTTGCGTTCACGAAATGATCCGCCAGTATTACAAACATTCCTACATTCTGTTTATATGTACTTTTGCGAACAACGAAATATTGTATGAACTTTCTGACAAGTGTAAAAAACGATAATCCTCTCGCTTTAGAGCGAGCGCAATAATGTGAGCACCTGTGAATATGCATTCTTGTAGAGGAATGATAAACTTGTTTCGTATTTCAAGTATACGGAATAAAGAAGATAGATAATAATGTGCGATTAATGATTATATTTTGAATGTGAGTTAGTCAGATAAAGAATGTGACCCGTTTATACCACTATTTATGTATATACGCGCATAGGTATTTATATTTATAAATATTTGTATGTTATAAACACTGTTCGTTATTGTCACATTACACGTTGCGCGATACTCGTTTTGTATATACATATAACTTCCTCCTTGTGAACTGTAAATAATTTGATAAAGTTAAATATACTATTTTTTCATCAAAAATATGAGTATAATCAATTCATCTATCCCTTCACTAAATTCAAATAAATTATAAAATAAAGTAATTAAAAATTAATTTAATAAAATTAAAAATATCGTAAATTAATTCGAGTTATATTCGTATTCTCATTCGCAACGCTGTGTGGAAGCATTAGAAATACCGATACCAAATATCAGATCTCGCTACGTTCAAATTGGGCTGAAAAATACTTTTTTGTAATGGGAATACATGATGCGATAGGAGGTCGAAGGAGGTGGTACTACTGACGGACCTAAGGCGCGTGATGCGTGCGCCGGTGCTCGGAAATGCTCCTTGGTATCAGGAACACATGATAGCATAGGAGGTAGCAGGAGGTGGCAGGAATCCGGATCGACTGCGCATGCGCGAAGTATCAGGAGCGCATGAATGCATAAAAGGTGGCACGGTTTTGGCGGGAACCGAGGCTCGATGCGTGCGCCGATGCTCGGGAATGCTCCTTGGTATCAGGAGTACATGATCACATAGGAGGTAGAGTGAATTTGCGCGGGAATTTCAAGTGCACTTATAAAATGCAAATATATTCAAAATTACCGAATCAATATTTTTTTGCTCTTATACTTGACTTTGCAACTTCTTTGTCCGCGTTTTTCTTATGCACCACTCAACCAATTCTCATTAAATTTTGCACGCACTTGCGTATGAACATCCAGATGGACACAGAAAAAAAAATTTTTTAATCAGACTTGCCACGGAGGAATAATCACCGAAAAAACTGATCCTCAATAACTATAAGGAAAATAAAAAAATGAATATTTCGGCACTTTGGCGACGTAGTATGGTTCCTGAGGCATTTAGAAACAAATTTCTATTAGGGTTTGATGCGTTTTGATGCCTAATAAAGGCAGAAAATCAATTTTTGTAGAATTCGGTCCAAAACGGTACAGGTGGCGCCATCTAGCGGCGAACGGCGGAACTACGAAAAACTAAAATTTCGATTTTCTCCGAAATTAGGCACTTTTACGTATTTCTTAGGGTCAGAAATTGTTCTGTGACCTCTCTAGAACCTATATATTGCCACAAAAACCTCCTCAGAGCGCTAGAAAAGAAAATAAAAAAATAAGTCAAAACATGGACTAAAAAATTGGCGTCCATCTAGCGGTGAAAGTTGGAACTACAAAAATATAAAAATGCGATTTTCTCGAATATTAGCGAACTTTGAGTACTTCTGAGACTCAGAAAGTGTTATGTGATCGCATCAGAAGCAAAATAATGCAATAAAAGCTTCCTAAAAGCTTTAATAAAGAAAATAAAAAAAATGTCATTTTATGGAGAAAATTTGTGGCGCCATCTAGCGGCGAAACTGCGAACTAAACTGAAAAAACGTATGTCCGAACACGCGTTAAAGGGCCAAATAAAAATTGATTTTCTGGGCCTAATAAGCAAAAAAACGAATAACTTATTCAACAAAAATTGCTTTAAAATGTCTAAAGAAGCATACTGCGTCGTCGAAGTTGCGAAATATTACTTCTTATATTTTTCCTTAACGCGTGTTCGGACATACGTTTTTTCAGTTTAGTTCGCAGTTTCACCGGTAGATGGCGCCACAAATTTTCTCCATAAAATGACATTTTTTTTATTTCCTTTATTAAAGCCTGTAGGAAGTTTTTATTGCATTATTGTGCTTCTACTACGATCACATAACACTTTCTGACCCTCGGAAGTTCTCAAAGTTCGCTAATTTTCGAGAAAATAGCATTTTTATGTTTTTGTAGTTCCAACTTTCACCGCTAGATGGACGGCAATTTTTTAGTCCATGAAATGGGCTATTTTTCTAGCGCTCTGAGGAGGATTTGGTGGCTATATATAGGTTCTAGAGAGGTCACAGAACAATTTCTGACCCTCAGAAATACGTAAAATTGCCTAATTTCGGAGAAAATCGTAATTTTAGTTTTTCGTAGTTCCGCCGCTCGCCGGTTTTCGAGAAAATCGAAATTTTAGTTTTTCGTAGCTCCGCCGTTCGTCGCTAGATGGCGCCACCTGTACCGTTTTGGACCGAATTCGACAAAAATTGATTTTCTGCCTTTATTAGGCATCAAAACGCATCAAACCCTAATAGAAATTTGTTTGTAAATGCCTCAGGAACCATACTACGTCGCCAAAGTGCCGAAATATTGCACTTTGCATGCGCAGTAGTATTGACACAGGTGGCTCATGTAAGTACTTAGTATGAATTTATACGAACCAGTGGACAGGGAATGAAAAAATTTAGGCACAGATACAAATATACTAATTTTTATTAAGTCTTTTGCAATTATATCAAATTGACAAAACTAAATATCAAGTTATTCATTTGTTGCAATACTTATTGCATTCTTAGTCACCTCTTAAAAATACATTCTTGTAACAGTTTTCACATATAATTTTTACAAATATATTGAATCTGTAGCGAAAATTATTAAATATAAAGAAGATGCATTTTGTTCGTTGTTTTCTGCTTCTTCTCATTTATATATGAATTCCGGACACGCATTGATATTTTTTACTGGATTTATGTTTCTTTCGATACTGTTCTTTTAATGTTGGTCCAGCTGCATTATTATGGCGAATGACTAACTGGATGCATTGATACGATCTAAATTTATATACCCCTCTATCATTCGATTTCTTATTTTCGTAAATTTCTGCCTTTTTGTTTATCTCCAATCAATAATTTTACCTGCGTACTCTCCTAATCCTAGTATATTCAAAATACTTAATTTTCATCATTGCAAGCTCAAGATAGTTCCTCGTCTATCTTGTTTTCGACGCTATTTCGTTCAAACTAATCTCATAGCATCAATTATTCTGCGTATCGGGCCAATATTTAGGTTTGCAATGTTTAATCATCTACACGAGATGCCTGGTGTCAGTAAAACTCTGAATCTGAACTGTGTTGAGAGTCGCCACTTCTACCATTTAAATACACCTCTGATGTTTGTTGAATTGATAATGAATTTTGTGCAACTTCCCAATTTTGATCTGTAATAATAATAAATTTATTAATAATAATTTCGTGTTAAAATTCTAAGTTAATTACTATATACGAACCGTGTACAGCAAGGATGGTAGCTAAACATCGTGCAACGGCTGGATTTGGAGCACAGGCCAATGCAGGTGTAAGTCCCTCTTTATCTACCGCTACAACGCTTGCTCCTAATTGTAATAAACGTCGTGTCACCTATAATATAAGTAAATTTCATAAAATTTTCCACAATTTGAAAGCTACATGAGTGTTTAATCAAAGATATTTGCTTCCTTACTGCTACAAGTCCATTTCTTGCTGCTAAATGTAATGGGGTTCTTTGATGTTCATTGGTCATGTTAATAACAGCTATATGTTGTTGTTGTTGTTGCAGCAGGGATGTATTTTCACCGCTCGAATTAAGCGAATCGAGCCAATTTAGTAGCAGCAAAGCAGCGGCGGAGTGTTGTCTTTCGCAAGCTAAATGAAGCGCTGTATTCTTATTACAGTCGACGGCACGCACGTCTGCTTTCCACTCAAGCAATAATTCTGCCATTACGAAATTGTTATCAATACAGAAATAATGTAAAAACAATCAAGCTTTTTTCATTAAATCAAAATTACCAATAGCGCTACATTGACCCGTGATAGCAGCACAAAGAAGAGGCGTTCGACCTGCGTAATCTGGGGTCTCAAGTCCAGCTAATTCAGGCCCGACAGAGCTTAAAATAAGCCTGGCACATTCTACAGATCCTGAACTAGCTGCGACATGTAAAGGTAGCCGACCACCTGGGACATCTCTTGGAGCAGCAACTGTCTTTCCTCCAAATTTGTTTACTAGCAATTCCAAACAATGCGTTGATCCCTGATATACTGCGCAATGGACAGCTGAGAAAGGATCACCTAATAAAATAATTTCGATATTAATATAAAAATAATTATATAATTCAAATTATAAAATACCTGCCTTCTAATGAATCGATTACATTTTGTTCCAATAAGTATTCCACACAGTTGGAGTTACCATTGTAACAAGCCCAATGAAGAACAGTACAACCTTGATCGTCTTTCAAAGTAGCAGCTGTAGAATCAGCTTTAATAAGAGAAGCTAATGCTTTCACCCTACAAACAAAATAAGTGTAACCAAGCAAAGATACAATCAAATCCTTTCACGAGCAAAAGGCAAATCTACCTTCCACACGCAGCAGCTAAATGTAAAGGGGTTTTGCCGTTTGTGTCTTGCACCGACACTTGTGCACCATGTGATAATAATAATTCTACCAATTGATGATCACGTTCTTTAATGACTGCTCGAAATAATGGCGTATGCTTATTTATATCTGGCAAATTACAGTCAGCTTTGTATTTCAGAAGTAATGTAGCACACTCTGGATTACTATTTGCCACTGCCAGCGTTAAAGGGGTACGTTGTTTAGCATCATAACAATTAAGTACGCTCGAGTCTTCTGCATTTTCCAAAAGAAGTACTAGGCAGTTAAAATGTCCTGCTGCAGCTGCACAGTGAACTGGTGTACGTTTTGTGATAGAATCCTACAGATAAATATGCTTATTATTTTCTATACAGCGACTGTCTTAAAAATTAAAAGTACCTTTTACACTCATACCTGAACCAATACACAGGCTCCATACTTTAATAATAACTGAACGCATTGTTCGTGGCCTTTGTATGACGCTAAATCCAATGGTGTTTTACCCGTATCTTCTTTAATATTGGTATTAGAAAACAATGGTAACAATAAATTCAGTATTTCACTATGTCCATGATATGCCTATAAAACACATAAATAATTCCGATCATTCCGAATAATTTCGATAATTTTGATCATACCGCAAGATGTAAAGGTGTTAGTGCCGGTAAGGGAGGTTCCGGTTTCCCTGTAGAACTGGACGATATTGGTAAATTTCCTGGTGGGCAAGCTTCTAACAGAGCTTCTAAAGCTGGCTGATTTCCTCCTGCTACTGCGTAATGAATAGCAGTGAAACCACGTTTATCGCGTAAACGTGGATCCGCTCTATGTTTCAGTAAATACTGTACACATCTATTTGCAAGAAATAGAAATTAAGTCATAAGTATTTTAATAATCTGTGCGCAAATAATGTACTTACTGAGCATCAGAATCTGTTGGATTTGATGCTGCAGCTAAATGCAAAGGAGTCGCACCATCTACATCTTGTGCGTTAGAATCACTTCCAAATCCGACCAAAGTAAAAACGCAAAGATAATGACCCTGACTGGCTGCATGATGAAGTGCCAACCTGTTATCATTATCAGTTAATCGAAAATTAGCTCCACTAGATAATAATAAATCTAAACAATCCACAGATCCTTTGAACGCTGCTAAATGTAAAGGTGTTCTACCACCGATATCTCTCGAATCTATACGTCGACTATCGACTTGCAACAATTTCCTACAGACCTGTGAATTTTATTAAAATTAATGTTACATTTAGAAGAAATAAATGTAAGTAACATACAGATATTCTACCTCAATATGTCCTGCCAAACAGCTAAGATGCAACGCCGTACGCTGTTCAGAATTGCGTGCTGCTGGAGATGCACCATACTCTAACAGTGTTGTAGTTAAGCATTCATGACCAAACCTACATGAAATATAAACTTTAAATAAGTATAAAAAATTATTATAGAACGATCTTAATGCCTTTCTTTTCAGTTTACCAAGCAGCTACATGTAAAGCAGTGTTTCCATTTTTGTCTTTAGTATCTGGCAGTGCTCCTGCATCCAGTAAACTTTTCGATCGAGTAAATCTACCATGGATTGCTGTCATGTGTAAAGGCGTACGTCCATCTTCCGACTGAACGTTTATTCTTAAAGCTGCACGTAAAAGTATTTCTAAGCAATGAACACCATGAGTACTGGCAGCGGCAACATGTAACGGTGTCTGCCCCCGATAGTTTACAGCCTCTGTTACAAAAACCAATGCTTGTAAAAGTTGGAAGGAAAACAATAATTTCAAACACATTAAGATCATCTTACCAACGTTTGCAGCATTATTCATTAATTCCACAACCGCATCAGCGTGACCATTTAAACACGCAATATGTAGAGGAGTATTTCCATACACATTTTTTGCTTCAATATCTGCACCAAATTCAATTAACGTATGCATACATTTTACGTTACCAAAAGCTGCAGCTGCATGTAATGGGGTATATAAATCTCGATCCTTAACATATAAATACATACATAAACAATTGCATAATGTAAGTAATATTAATATGAGTAGAGAGAATGGTTATATTACTCCAACATCTATATCTGCTCCTCTTGCTATGAGTGTCTTTAAAATTTCATCATGGCCCATATATGCTGCAAAATGCAAAGGTCTACGGTCCTGTTTATCCGAAGCATTTACCACGCTACCAATTTGAATCAGATATTCTGTTGCTTCTGCGTGTCCATTGTAAGCCGCATGATGCAAACTTGTTCTGCCACCTCTGTAAAATTCAGGACTTAATTAATTATATTACTAATATATCCTTAAATAAATTGATCAATAACTATTGCAAATGCAAACCTGTCTGCTACATTAATGTCTCTTAAATAGGGTGCTATCAATTCTATACATTGTACAGCATTATTTGCTGCTGCTACATGTAAAGGGGTTTGCCCACTACGATCCTTGATATTGACATCGGCTTTATGACGTAATAAAACTTCTACTACATTATGATTCCCTGAGCAACATGCTCTATGCAATGGAGTCAACCATTCTTTATCTTTAGCATTGACTGCAGCTCCATTTATTAAAAGTGTTTCAGCTATTAATGCATCTCCTTTGTATGCAGCTGCATGTAAAAGAGAACGTTGCTTTCTATCTTTCCAATTGACATCCTCTGTTCTTGATAAAGCTCGAACTTCGTCTATATCTCCAAAAAATATAGCTTGTAATAAAGGAGACTGTAAAGAAATTAATGTTTCGTTCTAAAAAAAAAAACAAAAAAAACATTGAAATCAATGGTGTTCTATTTCAAGAATCCTTATACAAACAAAATTATTATTAAATCACATTGCAGTGTTTGATAAAAAGTTTCATTAAATTAACATTTTAATAAATCGATATAAAGGATAATAAACCTTTTATTATATTATAATATATCAAAATAGGGTAGAAACAAAATTATTACAGTACTAAATATTGAAAGAAAATCGAACAAGTGACACATGAATCTAACCTCCGGTTTTATGACTTTTGCAATTTAATCGGAAAATATGTAGAGAAATGCATTCGTTTAAAGAATTAAGATAACATACCCCACGATGCAATTTCTGCACATTCATGATTGATCAAGTTTTTAATTTATACAAACGGGAAACTAGTTATAAAAACATAGTTTACAGAAGTGTAAAAAATTGACACACTAGTGTGAGTCATACTCCAACATATATCGTTGGGTATATTACTTTCTTTTTGTAGTCTACAATTTATTGTAAGTGCATCATACGAGCAACAGTTACTTCAGCTGAATAGCAACATCATCTATGTCAGAAGTAGTTATTGAAACGTGCATAATAAACCTATTTTAAAATATATATAGTTACAACTATCTTGTCATCGTGCATTCACTTTTTGTTCCTGCCAGACTGTGCGACTGCCAGGAGCAGTCAGAAGCTATCAGAAAATTGTAAACTGATGCAAAAACGTGAACCGCAGTCGCGCGGAAATCAAATTTCGTTCTGAAATTATGCGAAGCAATATATGTATTTTAGTTTCACGTGTTTTCTGTTATATTGTGCATGGATACAAGATTTTTTTCTGTCAATATCGAGGCGAGCATAGCTTCTTAAATCGAAATGCAAGTCGAAAGCAACGATATTAAATATTGTATAAATAAATATGAAGAAAAGAACATAAATTATTTTAAAAATTATTCAAAGAAAGCATTTTTAAGCGTAATACCGTCAACATTAAAGTTTACTTTTGATTTTAAAAACTTTAAAATTCAAAAAAAAATAGTCGAAATTACAAACTACTTTTCTAAACCATGTCCTATTCAACTATTGCCACCGGAAACTCAATATTTTCAAATTAATAATATTTCTCAGGTAGATAAATGTTCTCATGCTTCTTAGGGTGTACATTTTTTATCTTCATGCTTCACGTTGTTTCTTTATTGTAGAAGATATGGCTCAACCCTGGATCCGTCTTCAAAATGAATATTTTATTTATACCTGACGAAAACAGAGGTTATAATGATGTATTAAAAATTCGCTATTTTTATGACCAATTGATAGAAATTAAAATTTTCGCGGAGATCGCAAATACTTTTTCTTTTCCTACTATTGTCAATTTTGGAAATGTACCCCTTGATCATCCGTAAGATCTTCATTTAAATATTATAAAATTTAAGTAAAAAATGTAATCTTATTTATCATTCAAGGGTCTGCTACGAAATACCAATTCATCCTAATGCAAAAAAGGAATTCACTTTCGCTATTTTGCCAACTCAGGAAAACTCGTGTGTCGACATCTGTCCTCGATGGGGTACATTTAAATTTTGTATTTTTCTAAAACATTTATTGAATATACATTTACCTGCTAATATTTTACGTCAGGTCGTATGCGCCCAGGTCAAAAACCTTTAACAGTCATGATAATTTACAGACCACTTCAATATATAAGTATGCATTTTCAAGTTCGAATATTTATATCTGATTTATGTAAAACTCCACACACTATAAACTTCTATGCGTGCACTCGACCAGGTCTTTTACGGTGAGGAACCTTATTAACATAAACTTTTATTAATAACAAAACAAATGATAATTAAATATTCAATAATGATATACTTAGTGAATCAATCGAGAATGCCAAACCGGAAGTAGAGTTCAAAAAGCAGCAAAAGAAAATTGGCGGGCTTTCTTGTAAAGAAACGAAATCGATTTCTCGAAAGAAAGATATATCGCAATCATATACGAAAGAACCTTGTGGAAAGTACACAGACTTCGATAAAATGTTCCAACAGAAATGTAGTTATATTCCTTTGTATTCCCTACATGCTACTAACTGTATTTTGAATTCAAAAACTCGATCCTTCAATGAATATGAATTAACTGGTTAGGCTTCTCCTACATATAAAATCTATTTTAACATGCAATAAGAATATTTAAAAATGCGCAATTTGTAATTAGGTCCTCTAGGCACTTATTTGTTCGAAATTATGGAACAGAAATTACAACATAAAAAAGAATTTTTTATGAAAATAGAGAATCGGCGTAATGAAAATGAACAAATTAAATTTCACCATAAACCAACAGTAACTTATGATGTCAATAATACTAATGAAAAACAAATTACTGAAATTAAAATTCACCGAGAACGAATATGGGATAAATACACGAATTCAATTTCAAACTCACGAAACGAATTATTTGAGAGACAAAAAGCAAACAAATTTAAGCAGAGAATTTTAAGAATTCCTCACAAAGTATGAATTCTGTAATTGTGTATTATTTATATATATTTAATTAAAAGTAAATAATCCATTTTTTTATATATTTATATTTAGCATCCTGATGCAATATGGGTATCGTCTCAAGATGAAGTACTGTTTGTTCGTTATTATAAAATCACACCTTTTCTTCAGGCTGCCCGTAAAATTATATTAAGAAACCGATTGTTAAAAGCACTTGAGCAACTAAGGAACTTGAATTAATACAACTAACCTTCAGATTAAAATGGTTACGTTAAATGTCCATAGAAAATTTAAAGTTAATGTCCATAGAAAGTTTTGTTTCAAAATATGCGCACTTAGTATGTATAGTTTGTAGATGTCGTCTCTATAAATGCCGCCAAAACTTAGGACTTTCTACTTGATTCTTGGCACAATTGATATTATAATATAGAAAGTTTGCAATTGTATAACATAAGTTTAATATAATTTAATGGTAATATGCAGTATTAAAATACTTTCTTTTTTAGATGTAAAAAATATATTGTAAATTTGAGTTTAAATAAAAGATTTTATGCTGTTAACAAAACATTGTACAAATGGATGTTTGTTTAACTTGCAATTGCAATGGAAAGGTAAATTTTAACGATTGGGAATTAAGTAAAGATGGATTGTTTTTACGTGGAGATGTGGAAAATGTTTTGTATCCACAAGATGAACGCTTTTTATCAGATGTGGACATACAACTTTTTGATTGCACTGTGCCTGCATCAACAGTTTTGTTAGACTTGGAACACTTTGTTAAGTGCATGGAGTAAGACATTGTTATTTTATTTTATTGTATATAATCTTGAGAAACCTTTTCTCTATTTGTAATCTTTTTTCGTAGTATGCAGCTAAAAATTCTCAGTAGACATGAGAATTATAATCAAGTTTTAAATTCTAAAACAAACGATATTGACTTTTATTATATAAGACGTACAATATCTGAATTTGTTTTATATATGAGAACATATTTAAATAGGTAAGTTAATTTTTTATTTATAAGTGTCATTATTTAAATTACTTATATTTTAAAAATTTGATTTTATAGTATAAAATGGGACCTGCATTCTTTGCTTGTTATAAATGAAGACATTGAAGAAGAATTTAATACGTTATTTGTAACTATGAAAAGATTTCTTAGTAGATTAAGCAATATCCCAGATGCAACATTCCATTATGCACCTTCTAAATTAGGCAATCATGTGTGTAAACCAATACTTAAAGAAGTTACACTGAAAACTATAATGATATTTGCATTATTAATATAAATTTATTCCTGCAGTGTACACAACCAGAGTATCATGTGTATCATATGCACATAGAATTGCGATGGCTTTTTGTTTCATTAATGTATACAAGGAATACATATTGTCATTATTCAAATGAAAATCAATTAGATGAATTTGAAAATGTCCAAGGAATGATTATTAATGACCTAATATATATCTCATTGAAAATATTTGAAACGGTAAAAAATATATCCAAGAATATTGTAATCAGATAAATTATATCTTGTAATATATTTCAGATGCCAGTAGCTAATGTACAACAAAAAACACCATATAATTGCACTTGTATTAGAGAATTATGGCTTATGTTTCAAGTATTTATTGATAGCTTATCTGAAAGAATGAAATCAAAGGTACTGTTACTAGAATCTTTTTACTAAGACATTTTGAAAGGATGTTTTAAAACCATTGATAAATTTTTATTTATTTACAGACTTTTTGGGATTATGTAAATAACTGCTTGGATGCAATATTAAATAGAAATGCATCTAACAATAAAGAAGAATTTAAATATTATTCTTTAAAGCCTTGTAAAAATTCTGAATTATTTTGTCTTTGGATTATATATAGTCTTTCACTTTTATATGGATATAGCAGTGATGGTATATATTTGGGATCTAAAAGTTCAAGAGTAATTGCATTTTTAATTCACTGCATATACTCTACTTATTGGACTGAAATAATATTGACTTTGCATTTGTTTTATTATAGATCAAGCCTAATTATGAGCAACTAGAGAAAATTTTGAAAACATTCATCTCTAAAGGTGGGAAAGATGGTGAAAGAGATGCACTTGACGACGAATTACGTATCATGATACCTTTATTAAATACTATTGTTACTAACTGGTGGCAACCAAAAGTTTCTATAATTTCTCTCCTATGGGACTGCTTTCATAAAAGATTAGATGAACCATTTTTGTTACAAGTAACTGGTCCTTGGACCTTGTCAGTTGAAAAGTAAGTAAATAGTTTACACACTTTTGTATTCAATTTACCACGATTTACTAATACCATACTTTAATAGGAAAACTGCTGCTGATATCCTTAAACAAGTAAAAGACAGAATTAATAATATAGAATGTGGTAAAGAGTCTAGTTATGGAATGTTTTTACGTTTACTTGGTAAGTATTCTTTAAAGCAATTTTGATAAATATGTTTATCTTAACTGTGTGTTATAGGATCATTTCTACGAATAAACTATAGTAATAGTGACACAAAACATTGGAATCAAATCAAAAGTCGTATCTATTCAAAATTTTCTAAAAGTAAAGTTCAAGAATTTTCAATAACTGGTTTATATAATTTCATTTCATTGTTTTTAACATTAGCAGTAACTGCAGACACTACAAATGTTGTAAGTTTAATATATATCTTTTAAATTTTTTATTTAAAATATTTATTTTGTGCAATGTATAATAAACATGTGTTGCATCTTTTTCAGTGTTCAGTAATGCTAGATCTATTACCAGTAATAAAAGAATACAATAGTGAAAATAGTAAGAAATATAGTTTAATTTGGAAAGGAAAATTAACTATTCTTCTCTTGTACAGCGATCTGAAACTCAATTTTACTAATATAGCTTCCACCTATATAGATACGGTATAGTATAAATTTTAATTATTGTAAACTGTAATTAATTTATTAAATCATACATTTATTTCGGTTTGTAGGTAAATACTATATGTTGTCGTAAAGATGATACTTCTCGTTCAATGATGAGTAATTTTGTCGAAGTATTTGGTATAATTCTATCGTCGAGTAACATGGAATTAGGGGAACATTTATTACTTAGTGGATGGATAGATCGGTATTTGTTAGAATGTCCGAATAAAGCGATTGGACCATTAACAAGGGTATTGGCTAACATTTTCGAAAAATGTGTTTCCCTGGTTAATAATTCTTCTAATATAGGTTCGCTATTTGTTAATTATATATTCAATATTATCAATTTCAGTTCTTTTCTTCAATTTAGTTATTCAATAGGAGCAGACGGCGCAGAAAAAATGTTGGATGCTTTATGGTGTTACGGAGCGTGTAGAGTACGGCAGCTTGTTTTTGATCCCACTCTTATTAGCGATCATTACAATGATGTCGCAAAACTTGCTGTTGCATTTACTTTAGAAGCATTGAGGAATCCAGTAGTAGCAAAGAAGTATAAACATTCAGCCATATCTTTGTTTCAACACTTTGCATCATCGATAATTGTTAAAGATATCAGGTAAAAAAAAATAATTATCGTTATGTCTAATAAACAGAAACACATCATATTAAATTCATTTTAGAATCACAAGGAGTTATCTTATGCTAATACTGGAGCGGCAACAAGCAATTGAAGATCTAAAAAAAGAAATAAAAAATTTTGATACAATAGTCATTCAAGTTGGTAATTTAAGTTTATATATAACAAATTTTAAGTAGTAAATTTTTAACATTACCCTCGAATTGTAGGCATGGATAAAATGTTCTATCATTGGTCATAATACGAACGGAAATGAAATAAAAATTTTACAAAATTATATATCACAATTAACTGAAATACGGCAAATGTTTGAGACACCTTGCGATATTCAGGAATTTCAAGAGAGTAGAGAATCAGTGTTAATATTCATCATGAATGCTATGAAGAAACGAAACCTCTTAAAAGTATACTAGTCATAAAAATTTATGTTAATTGCAATCTGCTAATTACTTACATATTTCAGACAGAACAAGAACGAAATCAGTATGATACAAAATGGAAACTGTATTTTAATCATGTAGAAAAATGGATTCTTACACCAATTACAGAAGATACTAAAGAATCTGAATTAGCTTTTTGGATATACAGATGCATTGGAACTTTAATTCTTTGTACTTCAGTTATGCTATATTCCAAAGTAAATATAAAAATATATTTACGATATATTTTTAATAATAAACATGATGAATTAGCTTAAATTTTTTTACAGAATCAACCAAATAACATGTTCAAGACATTATTGAATAAAACTATATTGTCAGTTGAGCAGCCTTTTTTAAAACATTTGGGAAAAAGGACATTTTCTATGATATTGTTGGGTATAGAAACCCTCAATGTTAAAAGTGATATATCTCTTCAAGTACTAATACGAGATCTTTTCGAGCAGTATATGACTCTTTTAATAACTCCAATTATTAACACAAGTAATTTTAAAGTATCTGACTCGTTGCTGAAATGCTTTAAAGATGCAAAAGCAGATTTTATTCATTTGATATTTGAAATATTAATGACAAATTTTTTAACTTTTACGAGTGATAATTTAATGCATAAACATTCTTATCTGGTATTTATTATATTTTTCTTTTTTCAACGATTTTTGTACATTATAATTGAACACAGTTTGAATACGTTCTAGGTAATGATTATTCTACAAAATCTACTCAAGGGTGAAATCAGTTATCCATGTCATATAGTAGAATATATTATTTTGATTTGTCCACCCCGTATTATTGAATGCTATGTAAAAGTTCATGAACATCACCCACATAAACAACAAACTATTGATTTTATAAATAATGTTACTAGGAATCGTTATTATAAAGAAAGTCGTTTGTTACAGTCAGTATTCCATTTAATTAATTTCACATCGATTTTTAAAAGATTATGTACTGAAGTAATAATTTCAGGAACAAATTTAACAATGTCATATCTACTACTGTTCAAAAATTACTAATGACAAATCAACATAACACTTTTGAATTTTTACGTTCAATTTTGCCCGCAATAACCGATATAGTACAATTTTTATCAGTTCAAATGGAAAGTACTTTAATCGACTTAGAAAGAAATCGGCGTCCAAATGCAACATCGTTCAGGTAAAAATAGAAATCAATTTTATAAATATATATTTAAAAACAGTTATATGCTTACTATTACGTGTTATTTTATTTTCAGATATTCGTGGAATCAACTTCAAAATGCTGTGAAAAATTTAAAAAAAAATTAATAGTAAGTTTAAAAAATTTATTAATAAATAGTCGGCAGTACCATTATGATACTTTGGTATTATGCTACAGAGTAATTATACATGTACATATATGTATGTAAATTACATAAACGAATATCTTATGTTCGTATATATAATTGCATATAATTATATTGTATAAATTACATTTACTTAAAAAATAACATATGATTCTCAAACCATAAAAAAAGAAGAAAATTATTGTTACATATGGTACAGATATATGCAATTTTTAACATTTGTAACATATGTAACTAAAAAAATTATATTTTACAAAATATGTAAAAAAGAATATAATTACTTTTCTTTTATTTTCGATGTGAATGCCTTGAACGATGATGTTTTATTGATGTAGTAGTTGTACTACCGGGGGGCGATCGTCATCCACTTAGTTCAAGGCGAGATACGGCATTACGCACAGCATTTCTTAAAGACTGTTCAGCGTTACCACTTAATAATGATTCAAGTCTTTCAACATAATTGTCGATATTTTGTAACGTTGCACCTTCATTTGTCCCTAAACATAAATAATCAATATACATCACCAATTTGAGATGAAAATAAAAATTACAGGCTACTATAAAAATGCAACCTGGGAGTGGTATTGTGGCAAAACATCCGGCCAATTGTGAACGAAGAGAATCTAAGTGACGTTGTAAAGCCTGATTTGTTGTACGTTGTTGATTTGTTTCAGATTCTAAACGATTTACCGCCGCGTATAGACTATCTACATGTCGCTGAAGAACAGCATTTTGGGCCTCGTAATCCGAAGTGGCTTTTCTCAATTGTCTTAATTCTGCTTCACATGCTACATGTGTGAAAATATATTCGTTACATATTACATATGTGAAAATACAAATTAGATGCATATATAAATTAATTTTATAAGAATTTACCTTTGTTATGATCCAAAAACTCTTCTGTAAAAATAGGTATATCAAAACCTGTGAAATCATTGTCCTTCTCTTGTTGAAGATCCTAATATAAATTAAATATTAATAATATAATGACAAGTTAAAAACAGGAGCACATAGAGATATCATACATTTTGTTCAGAGGTCACATCTGTTCCATTTCTTTCTTTCCTATTTTCCTGTTGCTTTTCTGAAGATTGTTTTTCACTAAATAAGCGATATGCTTCTGTTTGTTTATAATCACTAAATTCACGATTGTAACGTTCTTTGTCTTGTTCTGCTGCATCTAAATATTGTTGTTTTTGATCAGCAGGTAAATTGCTCCATTCAGATGCAAGAAGTTTTGTGATTTCAGCAAATGACAGTGTTGGATTTTCATTCCTCACTTTTTCTCTTCGATCATTTAAAAACCTATATTGGATATTATTAAAAGGTGTCTTTCTGTTTAATGCCTACTTATAATGGTTCATGAAATCATACCTAAAATAACCTGTTAATGGTTGCTTTGGGGCAGTTGCATCTCTAGGAGTTTTTTTCCTCTTTTTAGCTCTATTAGTTGTATTAGTAGTATTACTTCCCACAACAGAAGTTGCATTATTCTTTTTAATTCCATTATCGCATATGGAATCTGGTGTCTTGTCCTCTCCACTTCCAGGTGATTTATCTAAGAAATGAGTTTTCGTATCAAACATGTAATTTATTAAATATAATAATACTTCTATAAAATTATAAAATATTTGAGTTAATATTGAATTAAACACAAATTTATCATACTAGTATGTTCTTCAGTTTCTCCATTGTAAGTAGGTTGATCTGGCCCACCATTACTTTCAGGCACATCATTAATTGGTGCAATTTCACTCATTTTTTGTAGTGCAAGTCTTTATTTTGTTATAATATTTCATATAATTGAAATAAAATACTAAATATAACTAATTCTATTAAGTGCAATGATAACTGTACTGCTGTCTAAAAGGTTATATAAAATGTAACATCACAGAATATAAGAAGTGAATAGTTACAAAATTTTTACTTACTGTAATTAACACATTTTTAATTAATCTAAAATGAAAATTTACTTAATGATATCAAGATTTATTAGGTTAAATGATGAGAGTATTTACAACTCCCTTATATTTGAGCACAACCAAAATTCTCCAACAAATTAGCACCGGTGTTATACTGTCACGTGTATTTTATAAGCAGAAATCAATTTTTCATGACAAAAGTAATATACCGAAAAAAATACATAATCACAAAACTTGGTTAGCATAAACACTAAAGCCGACTTTTCATCGAACAAGTTTCGCGACGCTAATTCAAAAGTTGATGATTTTACCGCTGAATCCTAACCCTAGGGTTCTAGTCGCGGGAAGTACATTTGTAATAAATGGTAGTAAATAAGAAAGTACGTATGAGTGCACTTATTTAGTACTGTATGATGGGACATTGTTAATCTAGTATTTAAAAAATACTTAAATAATTGTCACATATTGAATCATGTATTGAAATTATAAATGTAATATGGAAGTAAATGATAGCTCAATTATTCTACAAAATAGTAACAGGTGAACTTTCAACAGAATGCATTCTGATCTTTGATGGTTATATTTAAAATAATATACTAACATTAATTTTTACAGTGGTATAACAGTAGCAGACACAGTATGGAAATTCATTAACAGTCCTGTAATTGCAATCTTCTCTGATTTAAAGAATGCTACAGCCAAGCAAATGCTTTGCTCCCTTTTGGAGTCAATACTTAAAGGATCAGCTACTTTAACTACAGTTTTAGTTCCACCTTTTAGTAATGGCATACAAAATGAAACATTACAATGTCAATATGCAGGTAAATAAAATTATAACGTGAATGGACTATATAACATTAATTTCAAGTTGTTTTGAATTTACAGCATTTACCACTTGGCTATTTGGCACAATGTTTTATATAGTTGGAGATCCTTTAAGCGATAATATTTTAAATAACAGTATAGAAATACAAGCTTGCATGCTTCGTATATTATCTAGACATCATATCACAATGTTTGAAACAATTAGTATTGAATATATGAATATTCTTCAAGGTACATACAAGTAATACACACATTATGTTTGCAAGTACTAATGACATTATAAATTTCAGAAATATCTGAGTTCTATAAGACAAATGGAGATGAAGATGAAATTATTCTGGTCAAGTTTAATGCACAAAGGAACATCATAGAGAATTTAGATCTACAAGCATTTCCTGTTACACTTAAGTGTTCTAATATACCAGTAGTTCAAGTATCTGTATTAAAAGTAATATATTTGTGTTTAAATGTTATTAACATATTTCATGTTATTACAATACACACTGCATTTATTGTTTTAGATCATAGAAAAAGCAGGGATTTTTAATTGGAATCATAAAATACTCTCTCAAACATTATTGCAAGTAATTATGATATCTGTTCCACATGTAAAATTTACTGCACTAGATACATGTGTTAAACTGATGAAATATTCTTTAGTGGATAGACAGGTAAACATAGCTCAAGGAAAAATTAAAGAGTTTATAATAATAATTTTTTAATTTTAAGGAATCTGAAAGCTTTATTCTTTACACTATTGAAATTATTAAAGGAATTCCTATATGGTTAAACTTGAATGAAATATCACTGGATCAATTATGCCAGTTTTTATGGACACTGGTTGAGTTTATTGAGTTTTTACCTACATTTGTAAATAGTATAGAAGTTTATTTTCAAATCATTGATTTAACAGTTCATGAATTAATATGTAAGTTAAGGATATATAAATGTTACTGTGCTATTTCTCTATGATATAGTATGATTTAAAAATTGATTTTTAGGTTTTGCTCCTAAACTTAATGCCCTGGAAGTATTGAAAAAATCTGCGTGCAATAAAATTCGAAAATATTTTATAATGGAACCAGGAATATGTACTTTTTCTGAAGTACAAAAACTTATTTCTTATTTTGAACATTTTCCGGTTTGTAACAGTTTATTAAGTACTCATCTAGAACTTCATGATAAATATACTTGGTATATTTATATTGTGAAAATTTACAGGATTTTATTAACATTTTTGTTCAAGCTGTTCTCATTGATATTAAATATGCTGATAATAAAAATAGTTCAGTCGGTGATATCTGTAAATCATGGAATATATTAAGAAAAGAGTTAGTATGTTCAACACAAATGAAAAAGTTTGAAACATCTAAACATATTTTGAAAGCCTCACGTACTTTACAATCATGGCTAAAAGACCTACAATTACCTACAGATTTATATATAAATGAGTTGGAAGAAATTTTGAAGATACTCTTGGACAGTTTAAGTCCTGAACATTATCAGCAAAGAAATGTTATTTTTGAAAATTTAGTTCATCTCATGGCACATAATGAATCAAACAAAGATTTAATTGAAAAAATATTAGCATTACCCTTTATTGAACATATTGAAATTTCTGAAAACATAGTAAATAATTACGTAAAAGAAGCAGCCAAATCTCTTGATATTGCTACAATGTTGAAGTGTCTTGAAGCTTTGTGTGAATATGGTACTGGAATAGACCAATTAAAAATATTGAATACCTGCATAAATAATCGCGAAACAGAGTTATCAGTAGGAGCAGTACTGTAAATATTCTTTGTTCAACTATTTATGTATAGGCAATAAATATGTTCATATTAAAATACAAATAAATTTTTAGGAATAGTATCTTGCTTTTGAAGAATAAGAAATCAGAGTTAGAAGAAATTTCAAAATATATTCTACAACCTGCATTATGTTCTAAAGAGCAGAAGATTCATGAAATACTTGTAATTGTATTGGGTGATATGAGTTGCTATTTATCTGGACATGCCACTTTTATAAGGTAACTTTTTGGGTACTTACTTTTCTTATTCAATTAGTGGAATATTTGATAAAATATTTTTTTTTTAACAGAGACACGAATGATACAAAGTGGACAGTGCATTGCAGATGTTGCAATAACAGCTCTGAAAGCAGAGTGGATACTAATATTTACCATGTTTCAGAAGAACACGATCGATTTTTTAAACAGTGTTTTAGTTTATTATCTTCAAACTTTGTTTCAGTACGTTTGCGTGTTTCTGAAAATATTCTTCACTTTTCAAATCACATTCCATCATTTAATAATATTGAAGTGGCAAAAATGTGGTTTCCATATATGGAAGATGAAAGTTCTACAATTCGGTTTAATATTGCTGCAGCGATAAAAGGAGTATTAACCAATAAAATGAATAGTACAACAGTATCTATGACATCTGTTAAAAACGATGTACTTGATTCTTTGAATAAATATGTTGAATCACTTATTAATACTATAGCAGCTGCGCTCATGAAGGCTTTACGAAGTTCAAATCATACTTTACACGAAACATTACTTATAACGGCAAAAAATTGTGCATGGTAAGATAAGCATTCAAAAGTATGATTTACACAGCATACATATGAATAACATTTTTTATTTTCAGTATTCCATTACATATAATTGAGAGACGAATTTTGAATATATTTTTGATTTCTATATTATATTCAACATCGTCTTCTGCAGCAGTGGCATTTGCTACTACCGCATATCATGACATTGCTAAATTCTTAAACGTTTCACCAAAAGTTCTATATGTTCGATATAAAAAGAGTTTCCTTAAGGTATGTGAATCTTTGTTGAAGACAAAAAGAGTTTCTGTAACTATAACGTTCTCTTTTAATTACAGCTAATAATACAGTGTGCAGTTTATAATTTTGTACAATATTCCTACAATATGGCAACATCGATACATCGGGTCGCAAAATGTATCGGATACGAAGGATCACGTCAATTATTACGTAAAGATGGCCATTATGCGATATGCTTTTTGCTTTCCTTTATCACTGACGTGCCAAATGCAAAAGTTCTTTTGCATGATATAGCTGAATTAATTAGCATGGATGAAAAACAAATGTTAAAGGAATATTTCCCTGTACGTTGATACAATTTTAATTAATTTTAATATTGTCATTATTTTATTACAATTTAAATGTTTTTAATTAGTACATTTGCAGTTACGCATTTTTACACATGCCACTTGCAACTGCTGCAGAATGTTTGAAATTAGTGTCAAAGATCACCCAAACAAATTTGTCTGTATTAACAAAGGAATCATTTATGGTAATACCGATAAAACTACAATTTATATTGTTTTGCTATTAAGTCAGTACTTTTTACGAATGTGATTGTAGGGCATATTTGAAGAACTCATGTTAAATTTTCATGAATCTCCGGAAAAAATAGTTGGATTGCTGAAGATTATATCAGAATATGATAATAGCTCAGAAAAAAATTTCATTACACATAAAGGAATCGTAAGTTTATATCTTAGCTCCGTAAAATAAGGATATTATATTTACAATATTTATAGGAATCTTATTTGAATCTACGTTTGCACGGTATATTAGTAAATTTTGATATAAAACTTGGGCCTAAGTCAGATGAACATACACAGCAATCTGCACTTGCTTCATTAGCTGCACTAATGCGATATATGGGCGCACAATATTTGACACCTTTAAGATATAAAATCCTAGCTACACTAAGAACGTCCCTCGGATTCAAAAGACCAGGATTTGGTCCGCTTGTATGTGATGCATGGAGTGCATTTATTCATAAGTATGTAAATGAAAAATGAAAGTACATGAAGAGTTTAACATCGTACAACTATAATCTTTTAAAAAATATTTCAGTATTAATGTTAGAGAGCTTGGGCCATTATTACCAACTATATGCGTATCATTATTATCACTATTAAAAACGTATCCAGAAACCGTAATTAATATATTGAAATTTTTAATCATTCAATGCAAAGAAGAAAATTCTGATCATATTGCAGAATTATTCTTCGTTGATGATATGGAAATTCCTCCCGAAATTTCAAACATAATTAAAGCACACATTTTGCAAGCTAGGTAAATGAGAAAATATATTTTTTATATATTTATAATATACGTTGTCTAAGATATACGTCAATTTTAGCCCTGAAGGTTTTGAAGCAAATTTGAAGTTATGGCTGAAACGAATTGTTCATGACACAGATGAAGTAAGAGCCAGAGCATTGACATATTTACAAAAATTCCTAGCAGAACATCGTAGTGAGCTAAATGAAATGATCCTAAGAAGTGGTGGAACAAATATTCATCCACTGATCGTTGACGTACGTTTATTTTCTACAGTAATAATTATGTCAATGATATCTAATGATGACAAGTGCCTTTTTAGTTATTAGACACATTATTAATTGGGTGTCAACATAAAGATGAATCTATTCGTTTGTTGTATGGAGAATGTTTAGGAGAATTGGGTGCCATTGAACCAAGTCTTCTTCCGCGCAAAATTCTTTCTAGAGGTATGTTATTTAATAATTAGTTATTTACTATTTTTTTCCTTTATTTTTAATATTTTAGTCGACAGTCAGTTTATTTCTGACATGAATGAAGAATTTGCCTGTGCCGTACTCTTTGAACATGTGCGGGCATTGCAAATGCAAAAAAGTAGTCAAAGCATGGACTGTTTTTCACTTGCTATTCAAGTACGTGATATAATGTTTTATAAGCTTTATACTGCAAACTTATTTAAACTTTTAGATATATGTATCAAATTGTAGGAAATCTTAAAAACATATAACATTTCACCACAAGGCAAAAATAGTCAATTGTGGAATAATCTTCCTTTAACTATGAGGCAGATTATTACTCCTTTTTTAACATCACATTACAAGATAGCAGCCATCAGTGACAATAAAGTGTTTCCTCATCCTATTTATGGGTAAATATTCAAATAATATAAAATATTTAATGACTACATAATTCATTCACCATGTGTATTAAGTGTGTATTTTATTTGTGCAGTTCGGAACTTGGTTCTTCTGTGGAAAATTGGGCTTATAATTGGCTTTACAGTATGTTCAGTAACATTCGTGACGAAACCCTGAATAATGTATTACGTGCGTGCAAATTAGCACTTAAGCGGGATATAAAAATATTGACATTCTGTTTACCTCATGTTGTATGTAAGTAATTTTGCTACTATTATTTTAATAATACAAAAATTCAGTAACTTATATTTTTAATTAACTTAGCATATATAATAACAAACGGCACAGAAGAAGAACACACAAAAATACGAGAAGAAATACTGACAATAATCGATGTTAGGAAGAAACCTACGCTTGATCCGGAATTATCATGTCATCGTCCACTTAGACATGGGCATACTGTTAAAGCAGATGATACAAGAATCTCTGAAGAAACAAGGCGTACACGTTGCGCGCGGGTGCGTATACAGATTTCAATTTAGTATTCCTATTCAATGAGAAATATATTTTATAATTTTTGGGTAGATTGTGTTTTCGGTACTAGATCATTTGCAAAGATGGCTTTGGGAGCAACGATTAAGGCGTGATCATAAGTACAAAAGACTTAAAGGATTCTGCGACAAACTTAATACATTGGTAGTAGCTGAGGGTTGTTATCAGTCTCGGGAATATCATAGAGCATTAATGTATTTAGAACAACATATGGCTTCCTCCAATAAAGGATTATCAGAAGCATTGGAAGGTGGATTACTTGCTGTAAGTAAATTTAAGATTTATGTAAAATAATATTAGATCTAAAATTGCACTTTTTTTTATGTAGAAAATATATGCACAATTGGATGAGCCAGATGGTATATCCGGTATATTGGCTACCCAAGATCATACTCCTACAGTTCAACAGTTAGTCCTGGCTCATGAAGTTAATGGACAACTTCAGGTGCAGCAAAATTTATTTGTAAGTCTTTAATATTACCTATGCACATGATTAACGTATTTCTAAAATATATAGGATGCAGCTACGTGTTATGAAAGACTGGCTCAGAAAAAGGCTTTGAAACATACATACTTGCAAGGCATGATACAGTGTTATCTTGATCTCGACCAACCTTTCACGGCAAAACATATTACTGAAGGTGTTTTAAGGAGTAGGTAAGTAGATGTTAAATATGATGATACTTATTCATTAAAATTATTTAAACGTTAAAAAAAATCGTACTATAGACCAGAGTTGGAACCATTAATGATTGAACATGAACCATTTTGGAGATTAGCCCATTTTACTAGACTTGATGATACTTCCCAAAAAAATATAAAGCATATTCTACTAGAAGATCTCAAAAAGGGAATTAAACCAGATTTACTATCATTGAAAAAAAATCTAGTAGCACTTTTGGAAGACGCTTCGCGTCCTGGGGCTTATCAACAAAGTTATTCCTATATCATGAAGTAAGTTAGAAATGCATCAAAAAGTGACAAATATGTTTATCACCTTATTTTGTAATTTTATTACAAAATTAATAGGTTGCATATATTGAATGAATTTGACAAAGCAGTTTCTACCATGTTAATTGACGTGAAAAAATTACCAATGATATTCGAAGAATGGGAAAAACGTGGTCAACTTGTTAGAGCTTCGCGTGGAGTAGAATTTGTATTAAGTATGCGCAGAGCTACATTAGATTTAGCAGTTCAGTTGCAACAAGAAATTGACAATAAAGAGAACGATGTGCTTAAGCATGAGATTGGTAAAACCTGGCTTAAAAGTGCCAAAATTGCTCGCAAGTATGCATTTCTGTTTATAAATATTGGAAATCCTTTTTCCTTTTAATTTATATTCTGACTATACTTGTAGAAGTGGATTACATCAACAAGCTTATATGTACATATTATCAGCTAGTGATTCTTGTCCATTACAACAACTTTATATAGAACAAGCCCAACTGTACTGGCAGAAGGGATGTCAAGAAGATGCTTTTACAACATTAAAACGATGCTTTTCTAATTGTTTTCAACCAGCAACATATTATAAAACTTTACCTCCAAAGGAGTGCGTCGAAGAGAGGAAACAATGCGCAAAGGTTTGTTTCTAAAAAAGCATGCAATATTTTGAACTGTATTAACATTTACTTCTTCTAGGCAAAACTTTTGTATGCCAAATACAACGATGAAACTGTTAATGTAGATACTGATGCCAATATCATAAATTATAAAGAAGCTATTGAGGTTTGGAGAGAATGGGAAAAAAGTTTACTTTACTGTGCACAGTATTATGAGTCTGTTATAGATAGAATGGCCGATGATGAAAAAGATACAAGAGCACGGTAAGTTTGAAAAAAAAATATTTTTTATAATATTCGTTTTAATAAATATTATATGTTCAGAGATTTACAAGTACATACTATGAATTACTACGGAAAGTCACTGCAGTATGGTTGCAAATATATTCATCAATCTATGCCAAGAATGTTAACTATATGGTTGGATTTTGCTTCTCGTTCATCGACAAGACCTACTTCTTATGCACATTCAGAACAAGTTAAATTGCGACAAGATGCATTATTAAGAATGACAAAAATTATGGGTAAATATTCAATAGTAGGAATACAATTTCGAAGTAAAAAAAAACTAAGTGATACATGTTTTTTATGATATAGAGGTATATCAAGAAAGGCTGCCAATATTTATGTGGCTAACTGCATTCAGTCAGTTGGTATCCAGAATATGTCATCCATCTACGGAAGTTCAAAATACCCTCTGCACAATATTAGTAAAATTAATTCACGCTTACCCTCAACATAGCTTATGGATGATGGCATCAGTTATCAATGTAATTCTTTTTTATTCTCTTTATTCTTGTATTCTTTCTGAATAGGTTTAGATTTGACATGTTCTTTTCCAGTCTTCTTACCCTGCGCGCCAAAGACGCTGTCAAGAAATTCTCAATCATCCTAAACTTAAAACAGTCGAAATGACAAAACTTATCAAAGATTTTCATAAACTCTGGGAGAGACTAATCGAATTATCTAATAAAGCTATTCCAGATGTAAGTTAAAATATTTTATTATTTTTATAAATAAAATGTTATGTGTTTATGATTTTATAACAGGGTATTATAAATACTACCGTAAGTCAATTGTCCCGAAATCTTCCACGTTTACTTGCAAATAAGGAATTCAGTTCAATTATGATGCCAACAACCAAGTTCAGACAACTTCATTTACCGTCTAAGGGTGTATCTTTAGAAAATCATAATCCCTTTTCTCTGTAGGTATAACATTCTCTAATAACTTTCTTATTTATTATGAAAAATATAAATAATTTCTTTTGAATTTATAGAAAATGGGTTCACATATCGGGAATAGAAGACAATGTAGCTATTATGCCATCGCTTCAAAGACCACGACGTATTACTTTAAGAGGATCAGATGGTAGAGAATATCTTTTTATGTGTAAGCCTAAAGATGATTTACGAAGAGATTTTAGGTTAATGGAATTTAATGATATTGTAAATAAATATCTTCAAAATGATCCAGAATCTCGTCAAAGAAGATTATATATTCGAACATATGTAAGTATTAAAAATATTGATAAAATGTTTTGTTCCAAATACTTATTTATATTCCAGAGTGTTGTACCACTGAATGAAGAGTGCGGTTTGGTTGAGTGGGTGCCAAATTTAGTTGGTTTTAGACCTATTATAATAAGCTTATATAAAGAAAGAGGTATTGCTATTTCAAATAGAGAACTTAGGAGTATGATATGCAGTGAGTAGAAACAACATTGTGTGGAATTAAATACTAATTAAGTAGAAAATGCTTACTTGTTTTATTATGTCTTAGCATTGAAAGACCCACTAGAAAAGAAAAGGAAAGTGTTCCTAGAGCAACTTTTGCCCCGACATCCCTCAGTACTCGGAGATTGGTTTCGTCTTACATTCCCTGATCCATATGGATGGTAATTTTCATCAGCAATACTATAAATCGGATACAAATTTCTGGTTAAATTTTAATATATTGTACAAGCATGTAAAAATAAAATAGGTATGAAGCGCGTACTGCTTACATTAGAACTACAGCAGTAATGTCCATGGTGGGGTACATTCTCGGACTTGGAGATCGCCATGGAGAGAATATATTATTTGACTCGAAATGTGGAGACTGTGTCCATGTGGATTTTAATTGTTTATTTAATAGGGTATGCAAGGGATTATTTATTGAATACAAATAAATTAAATTAATTTTGCTCGATCTTATGATTTTAATTATCAGGGAGAATTGTTTGAGTGGGCGGAGCGTGTGCCATTTCGTTTAACGCATAATATGGTAGATGCTATGGGGCCATTGAAAATTGAAGGACCATTCAGACGTGCTTGCGAAATAACTATGAGAGTTCTTCGACAACAAAGTAGTACGCTATTGAGTGTGCTTACTCCATTTGTATATGATCCGCTAGTGAGCTGGAATAAGAACCAAGCTGGTGAAGGTGGTGAAAAAACAAACGAAAAAGTAAGCTGTAATATACACAACATTATGCAGTTAGATAATTAGTACGTGTATAATATAATATGTAATATTAAAAATTTCAGGCTGTAGAACATATTAAGAATATAGAACAACGGCTTAAAGGCTTAATTCGATCTCACGGCAAAAAATTAGAAAATATTGCTTTAAATCTTAGTGTTGAAGGACAAACTAATCATCTTATTTTAGAAGCAACCAATGTAGATAATCTTTGTCAAATGTATTTCGGATGGGGCGGATACATGTAGCAAATGTTGTATTTCGTACAATGCCTCATATATCATTATCAATTGTAAATTTCAGTTTTAAATCCACTTGTGCATTTTAAGCTTCTACATTGAAGCTTTGAAGCATCATAAAGTACGAAAATGCAGTACTGAGTATCTGCAAATGATCATGAAATAATTATTATTCGTGATAATTATATGTATAATAATGAATAATTTATGATGAAAAATAAGATTGTAATAGTAAAAATGTTATTTTTTTAACCAAGTATATAATACAACTTACAGCGGCAAAATTTTCTAAGTGCATCACATATAGTTTTCCAGCAGTAATAGAACACGGCTTTTGAGAACGTAATATGATCATGTAGACTTCATCTTTTATCAAACTTGGCAATTTGTACCATTTGATAGAAAATACAGCTGTACTTATATCACAACTCTACCATAATATAAATCAGTTTACAATAAAATATATTCAATACAAATTGTTCACATAATTTTTTATCGTATTTACCTGCCGTATTAAAATATCTCCAGGAAAACAGAAAAGTAATAACTGGAAAAGTGCCACTAGTAAATGAGCAAAGGATTTAAATAATTTAGAGATTTCCGATAATGCCTGTAATTAAACATACGTATCAAATAGCACACTTTTTAACTACAAGTTAAAAAAAATTTTAAATGGTGCTTACTGTAGAAACCTGAAATCCAACAAAACAAATTAAGATACTGCTAGTCATGCTTTGCAAAAACAGCATTAGATGAAAATTTTTTTCCATGTTATCACAGAACCTAAATTTTATTAAATTAAAAAAAAACAGTAAAATTTATTTAAACTTATCAAAATTACCAAAGAATGATTTGATGATGTTGAATTGTATGCATTAATTGAATTTTTATGTCATACAAATCTGTTTTTATGTTGGTTGAGTTCTTTTCTGAATTCGTTATCTACAAGATACGAAGTTGATTAAATAATAATTCCATTAAATTTATGTTGGAACTGCATATAAATAATACAATACATACACAATAAATACATGAATCAAGGTTTTTTAATTTTTGTTTAAGTACTGCAAAGTGGCCACATGTATGGAGCAAAGCAATGGCTATTATACCATCAGTTGCAAGCATGATCAAGCTACAAATATTTGTTGCTAACATTTGGAATATATACATCATCTATGTAATAGAAAGTACTGATTAAATCATATTTGTAAAAAGAAAGAAATGTGGAGTACCTCATAGAAAGGGAATTTATGAAAAGCTGCAGGGGATGTTCCAGTAAATGGAAACTTCTTTATAGTGGAATTATTATTTGAAACTTGACTCTTACTGATGAGTATTTCAATGATAGGTAAACTGCTATAAAACAGTAGTGCATTACACATGGAAATGAAATAGCCCCTTGAGACGTTTTTAGCATATCTGAAATTATGTATTTTGATTAGTATTAAAATTTATTTTTAGCAAAGTTATTATAATTATTATTATTTACATTGCATATTCTTCTAAGTACACGAAAACATCAGCATTAACTATTTTCCAATAACCTGTTAACATAAAATTTATAAAACACTCCAAATCTTTTCTATTAAACATCCAAACTCCTGACTTTAGTACAGCAAGTGTCATTGTAAGCATACTTGAACTGCAAACAATGAAAATTTACAATTTGTATTAAACTTTAATCACTTAATTTTTCATCACTTCAAACCTTATTTCCAAAACGAAATCTAAATCGTCCCAGCTGTTATAAATCGTTATTATCTGTGTTACAATCATAAGTACAATACAACTAACACATGTAAAATATCTCAGCATATTTATTGGATAAAATCCGACAATTTTGAGAACAAATTGAATTATAAAAGTATAATTTTTAATATTCATTGTATTTAAATCAATGATTAATAATATCAAAATGTATGATAACTTTCAGACAACTTGAACTTTATCCATATTTGAAACTATTCCATTTCCAGTGAGCAGTTGTTTCTAAAGAAACAGGTACAGAGTTTTTAATATACTTGATCATTAGCATACATTATTCGAGGTATAATGATACGTTAGCTTTATACAGTATTCTATGCTTTGATCTTGTCCTATAGCATTTAAAAGAAATGTATGGTCATATTTAAGCCAATCATTTCATCCATACAAGTGTTTCCTTTTGAAGTTCTCTTTAGAAGTCATGCATAATTTCGCTATGGAACATTACACATAATGATAAGGAAGAGGTGCTTTAAAGAGAAAATAATACTTTGCTATAATTCTTTATCAAAAGAACGGTCTTTGTAGTTGAATTTATTCCAAGAAAAGATGTACGTGACAAAGGAACACTAGTAGTTATAGAAGTTTCAAAGACACAGCCTTTTACTAGTAAGTTTTTATAAAAATCTTAATAAAATTTTTATACATAATTTCTTATAAAATTTTATTGCATTCATACGGTGCGTTGATGATAAATAGAATTTCCATTTTTTACTGAATACTTTACAGTCCTTAATCAATATTTTGTGTAAGTATAACATACTTATTCATGTCTTAGATCAACATTTAGAACACACATTAAATCAATTATAAAATCAGATTTTTTGCTGTATATAAGAGTCAATCCTTCAAAATGTAATGTTTCATAACTATCTACTTAATCAAAGTTATCTAGATGGTATTTGTACAAGTATCAATGTTACTAGATTAAACAAGTCAAAATAAATTATAAATTCTAATTCAAGGGCATTTTCGTTCTACTTGGCTTTTTCCACTTTCTTCGTATTCTTGACTTGATATCCACATTTGCTGAAAAGTCCCAATAGATGCTAAAATGGATCCACCTATCCAAGCCCCGAATCGTCGTTCAGCACATCCATTCACGCTAATCAATTTCAATCTCATGCTAGATGGAATTCTCATAGAAAGATCTCTGTTTAAACGTTCTGGGAAGCCCTGTATAACATAGTGTGTTAACAAAATTGTTTACATAAAACATTTGTCTGTTTTCAAATTATACCTGAATGAATGAATTGCCACCAGTAACAACAACACTTCCATATAGAGCTGGTCTTACATCAACATCACACATGCCCACACTTGTAGTAACAATGTGGCCTACTCCTAACATAGTATTGCCAACCATACCACCACGCATTTGGACCATACTAGGGTCAAACAGTGCTTCTGGTATGCGAAATCTTTCACTTCCAAAATCCTTGAAATGTTATTAATAATTACTAGATATGATTTTTACAACTATTACAGTAAATTCATTTGCTATATACCTGATGGTATCCAGTAGGAAATTCATATTGAACAGCAGGAATTGTAGAAACAATTTTTTCATCATATGGAGTTTCTGATACTTGTAACACTGTAGCTTGGAAATCTTGTATAAGTTTCTTCACCATATAATTATGCCAAGATTTAGTAACTTCAGGCAATCCTTTCTTTTTTACCCATCTTGGCTTTTCATGATCTTTAACAACTTCTTTACTACCCACCATATAAGAAGGAGACAAATCAATGTCATTATCCTGTTGTTATTTGTAAAATATAATTATTCAACTTCTATTTTTTACAAGATAGTATTTACAATTATGTTTATACCTGTAAAAATTGTCTACACTGCATACTTATGTAGTCCCCTCCAAGTGGGGACTTAACTATTGCTTGAGTTAATACAAAACCATCTTGAACAGGTACAGCAGAAGTATGTGTTGCACCACTGTCAACAACTATACCAGTAGCTCTACCATTGGCAAAAGCAGCAAGAACTGCATTTTTAACAAGAAAATAAGCTGGTACATTATATTTTTCAAACATTAATTCAGTTAGTTTCTCTCTTTTACTGCGTACATTCCATGGGGATTCAGAAAATAATACAGGATGATATTCTGCATCTGACTGAATTACTTTGGAATATGTATAATCTAAAACCTATTAAAGTACATGTAACTATATACAATATGTACACTATTTGGTAATTTATATAAGTCATTAAAAATATATCATTCTGATATTACCTTTTCAAAATGATCCCAGTCTTCAATCATACCATCTTTCATGTAACTAACAACTTCCATATTCTTTCTTGGAACATGAAGTATGGTAGTATCAATATAATATTTGGTCCCAGCCTGTGTAATGTTATTATCTGGCTTTTTATCATCAATATCCATGGGTTCTGTTTTGGTTGCTGTACAGTTGCCATCTTCTCCTATACCTACAACTGCTGGAATTTCGGCTTTTGGTGTATCTTCCTGAGCATAACCAACTCTCAAAGAATGATGACCCAAGTCAAATACCAAAGCTCCAATTTCATCTCCCCCATAAAGCATACCCCCTGACATTTTGATAGTTTGAAAAAAGCTAAAACAATAAATAATTTTGAGTTCGATAAAATTTTCGCGTAATAATATTTAAGTTCATATTAAAACGAGAACTTAATTTTACACTAAAATCCTTATAAACAATATTTGTAAGTAGTGTCCATAAACCGGCAAGATAATTCTTCAAAATAAATTGATATGTTAAAAATATATTCTTGGTTAATCTTTACAACTTACCGTAATTTTTCTACAAAAATAATACAATGAAATGACAAAAACATATATATTTAACCGCTACATGAACATTTATTTATGTAGTTTTTTAAACGTAAGAGAAACATAACCTCAACGCGGAATGACGCTTTATGCCGCCACCATAAACATAGCAATTTCTAGATAAACAGATTTTTCATGGAATTTTTCAAATTATTAATTACAATCATGTTATGTTAATACTGTATCATAATTACTTATACAGTAAAGTTACAATCATTATACATAAAAAAATTATTATTGTATTACATATTCATAATTATTATCGTCCGAGACAACGTTACATGCTTACATATATAATTAAATAATTATATTTATGATTTATCCTATCAATGAATGTTTTCATTTAATTTTTTTACATTTAAAAATATATCATGGAAAATGTAATTGGCGCTAACAATTATTTAAACCACCTGTTAGTTCCAAAAAATTCCGCTAATGGTGCTGCTATTTAGTGATTACAAAATGGCGGTGCAGATCAGATCGTCGGTAGACTCGAGACAATGCGGAGGTGTGTAGCCGTCTTTTGGCCATGTTCTATCGTTGGTTTAGTGATAGTGTTGTGCTAAAATGAGGTTTGTGGAAGAAAGACTCAGTCTGTCGTTTTATGTACGACGATGAGTCAAAGAAATTGGCATGTGTTCGCTTAACAGAACATTGTATGCTCGTGCAGCAATCGCGTGAAGAAATTACAGTGGCTTTTCGTACGCGTCGGAGTCTGTGACACCCGCTAGCCTAATGGAGCTGCGTACTCTTGCTATCCCGTTGGCTTTGTTGACATTCGTCGTATTAGGTACGTTTAATATATTTTTATCTTTAAAAAACGTCACTTACTTTGATCAGTATCGAGAACAGTACAGTTACATTAAGTTCTATTTAAGTATTATATTATTAGAAAGTGATTTGAATGTCTGGTACTCGCGCAGATGAAAGCAAAAATGTAGTGTCTATACAGGATGTTATTGTTACTTACAAGTAGAGAGAGAATACACTTTGTTACTAAATTTTATAAATGCAAATGTAACATAAATTTTTACATTTTCTCTGATGTTTTATCGATGAACACGAAAACAGGAAAACATCACTGCGTATCGTTTTACGGTTGCTAGTGTTTGCATCTCGCCTCATGATAGTAAGTAGGCAAATATTTACGAGACCATTCTGCGATTTTCCGTTTGCTAATCTCTTAACGTTAGAGATTACGTCCTGAAAACATTTTGAACATGTATTCTAGAATTCCTTTTCTCGTCGAATTGTAAAATGTTTATTGATTATTTATTAAAATACATCGCGATACACATTCGGATACAGGATGTTCTTTCAAAATTTAAACAATCACATATGATATAGTTCTATTATGACCAGTTATAAAATACATCATTTTTTCATTAGGCAGTTTGTTATTGTGCAGTATAGAAGTAAAGAAGATCAACAGCAATTTTTTAATTAACGCAATAAATGAATAAATAATAAATATCATTTGCCGCATGAAATCTGATATAATAGTTTCAGAAAATTAAGTTGAGAAGCACTGTATTTCGGGTGACTATTATTGATGCAGAGAAGGTTGTATAAAGGAGTGATTGGGGGTGTATTTTCGATTGCAACGATCGGGATGGAGACTTTTACTAATATTGCAATAACGAGGACAATATTGGTCTCATGATATAAGAAGTAACAATGTGGCGAAAGACATTAAGCCAGAATTAGAGATCATCGTTCGAACGTGTAACAAAGTCTATGCAAGAATAAATCTCAATCTTCCATATTACAGATTCATTAAAGAGGTTGCACCGCTAGAAGCATTTGCACCAAACACTTTAGCAAAGTATTCCAACAACGCGGCAAGCCTCTCCTTGCGATTTTATCGCGATAGGAAATGCATATGCGAAATGTTCAGCGCTACTATGTCAATCTATCGATACAACGACCCACGCTACAGATTAATCGGACAGTTTTTTCTCGATTATTTTGATGCAATCATATCGTATATTAAAGTATTATCAACGGCATTACGCTTTTATTATTTTCTTTATTTGCGTTTGATCATTACATACGTCGGACTAGTTAAGTATAAAGATCCATTTCCGGCTTATCGTCATGGAGAAGTATGAAAGGGGGTCTTAAAAGGGTGCGTTCTTCAAATAAACCAGTTAACTTTGGTTGATTGTGAGATACGATTCTATCGCTGTGCAGTAAACTGTGAAATAATTATAGATTCCTGTAAACAGTAAACCGACAATAATAATTCATCATTCTTGCTTCTAGATTATCGAATTAAATTTAGAATCGATTTTTGTGTTTTTTGTTGCTTCGTACGTGTTCCGGTATGCGCCTGTTTATGATGTGCCTTCGAGGTACGAAGATCCACTCTAATGCTAGTAGCCCCAAATACGGAATGATCGGGCAATATACGCGCGTTTAAATGTGTTTTGTGTAAAGTGGTATTTACAAACGGGTGTACTCTGTGACTGATGTCGTAACAACACCTTAATGGTTAGCGCCCACGCGGTGTACATGCGTGCATATTTATATACAGGGTGATTTATTTGAGATATCTTTTGTGATTTGACAAAGCCTCGTGTAATTCTGTTTCATCGGGTACTTTCTTATTTGTCAAAAAATAATTTTGTTCATTTGAGCCTGTTGTACTCTTTCACACGACAGTAATTCCATTATCATGTCACCTCACACGCATTATCCTTTTCTTACTTCTACCTGCTCGGATGGAACAGTTCACAAACGGAAGTAATAGTCATGCTACAAAGAATATAAGAATGAAGAAGGTGAAGGAAACTTAATCGAAGAAATTCATTTATCAACGTTAACCTTAGCAGTGCTTTTTATAATTAAAATTTTATAATTGATATATTGATTTTTTTTCAAAAAATAGATCGCAGCATCCCTGGTAATTTATTAGAATTTATAAGACACTGCATAGATTTGTTGTACCACGGTGTATGTGTACCTTGCCTTCCTTCACGGTCTGTTCGTCACATGTCGAGTACTTTTACCGCGTTTTTCAACATTCTCCCTCCTTCCCTTTCCGACTTCCATGTGCATACGAACTTGCTCTGCAAATTAATCCACGCTGCAAAAAAGTTCAAAAGATTTATTGTCGCGAGAAAATTTGTATCAAATGATGAATGTGTTCGAATATTTGTGTTATTGGCGATACTATCGTAACAGACTTTCAAGAATAATTTTTACGGAAAGGAAAAGCACAGTATTATTTTTAAAATATTTTTATCAAATCATAGTTTTCTACGAAAGCGCATCATAACACGATACGATGATTGCACTGATCTTGTAAATCTTATCTAATACAGGTAATTATCTGATACATACGGTCACTTTAGATAATGACTTGAACTCTCCACGAGTCCTGTCACGGTGTTTTCGTTCTTCCTTTTTCAATCTTTTTTTCAGACAAGTTACCAAATAAAAGGTATAAATAAACATCCTATCAATATTCCATAAAAATGAAAGTTCAGTGGTTGTTCTCGAGACAGATTTACCTCTCGCATACACTGCAATGGTTCTCCTCTTGATCTATTTCGGTATGCCGTGCGGTAGGTTGTCGCCCGCGTTCATAAATCAAATAGTCAGACGGCGAACGGTTTATTTTCCTTGAGAATGCAGCGTCGTGGCGCTATCGGGCGCCGAATTTCGCACGTCCTTCCTTTCCCTTTTTCCATTTTTCTTTTTATTCATTCACGTCCAGTTTTAATGTCTATGAACCGTTGAAACGGTAGAATGGTTCGAAGAGGGAAAAATCTAAAAGTTCAATTCGAGAATCAAAATAGGTATCGATTAGTTATTACTTTTTTTGTGCTATTACGTGAAGTTGGTTGCATGGTTTGGCGGTAAAAATTCGAACGATGGCGTAATATCGAGTAACGTGAACGTCAAGTTTGAACGAGGAATTAAATATCTTTTGCGGTGAGAATTATTTCTGTCGATTATTGAAGACGTGTTCGCTGCTTTGCGAAGGTTGTATGGGAAGGTGACAGACCACCGTGAGCGTGAAACTGTAACCCAATAACCCTAAACAGTGTTTCTCATTTTTCTGGAAGCGTCGATTAAACTCGTTAAAGTGTGATTCTTTATTTCATACAAATAATTTTTTTATCATCGATCAGTTTGATTTGCGTTTTAAATATTGTATCAGGTTTTATTTAATACTTCCATCGATGTGCATTTCTGTTCGATAAGTTTTAACATTCCCATGCGTATTTTATAAGCTCTTCATTTATCGCATTCCTCGGTTTTTCTATAGTTTTTGTGGATAATGAGACCAACGATGAGGTATTTCTAATATTTCTTTCAGGGGATCGTTAGCCGGGGAAACTTTTTATAATTATCCGCGTGTAATACGCGTCTTTTGTACGAAGAGTCTTAAGAATTTCTTAGGAAGAATTTAACGAGCTGTGTGGCATTTCTTTGGAAGAGTCAATCTTTAAAATCTGTTACAGAAATATAAATAAGAAAAGGTTTCGTATAAAGACGATTCGTTATTTATTATTTGTTCTGCGAAGAAAATATTCCGCGATATATCGATTATTGTATTAAAGGAAGGAGCTTAGGTTCGATAGAAATCGTATTGCGTTTCATAACATTGTCTTGCCAAGGTTTTCTTATTTGTACGTTCTTTCAAAGAATTATTCAGAAAAGATGTTGAATCGTCCTGCATAGTGGTTAGGTATGTCGTATCAGCCGATCGCAAAGCCTCAAAGAAGAAAGAAAAGAAAGGGAAAAAAAGAATTTAGGCACTCGGCTCGGATGTCTCGCTAAAGGACTAAAGGGTGCTTCTGTAGGGTTGCCGACCCTTTATCCCTTCTCCTTTCTTCAATTACCACAACACATGCCTATTCTCTTCTCCATAACTAAACTGCCAGTAATTTTTTTTTAAGATCTATTAGGTAATAGTTAAGCTAAGTTATTTATTAAAATATCCAGTTTCAAGTAGTGTTATGTATTTTTGCTTTTGACAGCTAGTGCAAGTGGATTGTATTTTACTATTGAGCCACAGGATGTGGTGGTTGAACAAGGAGGTCCTGCTAGATTGGATTGTGAAGCAAGAAGTGATTTTGGGAAACCAAGTATACAGTGGCGAACTGATGATGGTCAACCAATTAATTTTATTGGAGACAGTTATCGGTAAAGCTATTGCTATTGAGAAAGTCAGGCTTCACTTGAACTCCTGTTTACATCCTGTTTACATTCTCTATTGTTCTTTTAGATCTCAGCTAGCAAATGGATCCTTGTATATAAATAGTGTTTACAGCAGTAACTTGGAATTGACTGGAAGCTATCAATGTTTAGCTTCTATAGATGATGTTGGAGCTATTGTTTCTAGAGTAGCTATGATTAAACTTGCAAGTTAGTATTTGAGTAGAAAAATCCTCTAAAATTATGTTTTCAAGTAGATAAAGTAATTGAAGGCTAAAATTATATCATGGATTTTGCTTTAAAGGTTTGCCAGGATTTGAAAGAGAACCTCAAGATACAATGGTTTATCCAGGACAAATTGCATATTTAAGTTGTACGCTTCCTGCAACTTCCAATTCACTGACAATACAATGGTTAAAAGATGAACATCCTCTGTTACTTGATGAGAGTAGAATGACAATTTTACCATCAGGTATAATATATTATTTATTCTTATTTCAGCAGATTTGTAATTCATTAATCAATTATTTATATTTTGAATAGGTGCATTAGAAATTGATGATGTTAATGTACAAGACATAGGATCATACAGATGTAATGCCAGTAGCTATGGGCAACATAGGCTCAGTAATAAAGCACAATTAGGGTTATTAACAAGTGATATTGGTTAGTGTGAACCTTTAGTATACTGATTCATACTGAGTATTATGTTTTTACAAAGAGGAAAATCTTTATATATTATTTTCAATTATAGATCAAGAAAGTACACCACCAGTTTTTATTGCTAAGCCATTACAACAAGTGGCTATCGAAGGATCAACAGTCACTCTTGAATGTGCTGCTAATGGCTATCCAAAGCCAAGCATACTGTGGTTAAAAGATGGTGTTGCAATTGATTTAGCACCTCTTAATTCTAGGTGTGTAATAAAGAATAAGTTCATATAGAAGAGAAATTAAAAGTATTAAACATATATATGTAAAGTAAAAAGGATATTTAAAATGTTTCAATCTTCTGTTGCCATGTTCAGATATAGCAGAATTGCTGCATCCAGTCTTGTAATTAATAACGTACAAGAAATCGATGATGGTTCTTATCAGTGTCGTGCGGAAAATGAAGTTGAAACATTAGATGCAGCTGCTGATTTAATTGTACAAGGTACAATTTATTTTTAACGTGCTACATATATATGTTGTTTCATTTGTTTATAGTATTCAATGACTATGTCCGTTATGTTTTGTGTTTAGTCCCACCGCGATTTATTAAGAGACCCGAAGATAAGGTAGCTAGCGAGAATCAAGATTTAGAATTCGAATGTGAAATTTATGGTAAACCAGAGCCAAAAGTTACGTGGCTTAAAAACGGAGAACGTATTACATTAAATGCATATTGGCAAATTGTTAATGGGTAAGTTTATGTAATGATAATATATACATTAAGGCGGTCAAACCACTGAAGATAAGACTTTTCTATGTGATTACTTTCAGATATAATCTTAGAATTAACGGCCTATTACCTATAGATGCTGGAATTTTTCAGTGCATCGGAACAAATTCTGCCGGAAGTGTAAAGGCTGCAGCACGGCTAACAATTAGTCAGCCTAGTGAGTGTATCTCTTATAATTGATATTTTCCAACATTCCTATGTATATAGTTCTGATTACTTAAGTTGGTTATAGTGAATCGTCTTATATTTATTTATCAGTTTATTGATTTACAATTTTTTTTTCAATTGAATGTATTTAATTCATTTGTTTCTATAAAAATTTTAATTTAATCTTTTTATTTTTCTTTCTCTTTATGTTTCCTCCTTTTTAACCGTGTTGCATGCTAACAAATGTATTCAGAAAAAGTAACGTCCCATAAAACGACAACTCCAAAAACAACTCCTAAGAAAAAGTTATTACTGCATCGTCAGTTGTACAATAAAACATGGCAGCATCCCAGTACTCTTTTAGGACACACGTTATCCGCGTTCACACCTAATCCACCGCTTTCCATCAGCCCCTCTGACGATCCCGCAGATCTCCCTGGATCTGTTAAATTTCCCAATTCCCTTTACGATCCGAAATCCCATTTTGTAGATGACACGGACAGCCTAGAATCAATAGAAGGCAGTGTCCCGTCAGCACCAAGGAATTTGAGTCTCGTTATTGTCACCGCCAGATTTGTAACTTTACGGTGGCAAGAACCAGAAAATACAAACGGAGAAATTTTAAATTATTCTATTTACTATAAACAAGAAGGTGTTCAAAGGTGATGATTCAATTTTCAATCAATTAATTTATTATTCATTTTTATACATGTCTTGTATGCATAACAGTTAAATCTTATAGAGAACGAGTTATTAATACACAACAAAAACTAGAAGCGGTGATACGAGGATTGCAACCAAGTATGACGTATCAGTTTCGTGTGGTTGCATCGAACGAAAGAGGTTCTGGAATGTCTAGTGAAGTATTGCAAGTCACTACACATACCGAGGTTCGTTTATAATTTGAATAAATTGTGGTGAATTTATTGAATCTTTTCATGACGAGTTACCAATTTATTCCAACAGGCCAATGTTCCTGGACCTCCACTGAATTTAGAAGGTCATGCTACAAGTAGTGTGAGCATCGAGTTATCTTGGGAAAAACCACAAGTTGTTAATGGCAGAATTTCTAAATATATAATTACATTTGTAGAGGTATATGATTTCAGTGTTAAAAATATTAAGAATTTCATTGCATAACTCGGAGCCAAATTTTTAAACTGCTATATTTAAAGGGTGACAATGAAGAAATAATACGTGAAACTACTAGTACTATGCACGAATTGGTAGACCTCGTGCCTTATACAGAATACAATATTAAAGTTCAGGCTGTAAATGAAAATGGTCCAGGCGTATTTAGCAAAGATATCGTAGTACGAACGTACAGTGCCCAACCTACTCAACCACCGCATAATGTTACAGTGGAATCAGTTAGTCCTACAGTATGTACCGTTTGTGGATTTTGATAATGTTTTGATAAAAGTTTGAAATTTGAAGTAATTTATTGGTGTTGTAGAGTATTATAATTAGATGGGAGCCGCCATTGGAAGGACAAAATGGAATTATTACCGGTTATAAAATTCGGTATCGTCGGCATGACCGAGGCTCGCAGCCGGTCACTATAACAACCGAAGGAAATCAACGCTCACGAGTGCTCACAGGACTTGAGAAACACGTTGTTTATCAAGTTCGCATATGTGCCTTAAATGTGAATGGAACCGGACCTTGGACGGAATGGATACAAATAGAAACTTATGAAACCGAGTCAGATGAGAAAAGAGTACCAAATACACCCAGCAATTTAAGAAGTAAGTCAATTTTTAAGCTATTTAGCGTTAATTGTGAAAAGAGACATTGTTGATATTTTTATATATTATAGCAAAGGTAATGTCGGATTATATACAAGTTTTTTGGAACCCACCGAAAGATCAGAGCATTAAAGTAAAGGGATATAAGCTTGGCTGGGGAAAAGGTGTTCCTGATGTCGAAGTACGACTTCTTGATGGAAAAGAACGTTCTTTTACAATAGACCAATTAGGTACATATTCAAATCGTATCGTTTATTATGGTATAGAATAAGCATATAATGCATTACGTGTATAACATTATCATTCTGTTATTAGAACCGATGACAGAGTATGTGATATCTTTAAGAGCAACGAACGATGCTGGTGATGGTCAACCAGCATATGCAAATGTAAGAACTACGGAACGTTCTGTGTCTGAATCTTCTGTGCCTTTAATACCGCCGGTTGGTCTTAAAGCCGTTGTTCTCTCTGACACTACGGTTGTACTATATTGGACTGATACTACTTTACCGAAAAGTCAAGTATGTTAAAACATGTTATAATTCAGTGACTAACATGGTGCAAATTACTTTTAATTAATAATAATAATTTTTCAGTTTGTAACGGATAATCGATATTACGTTGTTCGCTATACGTCTCACCATCATAGCAGCAATCCACGTTATAAATATCACAATGCCACTGATCTTAATTGCATGATAAATGATTTAAAACCTAATACACTGTACGAGTTTGCAGTTAAACTTGTTAAGGTATTTATAGATTATTTTAGGAAGATCATGATATGTATACAAGTATATTTGAAGACTGCATGTTATAATTCTAGGGGAAACGAGAATCGCCGTGGAGTATGGTTGTTTCCAATCAGACTCAAGAAGCTGTGCCTAGTTCTCCACCAAGAGATTTGACAATTCAAAGCTTAGAAGACCTTTCTACTTCTGTTTTATTACGTTGGCAACCTCCTAAACAGCCCAACGGACCAATTACAGGTACCTATCAGTATTTTTTAGAAAGACTATGACATTGTTAGTAAATATCATGTACATTTATTTCAGGGTATATAATTTTTTGTTCGACCGACAACACAAAATGGGATCGTGATTGGTCAGTCAAAGGTGTTCTTGGCGATAAAACGGAGTTTGTCGTGGAAAATCTTAAGCCAAGTACAACTTATTATTTTAAGATTCAAGCACGCAATTCAAAAGGAAATGGTCCTTCCTCTGCAATTGTCTCGTTTAAAACACCTCAGAGTAAATATCTTATCTTCCATATGATATGGATGTCTATGAAGTTTCTTATTGTTAAATCCACCATTTTACTGTAACAGATGTACCATTAGATGAACGTGGATTTTCAAATATATTAATTTATATTATTGTGGGTTGCTCCATCGTCCTCATTACTGGTGTGGCAGTTGTAGTTGTAGTCATATGCTGTAAACGCAATCCGGATACTCCGGATCGAAAGAAAGGGTACGTGTACGATATGAATTTATTTTTTATTATTGGAATTATATCTTATCATATAAAATTTAATATTAAAATGTTTAGATATATGAAAGATACGAGTCAGAAGACAAATATCAAACCGCCAGATTTGTGGATTCATCACGATCAGATGGAACTTAAAGCTCTCGAAAAATCTTCTATAAACGGAGAAGCATCTACAAGTGGTGTGGCTAGTAATACATTACCCAGATCAAGTAATCAGGATTATAATCAAGATACTGTACATGGAAATTCTAGTTCGTTGGATAAACGTACTTACGTGCCAAGTTACATGGGTAAGATTTTAAGACTGTTATTGTCTAATAATATCTGTATATATATCTCAACATACACAACACAATATACACAAAATTCTGTTGGTAAAATTTTGGTTAATGATTATCTAAATAAAAGTGATAGTTTTCTTCTAAGATAGCTAAATATACTGTTTTAATGATTTTAAACTTCTTATTAACGTCTTAGTTTACTTCCATTTTATACAAGAAATTATATTTGGTTTATTGTTTTCCTGATTTTCGTATTCGATTTTTGTTTATTCATTAAAAATTAGGTAACACTGATGAGAAGTGCTCAACCCTGAGTAGACAGCATAGTCGAGGAAGCCACAAACCTAAACTCATTACACTTCCTGTTGACAGTGCATCCTTACATCAGCGTAAGTAAGAGTAAATTCAGTAATTGAGTGATATGAGAAGGCCTCATGGTTTCTTCGTGGCGGTTGAAGCGTAATAAATTAGTGAAATAAAGATTTGTTAAGCTGTGTAACAAAGTGCTTAACTTGTTACAGCTATAGCGACTGCTACACCGATCGTAAATACGAGTATGTCACAGCCAACGATTCACACTTCATGCAGTGATACACCATCCGTGAGACAGAACTATCCCCGAACAGTGGCACAATATAGTTTAAGTCGAGCGCACATTACGTTAGAACCAACGCCGGAATCGAGTCCAGATTCTTGCAACATTTCAGGTTCTTATGAACCAATGCAAGGCCAAGTAAGCTTGTCATACAATTATTGATATGTAGTTTGATTGAGGGATGTTGTTATATGTAAACAATCGTTCATTTATTTAAGCCATTGTCATACGGCGCAAGTGGTCAGTCTTACAGTGGAGGCACTCAGTACTCTTCGGGTCATTATAGTAACAGTAATCAACCGTCGAGTTCTAGTGGTGCAGCTGATGGTGGAAGCGGTAGTAAAAGGATGCAAGGTCATCCTTTGAAAAGTTTTAGTGTGCCAGCACCTCCGCCTCAGTCTGCACCTTCGACACCAGCTCAACAAAAGCATGGTGGTTAGTTCTTCATTTTATCCTAATTCTCGTTATCGTTATTAATGATTTCATAATATCTCTCTTTATTTTACATAGTATCTCAAGTAACTGTAAGACCTACAATGTCCGGTAGTCCTTATAAGAAGCCGCAAAGTACTACCCAATTAGCAAAAAATCGATTAGCCTCAGTTTCAAATCCGGTGCATACTTCGGAAGAGGTTGAACGGTTAAAGGTAACGAACACTACAAGTACTTTCGTGTAATCATTGAAATAGAAAAAAATATTCCTTTTCGGTCACAGAAGAACTTCGTTAACTTTGAACAATTTTTTATAGCCTTCTTACAGTACAGAAGAACTAAATCAAGAGATGGCTAATTTAGAAGGTCTTATGAAAGACTTGAATGCCATAACAGCATCTGAATTTGAGTGCTAGAAAAGGTTCCTAAACCTTGTGCCATCTCAATTCAATAGACTGCAATGATACATTCTCAATGTTAGTACCTGAGAGATAGGTGTAATGATCACGTTACACGTTGAAGCCCTTGACGAAAATTCACAATTAGGAAGCGATATCAATGGCCGATGAACGGTCTGGAGATCAAATTTTTCAAACAGTTGGCATGAAAATTATACTACCAGTGTTATCGGACTAGAATGAGTTTTTCCTAGTCAACTTAGTTTTTCCTCCGGTACTAACGTTGCTTTCTTACGGTGAAACGCAAAGTATACTTGCCAATGTATTTTAACACTACCGCATGGTTGTAGTATATTTGTATTTTACAAGAACGTGAGTGGTACGATTTGAAAGTGTCGACGGAAAAAACAGAACATTTTATCGCGAACGTTTAATGCCTGTATTTTTGTGCATACAATGTGTGCGAGTCGATCGAAACAGAAGATCAGTGATAAGTTTAAATCTTATCAAAAAGAACCATCCGTGCGATTAGGATATGTTAAATTAATAACCCAATGAATTTATAGTAAGAAGAAACGGTTTTAACGTTTTTCCAATACTTATACATAAATAAGATTTTGGTAATCTTGTGGTTACCGTTTATGTGCTTCGATAAAAGAAATGACGATCTTGCCTAAAAAAGAACAATTCGTACTACATCCAAAAACTCACGCGTTCTTTGCCATGTTTTTGTAACTTACACTCGTAAGAGTACATTTTATACACCAGTAATATCGACTGCCATACTTACGCTTAGGATGGCGAGATCACGTGAGTCCTTTAATCGAACAACTTTATGGTTCATTGCGTAAGATGAACGGTACAAATATTTCTTCTATTTTTTTATCCATCGGAATTTTTCGTAACGTTGCATCAATTTTGATACTAGGTTTTTACATGGTACAGTACTTTCGAATTAGTTAATTTAGTATTAATCGATTAGAGAACAACAGGTTATTAAGGTGTTTCATCGAGAAGAAGCAGGTCATTTGTGAACTTTTACTAAATGTTGCCTGTGATTATATAAATTTTATTTAACTACCTGAGATTCTTGCGTACCGTCAAAATCGTAATGTTTTCGGACAAATATGAAACGGCCTTATAATGTTCGTATTAAGTTGCCCTATACTCAGTGGCTTCGACAGCTTACTGTAAAGAACACTCGTGTTTCATTTACAGAAGAACTATACGCGTATACTCTTAAAGCAACAACGTAGTATTACGATCTCATTGAAAAATTAGTTTAGGATTACGAGCGAACATCGAGTATGGGTATTATGATAGGCTGTATGAGAGGTATCAATTTAATTTTCCTGTAGGTAGTGTGTATCGATACACGAACGCGATAAAACGAAGGAATGACGATAATAATTTTGGTGTCGATACGTTTGCACTTTCGATAGTTCATTTATTTTAAATGAAAACATTACGTTTCTAACGTCCAAACAAAGTACGTGCGTCGGTCTAGTAGAATAAATTAAATTGAGGAATCGTCATTAGAAATATTTTTTAACGAATATATACAAATTGTTATTTGTAAGCTTTGTACGTTATTTTATGTAACGACGTTTAAAAACAAAATCAGCTATCTAAAGATAGTTTGTAAGATATATGCATGTATTTTACAAGTTTTTCGTATCACTCGATATTACCAAATCGATAACATTTTACAATGAATAGATTTCAAATAGAACATTAAGCTACAGTTTTTCACCATATCCGTCGACGTACATAGGATGTTTCTTTCCAGTGTTAGAAATTTGTTACATAAATTTTGTACACGTTTTATTACGATAAACGTCTCTGTAGTATTAATATGGATGAGAGACTCTCAGATGCAGGATAAAGTAACGACTAATGCGACATACTAAAGGAAAATGAAAAATGCGATCAGGTAATTGCGCATGTAGTATTTCGTACTATACCACCAGTTTAAGCACCTTTGTATTTTCCTAATGTTGAATATATTGTACAAAAAGTCCGCTACACGTAAAGGACAATGCACCAAGGTTCCCGTTGTGGCAAAGTTTAATACGGATATAGTACAAAGCAATATGTGATACTCTTTCTGTGCGACGAGATGCTGGTCGAGAATCCACGAAGAAACAAAATAAACGACTCGGAGTATTGCATATTACTCAAATATTTGCCGTTAGACGGGAGGTACCACTCATTTTGGAGCAACGCGAGAGCGAACGTCAGTTCTTTTGTCGTCGGCTTAGCTCGATCGAGTGTAACGAGAATTAGTATTAAGGTATTTGTCCACGCACGATTTCAGTTCATTCCCTTAAATTACAGACTTTCTAAATGTGAAAAGGAATTTACAAAATGATATACAGGAATAATTCTAAACATTTTCAAACGTTTTTATATTAATATTTTATAAATTTTTACGAACAGCACAACGGAACTGTTTGAGCTATACCGATAAAAAAAGAACAGCTTGTATATTAAGTATGAGTAGTGTATATATTATATACACGGATATACACATAAAATTTGTAATTATTGCGCTATTCAAAGGGCGATAAGTCCTTTGTAATTAAAATGAATGGGCCTACGCAAAGGCCTGTGGAAATATTTTACCACAAAAGTATAGTAGATATATATATAAAAAGTATATATTTATCTATGTAATTATTATTTATTGATCTTTATTGTATGCTGGGAATATTGAGGATAAATGAGTATTGCGAGATGCTAGAGGCTGGTTGCTTTTAATCATTTCCATTTACATCATTGTGATCATTGCTATCATTGTCATTATCGTTGTCACTTTTCACGTCATTTGTATCATCGTCCTTTATCATTCTTCTCTCGAATCAATGTCTTACGGATTTATTAGAGTTAATATCAAAGTTTGACGAGAATCGAAATTAGTAAAAAAGCTACAGGCCACTGATGTATATAGATAGAATGCCGCCACTTTACGAAGTAATTAAGTATTTATATACATATACATATATCCATTATAAAATATAATTATTATATTTGTACAATACGTATAAGGCAGCCATCTCCAGTGAAACATTCATAACAAGTGTGTGATAATATTTGTAAAACTTGATATCCAATAAACAATCTTATGTTCTTTATAAATCATTGTTTTAGCTATATTCTTGCCGATAGACGAAAGATTATACTGCACGAATTATTGAAGAGATAAAAAGAGGAAACGTTTGTTCGCAGTTGTAGGGAAAGGTAAATCATTTTATTAACTTCCCGCCAATTTTTGTAAAAAATTTTAAATATGTCCACCATTACAGCGACATCTGCAACGAATGTGCTGCCATCTGAACGACTTTTATTTTAATGTGAACTAGCAACGATAGATAGCGTCACCTGCTATCTTGTGCACGTTTAAAAAAAAGCAAAGGACAACAATACGCGATCGAGTGCGGTGAAAAAATCGGTGAAATGGTGGAGTTGTGTCGCGAGTATATTTAGAATCAGGTGAGCAGTTTATTCATTAATTAACGCATCGTTTCATTTGTTGCATGCCAATCGATGATACGTACTACGTCTAAGATTGGACACCTTTTTTCCACGATTGTATTCGTACACCTTAATCGGTGAAAAATATTTTATACGGTCCACTAGGTGTCTCCGCTGAATTATACCAATTTGTATGCATTTAAAGATAGAAATGTGAACGTTTAATTGCTTGACAATTTTCTTGTGCTTTGTGTTCGAGTAACATCGTGTTGGATGGTCATTACAATGTCTGTTGGTGGATCATAACCTCCTTAAATACGCCACGCATAATATTTGTGAATCGTTTCATGAATAGTATACATCATACGACAGGTACGCACATAAGCGTATACACGATAACGTTGCACGTATTTTTTATCATCGCGAGCAACTTACCTTGCAAGTAGCTGTAAAAAAAAAAGAAAACCGATACCGGAGGCAACGTGTACTAAAATTACATGGTATCGAAAGACGTTCATTGCTTAATTTAACCAAAAAAAATGTACACTTTGATATTGGTTTAGGAACATCGAAGTTCGAATATAATCGTCAAAGAAAAATTCATCGAAATTTCAAGAAAAATATAATTAGCTATTGTGAATATACATTCTATCATTAACATTATATTTTAATTGTCGATTTCAAGAGCTGCAATAATGAAGTGCGATGTTCGATACAATTTGATAAACATTTTCGATTATAATTGATAATTAAACGAATTGCTGTACTACTCGTATTCACACTGTGGCCGCTTATTTTCGCGGGAAGATAAGTAGCACGTGGTTCTCTATGCTTATCTCTTTCAAGAGAAGAGACTATTTTATCCATTCGTTCTCAGAGAATTAGTGACTACAGACAAAAATAAATAACGAAATAATGAATAATTCGATTGTATTATTAACGAACGGAAAGTTTGCATGATTAACACAGATGCGAATAGAATTAAAATTTTCTCATGATTAAATTAAATGGTGAATTGGTAATTCTCATCAGAAGAATCCCTCTTCCTGGGGAGTCAAAATTCCACGGTGGCTTAATGCCCCCCATCCCCCACCATGATCCGGCCTCTATTGATTGCTCTACCGCACTACTGCCCTACTTTTATGACTTTACTCCACCCCCGTATTCCCCTCGATCTCACTCTATCTCTCTCACACTTTACGTTTTCCTGTAGGCTACCTCCAGCTTGTCAGAATGTCATAGACACATGGGAATCATAGAACTCGTTTTGTTCATCTTCAGCCACCTTTTCGGCTGCTCCAAGTGAGATTTGTTTATCGAAACGATTGAGCTTACGCTGTGGTGTTAGAATTATATGGGGATTGGCGGACCATCGAATACAAACGGTGAGCGTCATGCGTTATATGGCCGCATGGTTATGGCACGCGTTCAGTGTAGGCACGCGTTCAGTACATAAGCATCGCGTTATATCGCCATACGTTCTATTAGGAAATTCCCTTAATGGGAATCTCTGTTCATGAAACTCTGTTCATATTAACATAACGAAAGTTCACTGTTACACGCAATAAGTTGAGAAAATTAGATGAATCAGCTAATATAGTTTTGCAAATCTTTAAGATTGCAATACCTGTAAAGACTATGACGTCAGAACGTAACAGAGAATCACAAATTCGCGAATCCGGTCATAAATTTGCAAAGCTTCCCCTCGTCCATAAATTGGCCTGTAATATTATGCACTGCCGGTACGCGAACCGTGGATAGTCGTACATAGGTACACGTGCGTGTGTCCCGTTCTTACGTGTCACATATGTATGCGGTATTGCGTGCACAGGATCAAGGCTACACGTGGTGCAGGTTTATTTTTGAAAAGCCTGTAACACACGGCACTTCCAAAGGAACAAGGTTCTTTTTCCATCGTCTTGCGTGCAGCCTCGGGATATTTATACGGTTTTCCATTTTCCACCTTGTCAAACTGAAATGATCTCTCATGCTAATGCTCTGGATAGGTAAATATACACGCGGACGTAAATGCGTTTTTGAGTGGCTGCTAATTAGGTTTAAAGATGAAACTCGGTTAAAGACTTCTTTCGAGATTTTACACCGGTGTTTTTTAGCTTCATCGATTAATCTTCAACGAAATGCTTGATCTGTAGATATATTTCAGGTCGTTAAAAGTTGATTACTGGATTTCGCTACGAGGGGTGATAATTTCAGTGACGTAGGTCAACGCGATGTCAGGCAGACTTCAGTGACGAGGCGAGTAGTCGCGTCAGAAACTGGTCAGACAAAAAGTATTCTTTTTCATTCAAGTATTTTCATCGATTCATCTAGTCGTTTTTTTCCAAAAGGTTCGCGTGCAATCAAGAACTATAATGTCGATGAAAATCAGTCATTAGTATCCAAGTAGTCCTCGTGTCGCAATGCACACTGTTTATCCAACAAGGTCATCGAAAGAGGGTACAAACGAGATGACTCACGCGGGATTCGACGAACGATGGTTCGAGCACTGGGCGAATCACGGTAGAATCGATCCGTTGGCGAATTGCTAGGAAAGACGAATTACCAGGCGAAGAGAAGTTGGGTCGAGGAAGACCGATTTTCGGCTGGCTGACACGCGAATCGTTCCTCCTTCACCACCTTCCTCGCGAACGCAGTCACGCTACCACAAAGTCCTTCTGATTGCTGACGTCACACACGTGCCCACGAAGAAGGTTCTGTTAACCTTCTTTCGGGGAATTCCCGGCCCATGGAGATTCGATCGAAGTCATGTACGAGGTGAAGGTCAAGTTCACCAGGCGGACTCGGCCTATCTCGGATAGATGATTTTCTTTTCTATCATTCTTGTTACCTTTCAATAAGTCGATGTATGAGAAATTCCTAGACACAAAAATCTTGAAATTATCGTGATTAGAGCTTCTTCGGATCATAAATCTGTCATAAACGATTAAGGGTGGCCCAGGGTGTGGTAATAAATAAAAGACGGTCATTGTTCACCGATAAATCTCGATGGTAGATAACAGTGCAGGCTCCTTGAAGTTTCAAGATAAAAAGTGCCCATAGCCCTCGATTCGATAAGAGTGGCGTGTTTCGATCTCATAAGAAGTGGAATTGCTTCTCCAAGGAGCACCCTGTCTTTAACGTTGTTTTTACGTCTTGTTGTTTTTTGTGCACCTATGCTTCAAGGTAAAATATATGATATATCCAACTATTTAGATATTTGAATATTTTAAGCAAATTATAGCGAGTATTGAAGTTATTCAGATAGTATTCGAGGGTGTATAACACTGATAGAAGTTCATGTAATGTCCATTCGCAACACTTGGTACAAGTCCAAAAGAAAGTTCTGTCGTGAAAGACTAGTATGTTTCTTATTTCTTTGTTACGGTGATAGAGGACTTAAGAAACTTGAGGAACATGCAAGTTTTATCATGGCTTTGAATCACGTGCAGGGCTACACGTGCGTCTATAGCCGCGCAAAGGTTCCAGCTGTATCGTTCCTGATCGTTTCGGAGAACATGTTCCCTGGGTATGAATTCTGAGTCATCTAAACAGGGTCACGTTACATCATTAATTTCTGCTTCGAAGACTTTTCCTTTCGTTTCGATCGTAATTTGTAATTCGTTGAAGCTACGAGAGAAAACTGAACGATCGGATTTCGTGGAACAGATAATAAGTCACTTAGGATCTCGTAAAAATGATAGATAATAGATAATTCATGACTAGCGGAAATGTTCCTTACTTAAAGGCAAAATTATGTGTTTATTTCGTAATAGGTAAAAGGAAAGAAAATAGGATAACAACTGGAAATTTGCAGATACCACTTGCACGTTCCTTGGATCACGAGATACAACGACCCTATGCCGCACGTGTCCGCTGAATCTTTTATATGCAGTTGGTGCTGTCTTTGTAAATATCGTAAGAAGATTCTATAGCGTTTCAACCGGTCAATTTCCTGGATGATTAACTACCTACAGCTAAAGGTTCGTTCATAGTCAAACTCCCTCAAAGTACATTTCCCAAGATAAGTATTAAACTGAAATTTCATCAATTCTGATACGAAAATGCTAGAAAAATGTAATCTCTTCATCAAATTAAATTGACAGATAGTATCGATCGTTTACTCAACAACTTTGAACTGTATTTCCAGGTATGAAGTTAGCTTGACGTTCGATTAGAATCAGATCTACATATAATGTATCACTGTCATGTACTGAACGTGCGAATTTCCAGTCAATGTAAAATGCACTACTCGTGAATAATGTACTAGCCGGTAGTAGAATGTACACGGTTTGTTGCATCTTCTTCTATATAAATGTATCGTGCCAGGGAATTATTACTGTTAGTGGTTCGTGTCAACGATTGATGAAATCATCCTCCTTGCTCGAAGGTCTTGGACTTGTTCTTGCTGCAGGTATGTTCATCCTCCTCTAAGAGAAAGGTTTTCCTACAATAAGATACGACAAAAAGGAAACCAGAATGGTTTTAGAATTCTATGAAATTTCTCTTGTTACACATTTTATGATAGGAAGGTATACTAGGTTTTTATAGGACAATTATTAGGAACACCTACACGACCAATAATAGCCATTACGGTTCAGTAATTCCATCCTAATATCCTTTTTTCTTCGATAGGTGAAAAAGGTGGAAAGTTCATAACACAGTAATAATAGTTCTCGTGGTCCAGCTCTGATGAAACGGTATTATAGATCGTAGAACGAGAGAGGACTCGCATGGCCAAGGAGTCTCGGTGAAAATCGCTCCGGCGTTAAAACACCCGCGTTATTTTTGGTTCAGAGGCCTACAGAGAGATATAACCTGTCAACTGCTCGAGTTACTCTCCTTCTCTCTTCCTCTTTTACGTTCTTTTCATTGATGCTGGCGTCAGAGACTATCCTGACGTAGACCTGGACCCGGGCCAAAATTGACCAGTCTTCGTCGGCTACGTACATACGATTCGTTGGCGGTTCTTCGTTAAATACAGTTCACGTTGTTGTTACACTGTCGAGGAATTCTGTCGAACGGAATCAACAGGGTGTCTGTTATATCGCTACTGTTCCTTTCGATCCGATACTGCGAATTCTATGTTGGAATAATTAATGGACATTGTCGTAGAATGCTCGAGGAAGTCGTTAACACGATGATGCGTTGCATTATCGACTAATCAACGACGTCTTCCTAGCACGATCAGTATTAACGAAGCATCGTGCAAAAAGCGGGTAAAGATAAAATGTAACCAATGCAGTTGGAGTAAAATAATAGGCTAAGCTTATGTAACAACAGTAATTGATATCGATTCGCAGCTAAATTTCCGCTCCTGGGAATAACCTTGCGATAGGATCATCTCGAACGCGTTAAACGAACCGTTTATCGCTGTTCGAGGACATAATTCGGCGAATCGTAATCCGTGTTTGAACTCGAGTGTAATTGTCGCTGAATGGCCCTGGATGTAAAGGTTGGTCGCTGAAAGGACGCGAAATGCAACTGTCGACATAGAGGAACTGGATACGAACAGTATTGATCCGGCATGAGCCGAAACCGCTTCTCTATAACTCCTTTCAATTTCAGAGCATTCTTCCCGCTCGTCCATCCATGAATTGATGTCCTATAACGAGTGGAAGCACGTGTTGCTTCTCCGATTTATCCTTCCAGTCCTGATATTTTTTGCCAACGTTGGTGAAACAAGCTGGAATCCATTATTACTCGGACAATTTTTGCTTCTCCGTTAAAACGGAATACACGCTATCGAATAGAATCAGCATTTCTGAGAAACGACGCTTGTCGGAAAATACCTCGCAACAGAATTAAACGTCACATCGGTAATTGCTTATCGACGACGCTGGATAGGGAGGAAAAAAGGCGTGAAGAGATCGATGGACGTAGGTGCTAAATGTGCGTCGAGATATATATCTGTCGATAGATACGTGGGCAGTGTTTGAGCATCGTCGTCATGAAAATATTTTCATTATAAATAGCGGGTCCGACCGGTAGGGAAAAACCATTCGTGGTTTCACGAGCTTCAATCCCCCGAGCGATTCTTCCTCTCGTGGCAAGCGCCTCTGAGTCTGGCGTGTTTTGTCGTACAAAATCTTCGAGTTTTCTGACGAGATTACTGTCCGGCATTTTGCTCGCTCTCTGACATTTATTGCCAACTCGGACACTTCTTTCTCTGCTGCGAAAAAGACATTTAATTTCGTTCAAGACATCATGCGATCCTTGTACAGAACAAGTGTTCTTTCTTTAAAGAAAAAGCTTGTCCCTACACGGAGACACCACAAATTTACCATGTGATTGAAAGGACCTCTGCAAAGAAGTATTAAATGATACATGAGACTGCAAACATTTGTATCCTGCGATTCGATAATCGTATATCTTTGAAAGAGGTGTGAAACCTTCAGATAGCAAACGAGTTCGATTTGTCTTCTTCCTGTATTCTCTGACCTATTTGTTGGTATATGGGTCACGGGGTTCAGCAACCCTCCTCACTCGGGTCGACCACTATACGAAGTTGACCTGAATAAAATTTATGCTACGAACCAATTCCCCATAATTTCTCCTTATTCTGCCACATTTTATCCGGCGTCCTTTATATCAACTGTTTATCTTTTTCTTACGTTTTGTTAAAATGTTTGCAATATCTCGACAATGTCAGGAATTCGCCATAAAATAAAAAAGTTCGGGTTCCAACTCGCTGATTGGAGCGTTCTTCCGGCGAACGAAGGATCTATTTTAAAATTGGACGCGTAACGATCGTGCACGTGTACGAGATAATCAGAAATTACTGGCGTCAATGATCGTTATAATGTTGTAATAGGCGATCGACACGTTGGTGTACGTCGGAGGATATACAACTAAAATAATACACTCTGGAACAGCGCCAGCGGAGCCTCTCTATTGTCTTTTTAGCTGGCAAATGGTTAGACGCGCCTAATACCGTGTTAGTCCTGCGGTTACTCATGGTAATTTTCATTTGCTTGTATCATGCAAAATTAGAAGCTTATAATAATTATTTTAATTCATTTAGAACACGTGCAAGCTGGACATTCGGTCTCTGGAATTTTCATTCGAAAAATTGACTGGGAGAAAGATTTCAAACAGAAAGACGAGAAATTGACGCGATCCGATCATTTCCAAGAAGCATGAAACAGCACCGGAAACTCGAATCGATATTTATAGAAAAGACCCACGCGTCGATCGAAGTGCCGGAGTAGATTGTGATTTAAGATCCCGATGAAAAATTTCCGTTGCCAGTTGTTTTGATATATTTTATCCTGTTCGATGAGTCATCAGTCATTGTTGCCTGTGGATAGGCTCTTTCCGGGATGTCTGTACACTCGTCACGAAGTTAATGAAAATCTTTCGCAGGAAAGTAGTCCATGTTCCTATGAGGTTCCATAGGAGGTTTGTAATTATTTCTAATTAGTTTCTAATAAACCCTCATTCATAACGATAAGAAAATTCCTCGCAGATTTGAATGTTAACCTTGGTAAGATGTCGAAAGAATATTTATTCCGAGCAAGCCACTGTTGAAGAATAAGCAGAAGGGAAGAAAAGGACTAAGGAGACATATCCCAGGTAGAAGGGGGAGGTTCAAAGAGCATCCAGATATCCTTATTCGGATGTTTAACACGCGGAGGGTGGCCGATGCGTCTGTCCAGGGAGAGTAGGTCGTTTCCATGGCGACAAGGGGTGCATCGGACTGGCACGTATCGCTAAACTGAACGTACCCCCCTGGCGGCCTCTAACCTCCCCCATATATCCCACCTCCTGCGGAATATCCTACCCGTACTTTGGTTACCTCCTCGTGGCTGGGTCATCCCTCCCGCAGGAATTAGGTTACTTCCTGGAATTGGGTTCTCCTACCGATTTCTGATGTGTGCGACAAATTTCTCTGACCTTAAATGATCACACAATTTCCTAAACCTTGAAGGATCTTACGTTTATGTGGTTAAGAAATGTTTATGGTGGTTCAGTGGCGATACAACGCGGCGGATTATAATTCTTCATGCGTGGTAATTATATGGTAATTTGATGCGTGGTAGTTCAATATATTGTAATAGGACGCGTGGTAGTTTAATATATGGTATTTCGACGCGTGGTGAGCTAGTATGTAGTGATCCGACGCTTGGTGATATAATGCGTGGTGATACAACGCGTGGTAATCCAGCGCTTGGTAATTCAATGCTTGGTGATCCCACGCGTGGTAATCCAGCGCTTGGTAATTCAACGCGTGGAATCACCACGCGTGGTAATCCAGCGCTTGGTAATCCAACGCGTGGTATTCCAGTGCTTGGTGATCCAACGCGTGGTAATTCCACGCGTGGTGATCCGACGCGTGGTAATTCCACGCGTGGTGATTCCACGCGTGGTGATTTCACGCGTGGTGATTCCACGCGTGGTGATTCCACGCGTGGTAATCCAGCGCTTGGTAATCCAACGCGTGGTATTCCAGTGCTTGGTGATCCAACGCGTGGTAATTCCACGCGTGGTGATCCGACGCGTGGTAATTCCACGCGTGGTGATCCGACGCGTGGTAATTCCACGCGTGGTGATCCGACGCGTGGTAATTCCACGCGTGGTGATCCGACGCGTGGTAATTCCACGCGTGGTGATCCGACGCGTGGTAATTCCACGCGTGGTGATCCGACGCGTGGTAATTCCACGCGTGGTGATCCGACGCGTGGTAATTCCACGCGTGGTGATCCGACGCGTGGTAATTCCACGCGTGGTGATTCCACGCGTGGTAATCCCACGCTTGAACGCGTGGTATTCCAGCGCTTGGTAATCCAACGCGTGGTATTCCAGCGCTTGGTAATTCAACGCGTGGTGATTCCACGCGTGGCGATCCCACGCGTGGTAATTCAGCGCTTGGCAATCCAACGCGTGGTAATCGAACGCGTGGTGATCCCACGTGTGGTAATCCAGTGCTTGGTAATCCAACGCGTGGTATTCCAGCGCTTGCTAATACAACGCGTGGTAATTCAACGTCCGTAGATCCAACGCGATACCATAATTCCGTGTAAAAGAACTCGATCCACGCAATACTCATTCATGTAAAAATGTATTATACCCTGACTCGATACGAGGGATCAGTTTGCTTTTACATACCAAAAGACTTTGTGCAAAGATCTTTGTGGGTGGTTTTTGCTTGACCAAAATGAAAAGGATTAATTAACACATTGGTCGAGGTCGAACGACTTTGCTGGTACAAGTGTGATTAATTCCGTTTCATTGATAATAGCCGACCTACTTTCAACGACTACCTTTTTTATCGCGTTAAATACTCGACTAACAGTGTTGGTAAATCTTTCGACGCTTCGAGTATCATGTTAGATCCATGGCAGGCTTCTGTAGGCAGTCATTTCGATCCAGACACGCGTTTTTATTGTTGGGTGTTTGCTCAACGCGGTGTCGAGATATTGGTAAACTAAACGCATCCTTCGATCTTTTTTAGCTCATCGTGTTTTACTATCGGTGTCCTGGATAATTCATGCGTCATCAGAAGCATTTAAACCTCCATTATCGAATATGAATTGAAGGAAGAAAACCATAGAGTAGGTTTCAAAGGGTACTGGGTCGTAGCTTGAGGGTTCAGCTTCTATAAAGTCCCAAGAAAATACAAAATCTAGATTTTTTTTCTTTCCTGAGGTTGTCACTTTGGTTAGCCGAGCGTCACCTGAGAGGTTCTTTTTTTAAACAGGGACACCCTGTATTATTCCAGGGGACACAGAGGTGCACGACCCAGTTACGCTTGGGCGTGTTATATAGGTCATAGACACCATTCGTAGTCAGCCATACGTATATTCGCACACCCGTAGGTGTACATACCGTTTTACGCGTGTTACCATGCACGTTAGAGATTATGGACACATATCGTTTTTCGAGTAGTCAAAGTTTTATAATGGGTTCTTTGCAATTAGGAATCAGAGGGCTTGTAATAAACCGTGATATTCAATCAAGGATTTCCTGCTCTTTTATCGTGCAGTTTCGATAAATGTACCACCTTGAACGACGGTTGGGTCAATCTTGACCCAGAAACGAAACTTTTATCACGGTGCATCGATCAAAACGAATTCGCGATGGGAAACGCGTTAATCGCGATAGAATCGTTTCGAATACTCTTTGATCCGGTAATTAAGAGAAGAATCCAGTAATTAGTAAGACCTTTAAATAAGTAACACCGTCATCCTAAATGGTTCCTGAAAGAATACGCAAGCTGTGGTATTATACGAGGAAATTTGCTATTTAGATCGTATCGGTTTGTTCGCGTGTGCATTACTAAGCAATTTGTAACTTTCTGCTTCGCCACGGTCGTGTGTGATCGTTGCACACCCTGTTCACCCACGGCTACATCGATCATTTTCATTGAAACTAACGCGTACAGTAATTATTCCTAACGTCTAAGAAAGTTTACAGAAAAATACTCAGGAATGAACAACCGTATAGTTCGCTAACTTCAACAATCAAATTGAATGTCTTCTTTGCACCTATTTGTTCTTATTTTTCTCTTCGTCTGTATAGACTCGCAGATGGTTCCAATTTGCGAGCAAATAGACAGGTGTTACCGGTATTATTTAATTTGCTTCGAAGGAAAACTATTCTCTCGATATTCAACGTACGTCGTTGATTGTTAATTAGTGGCGAGCTAGGGAAGGATTAGAGTCGCTTAATGCAAGGGTCATTTTGTAGGATTTAATGTTAAATAGCAATTTAATATTCGTATAAGTTCGTGTAAGTTCATATAAGCAACTTCGTACAAGTTCGTTTAAGTTCGTACAAGTTCGTACAAGTTCGTAGAAGTCCGTATAAGTTCGTATAAGTTCATATAAGTTCGTATAAGCAACTTCGTACAAGTTCGTTTAAGTTCGTATAAGTTCGTATAAGTTCGTATAAGATCGTATAAGTTCGTACAAGTTCGTATAAGTTCATATAAGTTCGTATAAGTAAATTCATACAAGTTCGTATAAGTTCGTATAAGTTCGTACAAGTTCGTATAAGATCGTATAAGTTCGTACAAGTTCGTATAAGTTCATATAAGTTCATATAAGTTCGTATAAGCAACTTCGTACAAGTTCGTTTAAGTTCGTATAAGTTCGTATAAGTTCGTACAAGTTCGTATAAGATCGTATAAGTTCGTACAAGTTCGTATAAGTTCATATAAGTTCATATAAGTTCGTATAAGTAAATTCGTACAAGTTCGTATAAGTTCGTATAAGTCCGTCTAAGTTCGCAGTTTTTGAGAATATTTTAACAAATGACTATAAAAATCATCCCTCAATAAATAGTATAATTGCCTTCGAATGAAAATTCAGATTTCATCACCGAGCTAAATAAAGCTGGTTGTCGAAGAGAAACAGAATCCCGATGAAAAAGTGTGATAAGAGAAACCACGACACGAGTCTAATTAGAAGCATCCTATTCGTTCGACACCCGGTACACTTGAAACACGCGCACGCGTGCACTTGCTCGACATTCTCTTTCTCTATCTGTTCATTTTCCACGAGCATTTTCCTCGATCCCCTCTTATGTTCCCTCTTCGTCTCTCTCTAAAAATCGCACGTTTCTTCCGACTTTTTTTTCTTCGGTTTTCCTCCATCCCCCTAGTCGTGTACGTCTCTGTTTCTCTTCGGTTTCTCGGTTCCTCTTTGTCGCTCTCACTGCCTAGAACCTCCGTCTCTGGCGCTCTCGATATCGTTCTCCTCGTCGAGTTCGCGATCGGAGAGACCCGTGGCGGGTTTCTCTCTCAGTCTCTCGCGAAAAGCGGTTTCGTGGCGACGTACCGTTGCACTCGATAGATTGTGGCTGGTCCAGGTCCTCTCTCTCTCTCTCTCTTTTTTTCTCTTCTCCTTCTCTTTTTTTCTCTGTCCCTTTTCTATTTCTCTTTTCGATTTTTTTCACTCGAAGCACTGACCTATCCGAAAATCTTGGTCGCGAACCCTTGGAACAACATGATCGTTGGCCCGTGGTTCATGGGAGAACATGAGTCGCGGTAGGAAGAAAACGTGGTGGCTGGTTGGCCGAGATAACGGCGAAGAAGGGATTACGGGACGACAGAGAAACAGTGTATTGCTATTTTCGAGACGCCGTGGAGCCTGGCCAACGCGTGCGTCCGGTTTACGGTAGGGAAAAGGAAATAAAGAGGGAAAAAATCGAGCGAGAATCGCGGGTGGAAGAAAGGTCGTCGTGATCCACGAGGTAGAGCCTTGTGCACGAGGACGACGCTCGCTTTACCGTGAATCGCGTCTCGAGGTGTGTTGTTTACCTGGAAAATATCTCCTCCGAGTGATAGATTCGGAATTAAAGAGAAGGTGAAAGTTTCACAGGATTTATACGCGAGTGATCTTTCGATCGATCTCGTTCAAGGGGAAAGAGCTGCTGAAACGATTTCTGCGGATTTTCTTTTACGCTTGTTGATCTTGTGTGTGCTTTGGTGAAATGATCTGTCTGAATTATTGAATAACCTGTCAGTCAGGTATGTAGATTGAAATACACGAGCGAACTCAGCATTTTTCCTGGGGTAGTTTTCCATCGAGTTTCGTGCAATCGATTTGTCCAAATTATCGAATATTCCATCGGAAAGTTAGATTGCGTGGTCATTAATCACTTCTGAATTACCACGAATCCCAGCATTTTTCTGAAGAAAATTCACTCTTGCAGAATCTATTGAAATTATCGAATATCCCCGTAGGAAGTTGTGTCTGAGAAATTAACCCCTCGTTTTATTCACTGAAAACGACCATCTATCATTTCCATGTTCACACATTACGAGTGGAACTGTAGCACACTAAATGAATTTTCTTTTTCTTCAAATTATCGACTATCAGGGAATTGAATATAAAGCTTCATGTACTCGAACCGATAATGAAACGCGAAGAATTCGCGAATTCTTGCTAAAACCTCTTAATCCGTGAAGATTGGTTCTGGTTTAACGACTAACATCGAACGCTGACGTCAATTCACCCCTTCATCTGGCATTGTTTTCTTTTCCGTAAACGGGCTATGAATCGAAGTACAGGTTGAATGAAGTCGTAGAAAATACTTCTCGATATTTACAATCACACTATAATAAAATTACGCTAGCACACAGTTTCGAACTCATCGTATCTGAAATCGAAGGAAATTCCATCTAACTTCCTCAAGTTTTCATTTACAGCGTGTAATCGTATCAGTTAAGGGTCTTGTGCCGCTATAACACCGCTTGCATGCGCGGAGATTAAGCATCGCGAAGTAAAAATTAACCCCTCGCCTTATAATCTTTTTCAATTATTCTTTGACGCAATAGCTTGTAAAACTGTTGTAGTTTAAATCGTGATTCGAGTTTATCTGATTTTATAAGTCTGCGAAAGAATTAAGCTCATTTCCTAACCACTAGGTTTTCGCAAAAAGGTGGCACGATAAGTGCAATTCGGATCTAACTTTTTGAACCTTGTCGATCTTCCCTTTTCTCTAACCGCATCTATGTTTCTTGTTCGATGACCGTCGTGTTGTATCTGCTTACAGAGTGTACGATGTTGGAAGGTGGACGTGCAGTGATCCGGCTCCTTGTATCAGCCCTACAAGCTGCACGCCACCCGAAAGATTCACCTACTAACCCAGTTGCACCTGTTTGAACCCACCAGTTGCAGAGTCCTGCACCGTAACCCCATGACGCATTTAACACATGGCCCGCCTGGAGAGTAAGTGTTATGCTCACGATTTTTTGTTATTTCCTTCCTGCGCTTCTCCCTTGTCTTTTCTGTTTTATTTCATTGGCAGATTCGAGGCGGGAGTACCACAGTCTTAGTCGAGAAAGAAAACGTTCATGTCTTGTCACGTTCGATATTCTGGATTTATGGTCGAATTAACATGTCACAACTCTTTATGGAATAAGGGCACACCTCATTTTCTTGCAATTTCGAAAGGAAAATTGTCGTTCAGTTCCGCAGTAGAAAAATGTACGACTAGTACGACATACGTTAACCATCATAGGGGACAGATAATATAATTATAAGAGAGAAATAGGGTGTGCTAGTACTTTGATGACGAGTTCGTAGTCAGAATAAAAGCTTGCATGTTGCAGTACCAAGCATAGTGGTGCATAAAGGCAGCAGGTCGCACAGCCGACCTGAGAGTCCCACGGTGGTGGTGCGAGGAGGAATGCCATCAGTGTCGTCCACTAGACAAGGCTTCGTCGTTGGTGAACGCTCGAACGCGTTGTATCGGAACAGTTCAGAGACGGATATGATAGACGGGAATGTCAATCCGAATGTCGCTTCTTCTCCAACATCGAATTCGGTCCAGCATCGTGCATCGCCCTCTTGTCCCCCCGATAAAACGGACACAGAGAACAAGAACTTTCGTAACAGGGTATGTAAATACATCGAAGCCTGTTTTAAATTCTCTAAGGGGAATTATTCGAGTCAAAGTAACCATGAAATCCTCTTTTTTCAGACGAACACGAAAGTGAAACTGCTGGTCAGGAGTCATGCTATGAGAGAATCGACGTCTCCACCGAGGGAACCGCACAACGGTTCGTCGTCTCCGCATAGTCCTCAATCGGTGGACGGTGAGAAGAAGTTCGTGGGTAACCTGTCTCCTAATTCCACTAACGCGAAGCTCAATAACAACGAGTCAATGTTCAACAGTAATCTTTATCCGAATCAGTCCCCGAAGCAAATGCGTAACACGGCCACTTCGCCCACCTGTCGAGCCCCATCGCGAAACGGTAATGTTTCCTTGCTTAACACTTGACAAATAGATCCTTAAAATAGCGACAACGGTGCCGGGTCTTGGCTGACCCAACGTAGTATTTAGTCTTCTTTTTTTGGTCGCAGGTCAATCTAGTCCTTCTCAAGTTCACTCACCAAAGAATCATACGTCTCCAACGAACGGCAATAAGTTGGAGAATCATCGTTCCAAGATGACAGGCTCGAACGTGATCCAAAAATACAATAACTGCGTGAAAAACAATCAAAACGATCGACCTGGTCTGCTGCAGACACCGGTATCTCCAACGAAGTCTGGCCAGGCGTTACAGCACTCGCCAAAGAGTACCAACTTGGCCCAAAATGCGCAAAACAATCAACAGAAGTCGGAACAACGTAGGCCGAACACGTTAAACATTTGCAACAACCAGTGTAACAACACTCAGTGCGGCAATACCTTATCCGTAAGCAGACCAGGCTCTAGACACAAGCTGAGACACCAAAATTCTTCCCAGGGTAGTTTCGACAGCGCCTCACCATGCCTGTCGCGAGGTTTGTCTTCTACACATCTGACGTTTTACTCGTTCAAAATACTGTTCAGTTTTTAAAACGATTCACTTTACTTTCACAGATAGCAGTACGGAATTGTACACTGACAGCACTGGGATAGATCTGGAGCATTTCATTGCGGAAACTATTAACCGCAATCAGAAGGATCGCACGGTGTTGTTGAAAATAGAGAAGGATTTAATAGAATTCGCGCGGGATAAGCAGAAAGTTTGTCACAAGTTTCCAAATATGTCCTCGTACAATAGAATGTTGGTACACCGCGTGGCTGCTTACTTCGGAATGGAGCACAACGTTGATCAGTCGGGTTCCAGTGTCATAGTTACTAGGACGAAGAACATGCGAATTCCAAATACTCGTTTCAAGGAACACATCAGAGACGATTTGATCCTGTCGGAGGAACCACGTCGCAGTATTCTGAAACGCGATTCCAGTTCGTTCGAGGACAGTTTCAATTTCAAGTCTCCTGATAGACTGTCTGGCGATTATTGCCGACAAAACAAGAGTTTCGAGGAACGGGAGGAGGAATATGAACGTGCTAGACGAAGGATATTCAAGGATAGTAGTGGAGAGAGCAGCGAGGTTGTTTCATGGCCTTATTGGTCCTCTTCGGAAAGTTCTGATGCTTCTGCGAGATACCGCTTGTTGCATCCTTCGGATCACACGATGAGGTAAACGAAGTGTTATCATTGTCTTTGTTCGTTGTTTCATCTTCGTTTTATGACAGGCAAACGAAACTCATGAAAGGAGAATCTTTCGATGGAAGAGAATCTTGTCGCGGTTCTATATTAAGGCCATCAGTTTCCAAATCCTTTAGTTTTGGTGGTTACACCAGAGGTATGCTTTCGAGAGGAGACAGTGTCACGTCTACACATAGTGCAGGGGCTCGGCTTATGAAGCAAGGTTCGTCTCCCTAATTGGAGCGTAATAAAACACTTCACTGTGTAAACTGAATGCGAATTTGTTGCAGATTCAGGTGCTAGTATGTGTTCACGACTAAGTCCTTCGAGTAGCGGTTACAAGTCGCAGAGCCAGCGCAGCGATGCAACGATATCTCCTTCTCCTTCGCCATCTCCCGTGGCAAATATGACGTGTAGTCATACTCAAGTATCTAGTCAGGATCTCGCATCACCAGAGTCAAATAACCAAACGGTTATGTGGGCGGTCACCAGTATATCCAGTGTACCGCCTGGTAGCATAATCATAAACCCTCAAACCAATCAGCCATACACAAATCCGGACGGTTCGATTTATCGTTTCGATCCGGAGAATCCACCAAAATTTTATACTGCTGCATCGTCGCAAGAAAATGACGGAAACAACGTGTCGCCTGTTAAAAACGTAGAATCATCCGAGCCATGCAAAGTTAATAATATAAAAAATGAAAATAAAAAGAAATCACAATGCAGTAAACATAGCGGTAGTAATACAACTACAATTACTCGAGTGACAAACTCCGCTACGTCACCGAGTTTGCCATTTACACCTCCACCGCCGCAACAGCAGCAAAACCTAGGACCATCGCCACCGCAGCTGCAACAGCAACAACAGCAGCAACATCAGCAACAGCAAACTCTAGTCAAATCGTCATCGACGATGCAAACTTGTAATCATAACCAAACAGCTCAACCATATTCGACTTATCCACCTACCTCAGAACCGTACAACCAAGGTGTTTATCAACCCTCTGTGGGTCAGCAGACTGTGATGATGACTCCTCATCCGAGTCAGAGTCAGGCGAATGTTCAGAATAATGGTCAAGGGGATGTGTACAATCAGAATTCAGTTTATACGAATTATGCAGCAGTACCTGTACAGCAAGGACCAGTATCACAAACAGTAAGATACTTCTTTTGTACTCTGGAAAATAGACATTGAGTAATCTACGTATTTTTATCATTAGGAAGTAACTGAACTGTCAGGATACTTTATGGGAATGAGTATCTATGATCAGCGTGTAGCTGGAGAAAATCAATCTACACCTCCTCATTCTTATCCACAACCACAGCCATCCGTGAATCAGACAGTGCAAAGTGTGCAAACGATGCCACAGAATTATTGGCAACCACCACCTAATTCGATACCAGTATGAATTTTTATATTTTATTGTCTTTATAAATTAATCTTACATCATTGTTATATCATTATATTATTTCAGCCCCAACAGACAATGTATTTCGTACCTCCACCTGGTACAGCACTTTCGGTTAGTCAGGGTCCAGGTGATAGGCAACAATTGCATCAACAACAAAGATTCACGACAAATTATTCTTTTAATGCACAAAATATGACTCCTCCGAGCCAATCAAATTGTAAGACATTCTTTTTTCAGTGACACTTCTAGAACGTGCATGTGAGCGATTATTTAATCACATTATTCCAATTTTAGCTAATTATGTGGGTAGTTATCCAGTACCTTACAATTCGATGCCTACTGTCACACCAACACCAGGTGATTATACGTACCAAGCACCGGTTCACATGGTCCCCACATATTATCCACCAGGTCAAGCGACGATTCAACCACCACCTGTCATGTACAGAGTACCAACTCCACCAAACACTCCAACTTCTAATCAGGCAATTAATAGTGTTTCTAGAGTCGCCATAGAACCCGACGATGGAACACGTTTTAACAAATCTGAAATATTTTCATAGATGTCCGGAATGCCATTGATGTACGTTAACTCTGGCAGCTATCCCCCACCAACAATGGTATCCAATGGAACTTTTGGTCATCAAGTCGGACATAATGGCACGTCACCTGCGCCTCCTGGAACATACATTACTCCCGCGCTGGTTCCTAATCTCGTTTTCAGGCAAAACGTTCCTGTAAGACGAATCTGTTAAGCCTTTTGTTTAAGCGAAGCATTCACAATAAGAAGTAATCTTCAATCACAGGTTGTTGCCGGTGTTCGAGCTTCGACACCAGGTAACTCTCAGAGAACAAGCAGGTCGCCGACTCCAGCACACGAACTCTTCGGAAGTGGGAGCGGGGACAGAAACGCACAACCCCAACCGCGCTACCCACTGCCAATGTATCAGGGTGTTCATATTGTGCAAGGTACGAAATGTGTATAATTTTTTTATAGGTTCATCAGCTTATGTGTAATTTATTTCTTCTAGGGGACATGAGGTTAATGCATCCAGGAGTACCAGCTAACCCGCGGTTGCAGTATGCGCCGGTACCATCACCACCAGTTGTTCAGGGTTGTCCGCGACCTTACAGACCACCTTCGTACTCGTCGAACACTTCAGGCGCTGGTACACCCACCTCGTTTGATGGAAGAAATCAGAAGATTCGTAAACCGAGGTGATTTTACGAACGCCGGGTTAATAACAATGTATTAATTACTGCTGACTAATGAGGAACTTATTGATTAGGTCCAAAGTAACACAGTTACCATCAACCGGCACGCGGCCCAATCTCTATCAAACACCTTCCATGCCATCGCTTTCATCTAATGTACCAAAAGATATCAGAGAAGGTAAGAATCGATATAACACACCGTTTGATTAGATGTTCGCTCGGTACGTTGCTTGAAAGTTCTGTTACATTTTTACCTTTGTTTCGCTTACGAAGAATGTAATGGTGACACAAATTTTTTACACGTATCTTGTATCTCCTTAAAAGCGAAACCTGTGGAAGACAATATGATATAAGGTACAGAACTTCAGTATAAAATACTACAAATGAACACACGGTATCTACATCGTAACATTAGGTGCTTCTTCACACGCGTTGATTTCGCTTTGATTGATATTTGTTGTTCTTATGGAAGTGTGCCTGGAAAATACTTCCTGTTTTTATTATCTACGTATGCTTTGTCATTGGAAGTCATAGAATAGCGAAAAATAGGAAGCATAAGTTTTCAGTGCACTTACTGTAGCACTGTACGCTTACACACGCGCACAGGTTTCTCCAAGTGCTCTTTTTCCATTTATTGCAAACATATCGTGTTACGATGAATGTGTTTGCTGCACAACGATGTAAGTTTTTCTTTTTCGCTTCAATTAGCATAACCGTTTCAGTGCCATGGAGGATTTGGAAAACATATTTGAAACTTCAGTTCAGTAGGTAAAACCTAAGCATATCTAATTTAAGAACCAAAGAAGTTTGGCACTTGAACGGTTAAATTAGTTCTATGCTTTAGTCGTACTACAGTTATAGAGATAGTCGTTTACAAGAATCGATAAGTTTTTAATTCAAACATCGACATACTTTTCTTTTTTTTGTTATACACATTCATCGCGTGGAATCTGTACACGGAAGTACGCTTGAAATCAGCTGTTATCGATAGATCATGGAACACTCGTTTACCGTAATCCTGATTTGCACAACAATAATTCACTGGCATTGTGTCGTGGTATCACGCGAAAGGAACCAGCCTTGCTCTCAGAAACACTGTTTTACTTGCAGGGACCGTGAAGGTGACAATCACCAGTCGAAATCAACTGGTACAATATTAAGTACCTGGGCCAATTGAGGAACGAAATACCGGCTGAACGTGATGAAAAGACAATTGATTCGTTGCAAGCTGATACACCAAGAAACTGGAATGGCAGCTCGTGGTTCATCGATACACACACATCTACACAGACACACAAGCACACAATGATTCTCATTATTAATATTAACTATACTTTTAAATAAATATTTAAGAGAAGAGAATATATAAAAAGCACACACTGATAGAGTATAAAATTCACGTGTTACAAAATTGAGATGAAGCAAACAAGAACGAAAAACACCTTTATGATAACGAAGAAACGGTTATGCGCGTATCTTTTGATAAAGAAAGATGGAAAGATTACGAAAATATCAATATATACCATGTTGAATTCGTTCACAGTATTTAAACAGAAAAAGGTCTATACAGGTTGATTCAAAAAAGAAAGACATACCGAAGAAATGGAAATTCTCTATAGTAAAAGAAATCGAAAAGACTTTTAAAGTTTTGCTATTTCTAAAGATTCGTTTTCGAGGTACAAGCAATTACAAATTGAGGTGTCCAAACTTCAACTTTTCGATCTTTTTAATCATAGAGAATTTACAGTTGTAGAGTGCATATATTTTTTGAGACAGCCTGTATTTATATGTATGGAAAGAGAAGGTTTAATGAATGCGTTGTTTTCGCTATAGAGCACGATTAGACACAGTGGGTACACACCGAACAGAGTTACTGAGCAGAATTTTAACTATTACAATTATTATATATATATTATATATATATATATACAGTATATTATATCTGGAGATATTTTAATCGCGGTTTTACAGATACTATATGAATGTGAGATTTACTTTTAAGGAAAAAAGGTACTTTTAAAAGTGAATACAGATAAAAATACACAGGGATTGCTTGTACATACAAGATCCGTGTGTAATAATGATAAAACTAATGTACGAGTATTACAGAATACACGACATACTGAGTACGTTTACAGCAACGGCTGAAATCCAATCGAAATCTCTGGATTTGGCTCTACGTTCTTCTTTAAGGAATGATCATTGCTCACTGATTCTTCTATGTACTGCCACCAAACGGTTGCGTCAATCTCTTAAAGAGAGCAACAGCGAAAGAAAGAAAAGAAGGGAAAGTTGCTGCCAGTTGCGATTCGTGGCCACACGATCAAATTATTTGCTACCTCAATTTTGTATCGAAAACGTTTTAGTCTGTATCGGCCTTTTACAGAGTTACAAACTCTCAAAGAAAGCTTTTGATTCTTTTTTTCCGGGGAAAGTACCGACGAATTCAGGCATATTCATCGAATATTCGCAATTCGATTGTCGTCACGTTGATAAGATTCTTTTTTTGCGCTGATCATTGATGTTCTTATGATCCAAGTCACTTCTGATCTCTGTACGATTACTTTAGTACAAGTTAATGTAACTCGATCGAACGTGTAAACGTATTCAGTACATGGTCTATGTAACTAGTTCGACACAGTAGTTAAGTAGCGCGAAACCATCACAGCTTGGTATCACGAAAAGAGAATCAGTCTCTGAAATATTTTCAATTTCGTTCCTTTGTTTTCTTCTTTCATTTTGTCCGTATTAGGGAATTGAAAAGTTTAGTCGAATACGAGACGTGATATTTTATTTCCAAAGATCAACGTGAAACGCGAAAGCGTTCACAATGTTAACTATGATTCGTCTTCCAAGCTTCACAGCACGCTTCTGTATCTTATAGATGTCTGAGCTACGTAAACAGGTATACGTTCTACGAAGAATTAATATGTATATCAGTTCGTCAGCGGTGATGGTAACGCGTGATCGTCGTAATTAATAATGTCTCCGTCTGTGAAAACAAAATTGAATCTGCGGATCAACGTAGACGATTCTTGCGTCTCTTATAAGTTATTGCGTTCTATACTTTGTTAATCGTTCAACGTTTTTTTAATTCATGTAAACGCTAAAGGGTGTAAACACTGTTCGACTTAAGTTTCGTTCAGCGAGAGGTGTATGTTGTTCCGCAGGGGATAAACCAAGTGGAATCCATCCAGAAGCTTCGCTTACGGTGATTGTACTTCAGGACGTAGGTGAAGGGTGTGCCTATCTTTTTATGAAAAGTCAAGCGTCGAAGAACGCGCGCAATCGCTACCTTTTATCTACCCTACGACAACAAGCGAACTAAAAAGGAGAGGGCACTATTACTTTCTTCTTAAGTGGAAGCGTGATAAATTAAATTAAAAATGTTGTAGGTTAAAAATCGCTGGACAAAACATGAAAGAAAGAGAGAGTGAGTGTGTGTGTGTGAGAGAGAGAGAGAGAAAATGTATGCGAGACCTGAGCGGAGGATATCTAACGTTTCAATTATAAAGAGATGGGCGCACAACCGTAGTGTTTAATTGTACCTAAAGTCGTCGTAGTGATTAATGAAGATAATTGTACCTATAAAACAAGAAGACAGTTCACGAATCTCTCTAAGACACGATTAAAACAAAAAGAGATAAATGAAATAGAATTATCGGCTATCGAAGAGAGAAACCGTCTGCAAATATCGTTTAATGTATCGTTACACCAAGTTATCAGGAAAGGATCAAAGCAAAAAGAACAAGGATCTACAGCGTGATATAATTTAAGGATAAACGGTAATTTGCAGATAGTTGGACTTAGGTCTAACTGCCGAACGAAAGTCATCATCGCAATTGCACACTCACGTTTATTTATTTTTCATTTTGCTCGCCGTACGCTTTTATCAGAACGTTTGATGCATTTGCTGCGCTCGTAACTCACAATTAACCTTTTCTTTGCGGCGTTTATTGTGCAATGTCAAGACGTGGCAGGCTATTTATTTATTATTTATTTTAGGTGACGAGTAAATTGCTCACTCCGAAGTTCAACGATAATCATAGAAAATTACGTATCTACCGTTCTGTTTTTTCCTGAAAGATGGGTCAGCAGATGCATCAAGCGAATCACGAGTGATTTCATAACTTCGCCTGGGCTATTTCTAAAAAAAGAGGAGAAAAGAAGAAAGGGAACGTCGAGGAGATCGACTCGAGGAGCAGTGAACTAGCGATAGAAGAATACGATCGAAAGAATGAGTGATAAAAGTCGAAATTATATGTTCGCAAGACCTCAACGTTCGTTTCCTACTATTTTTGTATGCATAACGTAAAAAGGAGATTGATGGTAGTGAGAATAAGGAGTTCATGTATGAGAGAGAGGGAGAGGATGATCGAAGCGACGAAGAAACATAATTGAGGATGAGAATTGAGTGAAAGTTTGGAGCTTTTCATTTTTTCAGGATTTGCATCTTCCTGATCACCTTCCGTTGATCGCGTCGCCCATATGCCTTTATAAGAAGACATTTGTTTTTCGAGCTTTGTAACACTTTGATGGCCAACGTCACGTATTCATGATTATTCCAATTTGAAAACTGATAATTTTATAGCGTGCTCTCAACAATTTGCTATTCGATAAAAAATTGCAACAGTCATTAATCGTGTAAAGTATGCGGCCATCAAAATGTTAAGCCGAGATCATTTTTTGCACTCAGCTCTGATTGTTGATATTAACCCTTTGCTACTCCAACTATACCTCTCAGGCACATATCTGTAGTATCTTTATTCGAGTACCTTTCGGAAATAATCGTAGCTACTATTTTTCTTACGCTTCGTGTTAAAAGAATTATTTTGTACAATGAATATCGCATGGCATGAAAGATCGGAGTGCAAAGGGTTAAAGAAATAAATGTCGGATAAGAGATCGGTAACTCGCATTATCTCGCATTAATTTTGAACTTCTTTTTGAAACCACTGTGCGGGACACAGGAAACAGACATCGATTCATTCGTTACCGATCTCTTCAATCGTTAGCTGGCGTGAACTCATTGTCTAGTTAAAGATCGAAAAAGTTGAAACGGTGATTATATTTGAAAGTAAATTATTTACGATCTCGATTGAATTAACGAGGACGAGTTTTGAACAAGGTGCATAATTGCCTTCTTCGTGAAATACTTGATTAATTTATCGTTTCTTTAGTTGAAGATATCGAATGGATAGGAACAAACGATGGCTGTGCCTTTATGCTTAAATGTTATATTTTAGACTTTTTATTTAATCTCGTTGTTCCTCGTCCTCCGTCGAATGATGAATCAACCGAAGGTACTTTATATTTCTTAAGAGAGATTAATGGATCGTCAAATATATTCACCGATCATAGGGTACCGGAATGATATGAGAACTCTTTGAGACTCAGAGCAATTTCTTATAATATTAAGTTAACAGAGTGTGTCGTATTTAAAATATGCAGTGGCGATTAATGCAAAGTCCGAAGCATTATAATTTTGGTCATACTTTAGTTCATGAACTTGTGATTTGCTGTATTTTTGTATAATATGAGCGAAATAAATAGATTTTGATTCTCAAAGAGTAGTAAAAGGTAGTTGATGGGACGCGTGAGTGTGCGTGTTGAAAAAGAAGGGAACACAATGAGGAACATTACCAGAAAATGGAAGGATTCGTTTATAATATGGATCGCGAAGGTGACCGAGAAGGTGAACTGCAATTAGGAATCGCATGGTGGAAACAAAGAGCTATACTACCAACCCAAAGATGCACAACATCATAGAGAGTCGGACAATTTGATAGAACTCATGTCAGTCTAATTATATTTCTTGTTATATTATATACATATATATATCATATTTTCCAAAAACGAATTATATATAATTCAATAAAAAAGAAGACACTCTCGTTTGATACTTTGCGAGATATTTTAATTATTCCCGTGATCCAACGTGTTCTTTCTGTATACTACGATCAAAATGTAGCCGAAAAAGATATACTTTAATGAAGTAAAATTATGTTTAGAGAAGCGCCGGGTGAAATTGGTGTTATATACATCTCTGAAGTAAATTAGTCCTCTAGCGGTAGCGGCACGAACTAAAATTCAAAAGTCACGTGACTGTCGAAGCGTCGATCGGGCTGTCGAGCGGGAAAGGAATTCGAAGCTGTCATAAATGAGGTAAATACGTAGTTTTATGGTGTATTTTCTGCTAAAAATAATAGAAATTCCGTGATTTTTACATCAATTTCATTATTTAACATGATTTAAAGTAATTTAATGCGAAATGTGTGACTTTAACTTCATCGATCGAAATCGCATCGATTTCGTGTTAGTAATATCTACGTATTTCACGTGAATAGTATTTACGAAAGTCTAATTGCAAAAATAATCGATTGAAAACCCATATTTTATAAATTAATAAATCGTGGGAAGTGTCATAAATGTATTAGTTCAGTAAAACTTTCGAAGTCGCGTTTGTGCTTCGCTGTCATGACGTGACAGTTGTACACAGTTTTTCGTACGATTCGCAGCGGACGAACTCTTCCCATATTTTTGGCATTCTCTAAATAATTAATTAATATTTGTGTGTCAGTGATGAGTGCATGGAGTGCATGAGCAGGAAACAACCAGAATATCTGCTGACATCGAGGGAATTAGCAGCTTGCAGATATTTACGATTAACAACGCACGCCAAAATTGGTAAGTAATTTGTTACTTCTAATTCCAATATGGCGTTGGGGACAAAACATGATTAATTGCGAGTGTGAAGTACGTTATTCGTTTCGGGTATTGAAACACTACTTTCTTATGGTTACAAGATTTATTATGTTTTCCGTTATTTACACAAATTCGTTGTAAATTGTTTCGGACAAGGGTCCAGAGAAACATTGTGGGACGTGAAAAAGAATTCGCGCATCCTTACGAAAAAAGAAACTCTATACAAGCATTTTAATCCCCAATGTCGCTATGAACCAATGCCACAAGCACGACGAAACGACAACGCTCGTTTGTTATTTTTTCGTCGGGCATTTTTGATTCGACACAAAAATTTCGTGGACTGTCGTTCGAAATTATTGCACGTAATAAAAAACTTGTAAAACATCGTAACAAAGTCAGAAAGTTCAGACAGTCGTAAGAAGCATGTTGGTAAACATATCGTAGAAAGCGACGTAGAGTATCGTGTTACGTTTCCATGAAATACTACACACTAAAAACTTGAAGTACGCAATCTTGTTTACATTCCTTATTAGAACTGCACACATACGATGTTACGAACGAACGTCAGTCCACGGAAAATAGCTGTCGTATCTTTAAACCAAAATCAGCTTATACAATTTTTTTCTGTATCGTTTTATAATCACTAACGTGTTACGAGTGTTACGTTTGCGTGTCTATTCCCGCTTTTTTTCTGTTTCCTCTTTAAGTATAAATTTTACCTGTACCCACCACCATGGACCCAGTTACGCGGTTGTCTCGGCAGCGTTTAATCCGCCATTTTTTTTCGCGATTAAAAACTACAACGCTCCACGCGAAATATCAGTACTCTGTCGTTTTTCGATTCTTTCTACAATTTTCTTGTGTCTGGGAAAGAATCGGTGAAACGATTGCATCGAATACCTTAGCTTTCAACGTAATTCCTCAATTCGAAAATAATTGACAGAAATTCGATTTTGATTTAAACTCGAAACGGAAGTAATCGTGCAAAGAATACCGACATTGGAGCAGCACCTCGATTCAATTAAACTAGTTTACATTTAAGCGTTATTATGGATTATACGCTCGCTTATTGCCACACTCATGCGAGGATCGCGTTGTCGCAGACACGAATGACAGGTTAACATGGTCCAAGTACAGTTAACATTACCGACCAAGCGTTACCGACTGGTAATCCAGTAATTCGTCGATAAAATTCCGGTCAGCGAAATATCAAGCGGATTCTAAAATAAATTAACACATTATTCGGTTTATATTTTACATCACAAAGTGTTCGTTGTATCTATTGTAAATAAATGAACCGCTAAACACGTGACATTAACACATTCGAGACTGGCTATGATAAAAATATTGTTTCGAACATATTAAAAAAATTATTCTTCAGAGTTGAAATAAATTTACGGTCCCGAACGTGTTAATTGATTAATTTTCAAACACCCGTAGTCTTTGGTGCACATAAAAGGATGTGAATCGATAAAGTACAGTTCATTTTCCTCGTTTCTGCGACAACGGGATTTGATCTCACGCAACACGAAGTATTTTTACTTCGTAGGAGACACGTAATAACCAATACATCCCATACAACTCTCTTGTTGCTTGTCAGAGTTATTATTCATTAGAACGCCATAGAAACTAGTCTGACCGATTAACGGAAGTTGTTCTCGCATCTGTAACCTGTTTCTGCCTGATTGAATAGCTTACAAGCAAAACGTGCCCGTGTATAAACGGATTTTCATTAATGATTCTACAGGAAGCTGCATTTTTCTCTCATCCTAACCGGTCGAACGTGAATCTTCGATGTGATTTATTTTATTCTGCTCTATAACAAGCTGTATCAGAAAATCTCGGATTCAAATTTGCTTGTAATCTACGATCATAAATTGTTAAAACGAGAATTGCGTAAAAAATAGATTTCCGTTAGATTACATTTTTCGTTGGAGTTCTACTGGTAGATAGCTGCGCAGTAGACTTCTGCGCAGTATACTTCTGCGTCACAAGCATATTCTACAGTTTGTAGAGACCGCCAAAAGAAGGTTCGCCGCGCATGCGCAGTACCGCATATTCTATCGTACTGGCGTAAAAAAATTTCTCGATCGATATATCAATTTGACAACCGTGGTCAGAGACAGTTTCCGAAATAACGTATAAATACGAGAAAAGATAGACGCAAAGTGCCAACACTCGCGAGGAAATCGAGGAAGAAATAAGAGGGCAGTACTTAAAATCACTGAGGCGTTTGATTCGCTTAAACTTCGCTTACTAGTTGACTTCGCCTTAAACGCTAGAGCGAGTTGTTCTGCGCGGGTGATTAAGTTAAATTACCAGAGATGATCGTGTACGGAATATCCGCGTAGTTTACCATTTTAGTGCGGCTGCTAGGTTAGCTAGGACAGCGTATACCGGACTAGTATACAGTATGTATAGAATAATAATAATAATCAAACATAATAACATACACGTATATATTAAGGTTAAATCTAAGGATTTCGATTCGTTTTGCAAATTCAGTTGTAGACGCTAGTTTACTCTAAACTGGACAACGGGTCGTGACACGTGTTGCGACAAACGATAGGCAGTGTTGGATTCGCAAGATTTAGATAAGTGGCAAGAAATGAGACAACGTGTTTGAAAAGGGAAAAAGATTCAAGGGTAACGGTACTCGTTACCGAAGTTAAAATATAACACGCTTGCATCGTAAAATCCTGTGACATTTTAGCGACCATCTTAAATAAAATGACTGCAGAAAGTGTCGATTCTTGAACGATTATAAATTAAATAACATTGTAAGTACCTCGTAAATCTATTTTTCTTTTAAACACCCTGTATACATGACCATATGATTTATCTATTAGTGATCACGTGTCAGGACCCTCTGAGCTATTTCCTCGAAAAGACGATACGTAGCATCGGCAGTTGAGCAAAAGGTATCTCCTTAATTTCATCTAAATTCTCTACACCTCCATGAGACGTAGAATACGTTTTTTCTCGATGGCGAAAGTTTCTCGCTTTTCTCGTTGTTAAGTGAACTTATTAACTGCTGTGACTGTACGCGGTGTTCGTGTAGGGTCCACTGTAGATGGACGACCCCGTCGTCGACACGGTTTTGTGTCGTCTTTTGGCGAGCAGAACCAAAATGGCGGCCACCACCGCCAACATGAGGATCAGACCCGCGATCGCGATGCCGATTGCGAAGCTTCTTTGAGATATACAGATGCTGTTTGGGTCGTCAATAGTCTAGAAATTCAAATTATAGTCACTGAAATTCTTGCTACTTTTAATGCTTTTTAATACTCGATTTCAGTACCGAGTGCTTTAACCTCTTTCCGTACTTTGACGCACTCGTGACGCACTTATAGCTACAAACCTTACTTAATTTTGAATACTCTTCAACTTGAAGTTTAGGTTCAACTATAAGTTGCATTATCGAAATCCCTGAATACTCAAACATTTTAATTTTCACATCTGATAAATAGCACGGGAAGGGGTTAAAACCACAGTGTATTTTTGACTACTCACCCTTTCTTTGAAGACATCGTCGGTGAACTCTGACTTTGCACCGATATCCGAAGCTTCGTTCACGTAGAGTCCGCTGTAAACCTCGATGGTAGCTGGTGTTCCTCCATCCAGACCTTCGACACCTTTCGCCACATTGTTGTTGGTAGTATCCCTGCGTCGTCTGGATACCAAATTACACGCCGGCGGCTGTAACAACGGAATATTGATGAGTTCCCTTGGAAATCTTCCAAACGACGGTTCACGGTTACATAACAGTTACTGTGGGAATGACCAGCTGAATTTAATCGCCAAGTTGAATACAAACGTAATTGAATACATAGTTGAACGTAAACATAGTTGCTCACCGTGTTGGTGCATCCTCCATCGTGTTTGATGCACAGTCTAACGTTGCACTGATAGTACACGCTCGCTGTATACGGGAATTTGTGTGCCTGAAAGTTCACCTTCGCTTCCGTTTTGTCTTCGTTGTACGTGAATTGTCCCATAATCTCTCCGTCTACTGGACAGCTGCAACATTGTTATATATCAACATTAGATCATGCCATACAGTACTAATTGAAAAATCACCACAGTTTCCAATATGATTCAGTCGATTACCTTTAAAGGTTACAAGAAACATGCTGCAAAATGTTAAGATTATGTAATGGCCGCACGGCGAACTAGAAGTCCCTTAAACCTGAATTTTGACTGTTTCAACGAGAGCGAAAGTGTAACCTGTTGATCAGCTGATTTGCTTATGAAAAGGAGTCAGTGAACCGACCCGTTTTGTACCCTGAATTCAGACCCCCTTTGAATTATTCATCGTACGCTCTGATGCGAGATTCTTTTTTTTGCTGCACTCTTATTAAACGTAATTTTCATGCACGGTATCGCTTGCTACTTTCTTTAAAATTCAAAGTACTTCAATATTAAAAGGACAAACTTTTAGTAGAATAGAATTTTAGTAGAACAAGGTCTCTTGAAAATCTAGCTCACGTTTGCGAAATTCTGGAATTTGGGTCAGTCCCAAAAATCGTAGTTAATTGCTAAAATATAGCAAGAGATAATATTGAAGATCTTGAAAAAAAATTGCCCCTCGTCATTGATGAGCCTCTGCCCCAACCACTTTAATATTAAAAGGACAAACTTTTAGTGCAATAGTCAAACTTTAGTAGAACAAGGTCTCTTGGAAATCTAGCTCACATAAGTTTGCGAAATTCTGGAATTTGGGTCAGTCCCAAAAATCGTAGTTAACTGCAAGAATATAGCAAGAGATAATATTGAAGATCTTGAAAAAAATTGCCCCTCGTCATTGATGAGCCTCTGCCCCAACCACTTTAATATTAAAAGGACAAACTTTTAGTGCAATAGTCAAACTTTAGTAGAACAAGGTCTCTAGCTCACAAAATTTACGTCAATCTCAAAAATCGCAGTTGGTGAGAATATAGCAAGAGAATGTGTTGAAAAAAAATTACCCCTCGTCATTGATGAGCCTTTGCTCTCCCCAGCCCAGACCATCGCGCACCAGGCAGTCGGAGATCTTCAAACCGAACATCTCCTGCCTGTCGATGCTGATGACCAAGGTCAAAGGGTCTCCGATTTTCACGTTCTCCGCCACTTGATGCCTCGTTGGATCTCCGCTGAAGATCTTCATCGTGCATCCTGGCATAGGCGCTGTAGCCTATCGAAAGAAGCGGAGTCTCATCGAACAGTTCTCAAGGCTCAACGTTACATCCGCATGATTCACGGTTTCAAATAGAACTTACCTGCAACGGTAGAGACTGCAGCATAGCCACGTGGGTCTGGTCGTTCGTTACCACTTTGTCCCGAGTCTGGTATCGACATCGCACGTGAAAACCCCTGCCCTGATTCGTGACCAGCTTCAGGTGTGGTTGCACCACTATCGTGTTGAAGTACTCGATACCTCCGTCGTCCTGAAAGCAAAGTTTCAGATATTTTTCGAGAAATAGTTTGTTGGATTAATCGATTCCTGGAACAATTATTGAGTATTGGCTGACTATTACTAACTGAGAGATGTCGATTACTAACTCTTACGTCATCGAAACGTTCTAATCGTCTAGCTTTATTCTTCATAACGAAGACCTAAATAGATATAGTTTTTAAATACGTCGTAAATCGAGTTACGTTGTGTAGGAACGGTTATCCCTTTCCACTCAGATGGTAATCCGTTTGTTATTTAAACAAGAGAACGCGTATGTGTTTCGACGCTGGTCGTTGCAATTCTCGTTTACGAGCGTTTCGACCGCAGATAATGGTGGCTATGATGCCGATCACGTTTCTCTGGACTTTCAGTCCTGCAAGCAATCCGTCTGTCCTTGCACCCTGCTAACAAAAACCGGACCGTTCGCTCCTCGCCTTCTCCGTTGAACGATTCCTTGTCTTATTCGAGCAAGAATGGCATACACTTTTGTTGCTCCGACATTTTTTAATCGCTATTGTTACTCTTCAAAATTTTTATCAACCTGAAACTTATCCAATTACTGTAGATCGTTCAATTATTGCAGACACTGATGGACAGTGGAAGTACAAAGCTCTGGAAGTAGTTTATCGAACAAAAATCGATCTCGGTGTTTTGCAGCGTGGAAAAATGACCATACGGCTCTACGTCAAATTAATAGACAGAATGAGCTGGGAAACCCAGTTCATTCCGCACTTATCATTTCGCGTATCTTCGCAAAAAGTAGTCCGCTCAGATAAGATCGGGTGAAGGCCAAGAAACGTATTAAGGTACAGTGGTTTACGAGAGATTGAAACTTCCGGGTGTATCTCGTTTCCCATTCATGAAACTTAATTAAATTCTCGTTTGAGCTCTCTGATTTCTATGGGAAAGGTTTAATTTTTTACACCAGTCTCAAGGTCTTTCTTATCATGCTCCAAGAGATGCTGTAATCCAAAGGACAATTATTTCGTGTTAGGACTTCAATTACTGTAATGTAATCGGAACAGGTGGAATTGTAGAGGATTCTTTTATGAAATAAGTAGAGGATTCTTGTTTTGTGAAGTAAGTAGAGGATTCTTTTATGAAATAAGTAGAGGATTCTTGTTTTATGAAGTAAGTAGAGGATTCTTGTTTTATGAAGTAAGTAGAGGATTCTTGTTTTATGAAGTAAGTAGAGGATTCTTGTTTTATGAAGTAAGTAGAGGATTCTTGTTTTATGAAGTAAGTAGAGGATTCTTGTTTTATGAAGTAAGTAGAGGATTCTTGTTTTATGAAGTAAGTAGAGGATTCTTGTTTTATGAAGTAAGTAGAGGATTCTTGTTTTATGAAGTAAGTAGAGGATTCTTGTTTTATGAAGTAAGTAGAGGATTCTTGTTTTATGAAGTAAGTAGAGGATTCTTGTTTTATGAAGTAAGTAGAGGATTCTTGTTTTATGAAGTAAGTAGAGGATTCTTGTTTTATGAAGTAAGTAGAGGATTCTTGTTTTATGAAGTAAGTAGAGGATTCTTGTTTTATGAAGTAAGTAGAGGATTCTTGTTTTATGAAGTAAGTAGAGGATTCTTGTTTTATGAAGTAAGTAGAGGATTCTTGTTTTATGAAGTAAGTAGAGGATTCTTGTTTTATGAAGTAAGTAGAGGATTCTTGTTTTATGAAGTAAGTAGAGGATTCTTGTTTTATGAAGTAAGTAGAGGATTCTTGTTTTATGAAGTAAGTAGAGGATTCTTGTTTTATGAAGTAAGTAGAGGATTCTTGTTTTATGAAGTAAGTAGAGGATTCTTGTTTTATGAAGTAAGTAGAGGATTCTTGTTTTATGAAGTAAGTAGAGGATTCTTGTTTTATGAAGTAAGTAGAGGATTCTTGTTTTATGAAGTAAGTAGAGGATTCTTGTTTTATGAAGTAAGTAGAGGATTCTTGTTTTATGAAGTAAGTAGAGGATTCTTGTTTTATGAAGTAAGTAGAGGATTCTTGTTTTATGAAGTAAGTAGAGGATTCTTGTTTTATGAAGTAAGTAGAGGATTCTTGTTTTATGAAGTAAGTAGAGGATTCTTGTTTTATGAAGTAAGTAGAGGATTCTTGTTTTATGAAGTAAGTAGAGGATTCTTGTTTTATGAAGTAAGTAGAGGATTCTTGTTTTATGAAGTAAGTAGAGGATTCTTGTTTTATGAAGTAAGTAGAGGATTCTTGTTTTATGAAGTAAGTAGAGGATTCTTGTTTTATGAAGTAAGTAGAGGATTCTTGTTTTATGAAGTAAGTAGAGGATTCTTGTTTTATGAAGTAAGTAGAGGATTCTTGTTTTATGAAGTAAGTAGAGGATTCTTGTTTTATGAAGTAAGTAGAGGATTCTTGTTTTATGAAGTAAGTAGAGGATTCTTGTTTTATGAAGTAAGTAGAGGATTCTTGTTTTATGAAGTAAGTAGAGGATTCTTGTTTTATGAAGTAAGTAGAGGATTCTTGTTTTATGAAGTAAGTAGAGGATTCTTGTTTTATGAAGTAAGTAGAGGATTCTTGTTTTATGAAGTAAGTAGAGGATTCTTGTTTTATGAAGTAAGTAGAGGATTCTTGTTTTATGAAGTAAGTAGAGGATTCTTGTTTTATGAAGTAAGTAGAGGATTCTTGTTTTATGAAGTAAGTAGAGGATTCTTGTTTTATGAAGTAAGTAGAGGATTCTTGTTTTATGAAGTAAGTAGAGGATTCTTGTTTTATGAAGTAAGTAGAGGATTCTTGTTTTATGAAGTAAGTAGAGGATTCTTGTTTTATGAAGTAAGTAGAGGATTCTTTTATGAAATAAGTAGAGGATTCTTGTTTTATGAAATAAGTAGAGGATTCTTGTTTTATAATACTGAAATAGAATTTTATTAGCGTATCGTCTTTATTGACCGCGGCAAGTATCCTAGCCTTAGAAGCGTACCCTTATCAAACGGGGATCCATGAATTATCTTGAAATAATTGTATTAGCTGTAGCCATTGCTCAGCACAAGCGCGCCATTGAGAACGAAAATAAATTTCCCAGCACAGCACATCCAGGCTCGAAGACATTCCATTCAATTCGATATTATTCTCCCACCGTTCTACCAATTTACCAATGTAAAACCACATCGAATCACCGGATACCTAACCACATCGAATTTCTTTAAGATCGTGAAGAGGAAGAAACGAGGACCCACGGTATCCTTCCCATTTGCGAGGAGTCTCGATGGCATCCGTAACAGGGAACGCGAGATAGAAAATACTGGAGGCACACCGTGTATATCGAGCAGCCAACGACCTTCGACGAAGCCTGGCGTCCGACCTCAGCAAGGATACTCGCAATCTGCGGTGCATCGGCCCGAGAGAGCCTCGTCAGATCGCTGACTTTACGTTTCACACCTACCTAGCAACGAAGCACCGCTTTTATGGCCAGGACACTGTTGAATCGAACGCTTTCCCTGGTCCCGTGTTGTCACACGATCCAAGCCCGCGCAAAACGAACAGCTTCCGTTTTTTCGTATTGTATTTCTCTGCGATGCTGACCGCCCTGAACGTCACGTATTTTTATCGATTCTTCTAAGAAGATTTTCTGCGGTTTCCTACGATCGTGCTTCCCTCCAAGAAATTCCTGGAACGCGGTTTCAGAGGAAGTTGTGTATCTCTTTGTAGTATCCTTTCTCGACGGAGACCGTGTATCTCGTATGTTTTATACTTTTCAACCGGGAGAATTTATTCAGCGTTCCAGGAAACGTTAACACTGTATCACCGTGATTCCGCTCTTTTCCCCGACAGGCTATCAGTTTTTACCTCGAATACTTCGATTGCCGGTTGATGAATTTTAGCAATGCAAGAAAGATTTAATAATTTAACAACGATATTATCAGAATTGATGCATAAATTTCAAAGCTTGATCAGTACACTTGAATTCGTGCTATTACAAATTGCGAGAATCATGTCCGAAGGTCGATGCCTACGCGGTAAACGTACGGCGTTACAACCACATGCCTGGATGAGGTCATGCAGGTCCTCCATGAATCCAATCTACGAGATTATGTAACCCTTACATCGATCTTCGTCTTCGTATTAACAGTTTCAAGACCCATGATCTTTCTCATTTTATTTCCAACCAAACGGTAAAGTGTTCAAAATTTAAACGAGGGATACTCCCCCAAGAATGAGGGATGCTCAAACTCTTCTGGTCTGAGATCATTCCCACGAAAGGACGAGCAAATGTTCGACCAGACACTTGGTATATCCTGGAGTTTTCGAGGTCGCCGATATGTGAGAATCCCACCCACACGAGCCCAGCAAGCTCGAGGAAACGCGCGTTTTACGAACACAAAGTCGAGATGCGAGTGTAGAAGAGAACAGAGGACCGTGGAGTAAAAAGAGGACGACGAAGCTGAAAGGCTCTTTAAAGTGGACGTTAAGCACTAACTGCCGATGCCTTTGCACAAACAGGTATGATGGACATGCCGTATACGAGAATCGATGCTAATACCTAAGATTAGAGATTATTTTACCTGTCATGCGTCAACGTTTCGTCAACGTTTCACTTATTTCGCAATCTCCAAGCTTACAAAGTACCCGATATCTTTGATCACTGACAAATTGAAAAGAAATTGTGCTACTCGCGAGTCTTGCGAGTAGTTGAATAAATGCGAAGTTGCTTTGAACGTTTGTGCAGTGTATTAATTTGGAGGAAGGCAGTTAAAAGGGGATGTTCTTAACTCGAATTTAATTTATATATTAATTTTATTTGGCTGACTTTTTCTATAGCTAGACAAGCAGTGTCTCGCAGGTAAAAAAGTCAGCCAAATAAAATTTATATATAAATTAGATTCAAATTAAGAAACCTGGAGGAAGGCAGTTAAAAGGGGATGTACTTAACTCGAATCTAATTTAGATATTAATTTTATTCGGTTGACTTTTTCTGTAGCTAGACAAGCAGTGTCTCGCAGATAAAAAAGTCAGCCAAGTAAAATTAATATCTAAATTAGATTCGAG